ATATCGACCGTTCAAGTGTCAGTGGACTAATAATTAATAAGTTTCATGATCAACTACGCTTTTTGCACGAGCATCGGCATAGTGCTGTCAGTCGACCGTTACGGCTTTACCAGGTAGGAAAATTACCGTTCTTTTCCCAGTAATGCAACCATTTTGTCATTCCGGAAATTCATCCGAACATCAAAAGCTTGTGCTTGGATCTTTCACTGAGGCCCCTCAATCCAACTGATAACTTGACGGTTATTAGTAGATGGGAAAATTCCGTTCGTTACCGGAGGCAATACGAGCTCAAGCTTAAAATGTTTTTCACAGTCGTTTGCGATGATAAATTCTGCACTGATGCACTACTACTACATTTCAAAGTATCTACAAGTTTACCCCAAAGATTCCGACTTCTTTTTACCTACACACACCCGAGGCAGAAGTCCTTACTAAACGACAAACCGTGTAGACTCGGAGTATAAAACTGATATCTCGAGACTAGCGACTAAATGCAGCACAGCAACCTGTGATTGGATGGTAAAAATGGTAAAGTTAAAAAGTTATATCTTAACTTCTTGCTCGTGAGTATTGTTTAACTGTATGTCTCGAAGCGGAACAATGAAATATCAATGCGAGTGAAAACACTGACGTGTCAGACAAGAAATGGCTACTCACATTACAAAAAGACAGCAGTCTTTCCAGGTCAGCGAGGTCGTATAGCGATATTCCGGCTATGAAAAAATCATCCGCTAACAAAACTCATTTAGTCAGTTTAAGCGGACGGTCAGAGAATGGAGTAGCTTACGTGTAGCCGTACCTCCCCCCCGCCCCAAAAGGTAAAACGGTTACCTCGCCTCCGTCTCACCTTATTGGGGGAGGGTACGGCTACACGTTGGCTAAGACTGGAGCCATTCCTGTATTTCACCGCTGACAGGAATGGCTAAATTAATTATTTTTTTCATTTTGGCTAAATAATTTATATAATGAGATAAGAACTGAAAAAGCGTCTTATTAGGTTCTACTTATGTTGAACTCTACAATGCTTGTAAATGAAGCCCTCTTTTATTACACAGGGCCATGTAGTTTCCAAGTTTTAAAATAATGCAGCAACTGCATGTCACGTTTGGACATGCCATGCCATGTTGCGTGACCGAGATTTTTAATCTACAGTATGCTCTGCTGGAGAAATGTGGCTTGGCCACAATCGAAGGAGTTTTTTTGTGGAAAACTGATTTTCTGGGATAATTGTTCGCATGAAGGACAAATCCATTCATCGAGCTCCTCATCTACTTTTGCATAACACCTAAAGGAAGAAAGTCGCGAATTACTTTAATTTTGCTTGGTAATTTCCAACAACTTCACTAGACCTGAAAAAGGAAAAAAAAAACCAAAAAAACCTCTTACCAGTCATATCAGTGGCAGAAACTCTTGCACTGAATCATGTCAAGTATCTTGATTTTTTGCAGCGATGGCACAACTAATCTTCGGACAGCTTTTCGGCTATAACAAGAAAGAGTAAATGATTTTATAAAACATTGTTCCGCTTCGAGACACACAGTTAAACAATACTCGCAAGCAAGGAGTTAAGATATAACTTATTAACTTTTACTATTTTATTATCCAATTAACAGGTCGGAGCCATTCCTGTATTTAGTCGCTAGTTATCTCTAGCCAAACCGCCATGTTGCATCCGCAGGGATCCCATTCCCTCCTCGGCCAAAATTTTGGAGAACATGTACCGTAAAAACTCGACTCGTGTGTAAGCCGCCACCTATCTTTCAAGCATGATTTAGGGAGAAAAAACTCCAAAAAAGCACTATTGTAAAAAAAGTGGGTCGTTTATTCGCAGATGTTCACAATAAACTTGACCACATCTAATGGTGTGTATTTACAGCGACATTAATAAGTTAATCAACTCTGAAAATACCTTTAATTGATTTCCCTATTCTTTGTGACTGACAACAGTTGTCATGATTGCTAAAGCCCACAGCTCAAATGAAAACGTGGAATTTGAACGAAAATCAAAGGGCTATTGGAGCCAGCTCATTCATGCTATGGCTTAAGTTTGTATTAATTTTATGGACTTGTTGGAGATATGTACGGTTGAATTCGGTTATGTGAACTCTCAAGACTAATGGAATCAATTTTCTTTTATTTTTGGGCAGTTGTGTGATAAGAAAACTTGTGCATTCGTCGTGATGAGAATTGGAAAAAAAGCGTTTTTTGGGCTGTAGGTGGTATGGGCAAACGCAGGAGTTCCTGGCAGAGGTCATTAGGCAGACAGTGTCCTTTTTGTAGGTGAGTGTGTTTGTGGGGCGGAGGTTGGGCTGGTGGGCATAATCAGGCATCAAATGTTGCTCTAGTAGCAAAATATTAGTAACACTCATCTTTCACGATCATTTGCACTATTGTGAAATATTCCTTGCCGTTTCTTGATATCTTTTGTTTTTAACAAAGCGGCCGTTACATTTGGTTTTTAACAAAGCGGCGGGCGACCCTAAAAGCCGGAACGGCGGAACGGCGGAATGGCGGAAAGGCGGAATGGCGGAAAATGACCCCAAATCCTAAAACACGGAATGGCGGAAAATGACCCCAAATCCTAAAACACGGAACGGCGGAAAATGACCCCAAATCCTAAAACACGGAACGGCGGAAAATGACCCCAAATCCTAAAACACGGAATGGCGGAAAATGACCCCAAATCCTAAAATACGGAACGGCGGTAATTGACCTCAGATCCTAAAACATCGAACGGCGGAAAATGACCCCAAATCCTAAAACACGGAACGGATGTCAGGGCATGTTGCACAAATTTTGTACAAAGACACCAAGCGCTTGGCTCATTTATCCCCACGACGATAACACGCGTGACTAAAATTAAGTGTTATTAACTTTTTTCTTTTACTGAGTGGTATAAATAATAATGAACCATTATGCATGAAAGATAGCTGCGTTTTCGCGTTGTTAACCTGTTAAGTTAGCTTTTGTTATGCAAAATTTGCCATGAGTTTTAGTCGCGGCATAAAAGGTCGCACAGCATGTGAAAACCAACTCGACATACCACATTACAATAAACAATTGTAACTTTGATACGTTTCCTGGTCACGTCTACATTGATTTATTGAAACAATAATATCTCATATGCTTGTAAATGTGAGAACATCACAGGAACGTTTTCAGGCTTCTCAAAATATGACAACGTTCACCACCGTGCCCAAACTTAGACTAGCGTGAGAGCAAGCCCTCGTTACGAGCCCTTCAATACGAGCGTTTTTTCATCCACGAATAAGTTTTGGGACTTGAGTAACACTAGTTGAAGAGAGGTTTGCAGGGTGTCACGCGCGTGGGAATTTCTCATGGCGTGAAAAGACAAAAGAAAGTTAGCCGAAGGAAGCCGTCAAGAAGAATTTGAAGAATTTCTTCGCGACCAGGTGTCCAAAACACCACCATCCTATTGTGAAATTTACGGCTTACATATCAGCGGAAGAAATAAACTTTCTAAACAAAAAAAAAGAGGCTATTTCACCAATTCGTTCAGCGGATTTCTTCTGTTCCTCAACAAATTGCAAATCGTCAATTCTATGGCGTTTAAATTGCCCTTTCTGAAAGGGAAGTGTAATTCAGACGGATCTTTGGATTGTCATGGTTTACCATTATTCGAGTGGAAGCAGTTGCGAGACAAAGAAGAGGCTATCGGTCGAGGATCCTATGGTTTGGTTTTTGTGGCGAGAAACAATTCTGAGAAGGTCGTTATCAAAAAACTGTTAGGTGAGGACGAGAAGGAAAAGCGTCTTTTCCTCAAAGAGGCAAAAATACTCCATGGGATTAAAAGTGAACATATCGTTAGGTTTCAAGCTGTGTGCATGGAACCGTGTGCAATAATGCTTGAATATTTGTTTTTCGACTTCGCTCCCTTCGGCAGCTCAGAAATTGTCAGCAGTCTAGACCGACTTTTACAATATATTCACATTAATGAGGCAATCGACCAATTTCCTCTTCAAGAAAAGATCGCCCTCGAAACGGCGATAGGGCTTGCACATTTGCATGACCTTGGGATCGTCCATCGTGATATAAAGCCTGCCAATATACTGGTCTCCAACCAGCATTATTGCACTTTAAAAGACAGCCACGAAATTGAGAAAGCTTTTCAAACTAGGCCGATAATTTGCAAGCTTGCTGATTTTGGAGAAAGCCGATCCGTGATTAACCAAACAAATAATGTGTGTCGCATGGTTACGAACAACCTTGCCCGTGGAACGCCCGCTTATCGTGCACCAGAAATATTTTGCCAGAACGGATCAGCTCTGTCCTTAGTAGACCTAAAGGCTGTGGATATCTGGGCCCTAGGGATGGTATTGTTCGTCATTATCAATCCGGACTTGAAGTACCCTTTTCAGATGGAGTTGGAAAGGGTTCAAACCGGAAATTGTCTATCTGTGTTAGAAGGGCTCATTTCTAAAAATGAGAAGCCGGCTCACTCGGATCACTATTGCATGCAACATGCAGTAAATTGCCTCCGACTTCGCAAATTATCTGAATATTGTACGCGTTTCCATCCGAAAGACAGGCCAGATGCAAAATACATTGTAGATGTCTTGAAAAATGAAGACCTGTCAAACAGCAGAAACTTACCACTCACAGTCAACCAAGGAACCTGCATTGAGAATGCAACTAGCTCGTACGTTCCTGGTGATGGGACCAATGGCTGTGCATTTCTGTCCGTGGTTTTTGGCGATCACTTGCTGTGCCAAAATGAGAGGTCAACTGTCACCACATTTGAAGAAATTGCCTGCCTTGCTGAGGAAGTCATCATCGATTCCCCTCTTCAATTCAATCCCTTTCGAGATAAAAGTCGGCATTACGACGTATCGGAGGCTTATGGAATTCTGAAGAAATGTAAAGTGATAAAAGAGTAGTACGAATTCGGTGAGGAAATCCTTTCAAGCCATGGAGTTTACTCAGTGTGTGCCAGAGATGAGCTAAGAGCAGTTGTGTACCAACTTACAGCAAAAAGAGAGATGAGGCTTGCCTTCTATTCCTGCGGTGGGTACATCTTTACAATAGGATGGGCATTTGGATACCTATTTATTATGGACACACATGCCATATTCCATGAGCTCGGCGGTAACGGTAATGGTTTGGTAAAAGTTTTCCTTCAAGACGATAGGCAGTTAGCTGCTGAAGATCTGTGTGCGTGGGTATGGAAACGACTCAGTCAGAGTGGAGTTAAGAGCTGTGCTCAGCAGTCTGTTGCTGAGATGACGAAGTCCAGGTAATAGCGCTGAAAAACTAAAAGCTAACATCTACTTAACTGACCACACAAGTTGATTTGAAAAATAAAGCGTCCAAATCTCCCACAAGTTCAGAATGTTTATATGGGTTAAGAAATGAATGTAAAGAGTGAGTAGACACACAGCTAAAGGTTTGTTTCTTTTTAGTCCCTTTTGTAGTCACAAGACAACTCTAAGTGAGGATATCAAAGTACCTTCAAGTAAGTAACATTTCATACCCTCCAACTATCGAAATGAGGGAAAACTTTAATACATATGCTAATTCACTTGCTTGTGGCAGAAGATTAGAAATGGGTCTATGTAACAATCGGCTTCTTCAGTTCTTCTTGTCACAAAGCGTTCGATTTTCCACACAGGTGTTGATGATGACTTGAAAGAAGAGGCATATTGTGTACAAGTTAGTATGTACCCTTTTTATAATGTGGTGCCTAGGTATAAAAAAAACCAAATAATTCTGGCTACACTTTCGACAAATTTTACCAGATATCGTGGAATGGTGCCCGTTAACCACCAGAATCCCTCTTCTCGTATGTAGAGTGAACTCAGCGACTCTATCTTAATAACCTATAAATATACTACTATAGATGCTTATAGTAATTTGTTTCTGCTTAACTCTGTAGGGGAATGATTCCTCCCAATCACCCTCTAAATCTCCTGTGAAGAAAAAAGTGAAGAGGTATACTGTTTCCCCAATTACCATATGCTTTTACGTCTTTTATGCCAGTATGCTTTTTGACTTATTTTCTATGTGGCTTCCCAGGTATCAAACCGCCATCAAGGTGGAACAAGAATTTGGTAAAAGAAAGTTAAACCTTGACCTGTCCAGGTAAAGAGTCTTGTTAAAAAAAGAAATCACACATGTCATCTTAAATGCATCCATTTGAAAACATTTCTCATCCTCATTGCTCATTGCTGTTTGTTACAGCCAATCCAGCAAAGTCCCAGATGTTATTTCCATAGACAGTTCTGAAGATGAGAATCAACATGATGCTAGTGTTTTAAGTGATAATGATGCAAGCAGGTAATTAAGAACCACCTCTGCTTGTCTCTTCTAGTCTGATATTGTGTGTAGTCTCTTGTATGGTCATAAGTTGGCACATGTACTTTCTGCAAAGTTCAAATGACTTTAGAGTGGGGTGGGTGGAAATATATGAGTTTATTAAGTTGATTCACTTGTACAACGTACAAAGAACAAAATTACTCTAGTCGGGAAATCCATAGATTGCTTTATATTCTTCTTTAAATAATTTCTTACCTTTTATTAACGACCCTGTTAATAATATGAACATCAATATTGTTTCTGTCAAATAACGCTAATTGATGATGAACGCTCCAGTGACATTTTTTTTTTAAATATAGCACCAGCATTAAAGCTTCAGAGGAGGTTACCGTTGACAATTCTAAAGATGATGGTGTCGTAGAATATCAAAGTTGTGCGAGCATTTCTAGCGATATTGATGGAGACAGGTAATTTTCATAATTAATTAATAATTAATTAATAGGGAGCCATCGGAAAAAATCGTCCCATGCATATTATATATCAATGAAAGGTTTATAAAGTACAGTTTATAAATTCCAAATAACAAAGTTCTCACAGTCTTTGTGTTGGTAGGTGCGCGCAAACCTTTAAACACAAAACTGACGGTGTTTGTTTAACTGAATTAACGGCCTCCACGTTAGCGCGGACATCCAAACAAACTGGAAAGATTTACTCAGCAGATACTAGGCCAACAAAGCGTGTGAGGATTTTCGACATTCCAATGAGTTCTTGTGAAAACAACTATTTTGAGGTTGAACAATACTACACTTTTCAATATATAAAGGTATTCGTTCGTTAAGATCGTGGTGTGTTCTGCAATAAGTTAAATGAAAAGAACTCCGATTGACAGGGCGTTAGAATTGTAGACCTGGTTTTTGGTAATTGGTTAGGATATAGAAAGGGGCCTTAAAGTGTTATTTTCTGTAAGTGTATTGTTTCGAAGATGATCCCCATTGTATTGGATTGGTTGGCTAGGGGATCTTTCACCCACACCAAACGCCCCTGTGTGCTTCTTTTTCAACCGAAAAATGCTAATATTTTTTATAATTATTTTTAGGGTTGAGTCTGACGATGACGACTCTGAAACATTTGTGAACAGTTCTGAATCCCAGGATCACAGTGAAACTGTGTCTTTTTATCTTGGTGATAAACACATACCGGTTTATGCCTCAGAGATGAAGGAATTGTCAAACAGCGGCATTGCACGGCTATTACTAGATCCTCCTGAAGATAAAGTCGCTTCGAAACCACCCGTAAAGTGTCAAGAAAACAAAATTTTCATCATTGATAAAAAGTCGCCGTATTTTCGAAACCCAGACGACCGGAAAGCAGATGGCCTTGGAGTCTACAAAAACGATGGAACTCATGTTGTTGCGTATTACGAGGACAAGAATCCGGAAATCCGCTGGATATCCAAAACAAAACCAGAAGATTGCAAACGCTCCACAGTTCTTCTCAAGAGAACGTACTGGACGCACGTACAACATCCTGATTTCCGCAGAAGAGCTTATGAAATACTCAGATATAGTGGGCACAGCTTTACGCCCGAGCGATTCGTACTTTTACAGTACAGTTTCAGCGGAAAACCACATGCGATCACGACCAAACCACACGGCAATTCTAAGTCCGAGAAAGCTTTTACTCGCACCAAACCTGGAGTTTTGGAGAGCATCAAGGGAAAGGTGAAAGGTTCTGCTCCTCCGTCCAAAGTGTATGACGAAGTGTTTGAAGAGGCTGGGGGCCTACTCAAGGTTTGCAGTGTCTCAGATGTTCCCAGAAATAGAAAGCAAGTGGAGAACGCAAAATATAAGGGAAGGGAAGTTCGAAGTCAAGACGAGTTATACGACCTAACCCTCAAATCAAAAGAAGAGGAGGAAACGGGAAAAGTTTATATTCGACGCCTGCAAGTTGCACCTAGTCCGGCATGCGTTTTGGCTTCTGATAGGCAAGTTCAGGATGTTAAGCGGTTTTGTGCCAATACAACTGAACAATTTTCAGTGCTCTCCATCGACACAACTTTCAACATTGGCGACTTCTATGTGACACCTACAACCTATAGGCATCTGCTGCTGGACGACAGGAGAACTGAAAATCCCCCTCTTTTACTTGGGCCAACACTAATACACACGAGAAAGGATAGCGACACCTTCAGCTACTTTGGAGCCACACTTACAGGACTTGAAAACGGCACTAGAAGCATACGATTTATAGGGTCAGACCGAGAAGATGCCGTTGAGAAGGGAATGAGTCCTTATCTTCCTGTTGCAACATGGCTTGCTTGCAAACGTCACGTGGTAGAGGACTGTAAAAGGAAGCTTCGCTCGTTAGGAATCTCATCAGAGTACCTTACAGCTTTTCTACGTGACATATTTGGGTCTGATGCCAACCATGAAAAAGGGCTCATCGATTCCGAAGGATGCATGGACTTTGATGCTAAACTTGAGAGTTTGGAAAACGTGTGGAATTCAAGAGAAAAAACATCAAGGGGTACAGCACTCAAGCGAAGCAGAATTCCACAAGTACTTTGTCGCACACGTTGCGGAAGACATGAAGAAGAAGATGATTTCCCCCGTTAGAAAACGTGCTGGCCTGGGGGAAGCCTTTTTTTACAACAACGCAGCAGAGTCCAAACATCAGCGGATAAAAGCACGAAAAGGGCAGATGTACGGGGAAAGAAAACTCGCCTGGACTGAAGTAGTTGACTTGCTAAAATCTATTTCTGAAGAGGAGGAAAGGAATTGCGAAAGGGCTATTGTGGATGAGGGTCCTTTCAAGATAAGGCAGCAATACAGTTCCAAGCTTCATGTTCCCTTCTCCACCTACATCGGGAAGTCGCACGCCCAAAAGGAGAAGGTTAATAGGAGAGTTCATGAAATTTCAATGGAGGCATTTTTACAACTGGAAGAAGGCTCGATCAAGAATGCAAAGGCTAAGAACAAGAATCTGACCAAATGCGCTTACAAGAACATGCCAAAGTCAGTCGGTGGGAAACCTGGAGAAGCCGAACGGAAAAGAAAACGTAATCCCCAGTCCGAGCGTTCAACTAGCAAATACACAGAAAGAGTTCCTACCCCTCCGAAACCAACACTTAACACCAATACCTTCAAAGTTAAATGGCTCAAGAACTCGAGAGTTTACAGATGTTATGGGTGTCGGCAAAATATCCGTCCCAAACCCCAGAAAGGCGAAACGGAAGTTGTTCCTCCACCACCTTGGGACTTAGTTCTCGCACGACTGGAACCCCGGCTAATCCCTAATGGTGCTGGTGAGCTGAAGATGTCCATCAAGCCGGAACCAGTGCATTATCACCCAAAATTGTCCTGCATTCGCAACGCCCACGGCAAAAAGTATTATCCGTCGGTGGAAGTAACAGATACTGACAAGGAGGTGATGGATGACATTCATCTTCGGCATTTACGACGCGAGTTCGGTCTATGAACAGTCTGCGCAATCGTGGCTACGAGGCCATAATTACCGTATTTTCTCGAATAAGCGGTCAATGCAGGTTAATAATCTCCTATTAAGTGCCCCCCTCGATTAAGTTCTCTCCTTGTAAGAGCCCCTTCTTTTAGCCAAAAATTTAGATGAGCGCTCGGGTGCTTATTCGAGGAAATGCAGTACTTTTCAAGCCCGCTCGGCTCAGTTTGGTTTATAATGATAGAAAAGTAATAGTATTTCAAATGTTTTTATGTAAGCAATTGTAGCAATTGTAGTTTTCGCTTGAGTCGACCATTGTCTATGTTATAAGACGAAACCTGTGTGAACATGATTCGTAGAAAGGTCCCGTTAATGTTAGTTATTGCTGAAATTATTTCCAGTTTTTTTAAATCAACATCATTCTCACTTTTAAATTAAGCAACCGTGTGGCATATTTTGTCTAAAAATTCACTCATTATTATTATTAGGGTTAGTTGGTGAAACCTGTGTTAAGATGACTGACATTGACAGGTCCCGTTAATATTAGATAATGGTATTCCTCGTTGATTTAAGCTCGATATATTTTCACTGATAATGTCGGAGTTGTAGTTAAGATTGCGTTAACAAGAAGTAAGTCAACGATTGTGATTGCATCACTGCATGTGGACAAAGTCAAACCCTGACAAGCCTAATGTCAATTTTACTCAAAAAAGAGAGGTTGATAAATTAGTTAATTAATCCGGTATTGACTTCATATCCGCAGAAGTTATCCTCCTAAGGGGAAATTAGTGTGGGTACACTTGATTTTTATTTGGCTCTCTTGATCCTTTGGCCTTGCCTATAATTCCGTCTTTTAGGCTTTGGGGTAATTTTCCGCCATGCCGTCTTTTAGGAGTTGCTGCTAGCAAATGACTGGAAAAAATGGGGTCAAATCCGAGGGAAATTGGGTCTTGTTCGAGTAAGTGGGGGTTTCGAGTTCGCCGGGTTCGAGTCAGCGGGGTTCTAGTGACAGGATCTATTCTCACCATGCAAATTAGAAGAATTAGTGAAATAGCCTCTTTTTTGTTTAGAAAGTTTATTTCTTCCGCTGATATGTAAGCCGTAAATTTCACAGTAGGATGGTAGTGTTTTGGACACCTGGTCGCGAAGAAATTCTTCAAATTCTTCTTGACGGCTTCCTTCTGCTAACTTTCTTTTGTCTTTTCACGCCATGAGAAATTCCCACGCGCGTGACACCCTGCAAACCTCTCTTCAACTAGTGTTACTCAAGTCCCAAAACTTATTCGTGGATGAAAAAACGCTCGTATTGAAGGGCTCGTAACGAGGGCTTGCTCTCACGCTAGTCTAAGTTTGGGCACGGTGGTGTTTTGGACACCTGGTCGCGAAGAAATTCTTCAAATTCTTCTTGACGGCTTCCTTCGGCTAACTTTCTTTTGTCTTTTCACGCCATGAGAAATTCCCACGCGCGTGACACCCTGCAAACCTCTCTTCAACTAGTGTTACTCAAGTCCCAAAAACTTATTCGTGGATGAAAAAACGCTCTTATTGAAGGGCTCGTAACGAGGGCTTGCTCTCACGCTAGTCTAAGTTTGGAGCTGGGGCTGAACGGTTGTCATATTTTGAGAAGCCTGAAAACGTTCCTGTGATGTTCTCACATTTACAAGCATATGAGATATTATTGTTTCAATAAATCAATGCAGACGTGACCAGGAAACGTATCAAAGTTATAATTGTTTATTGTAACGTGGTATGTCGAGTTGGTTTTCACATGCTGTGCGACTTTTTATGCCGCGACTAAAACTCAAGGCAAATTTTGCATAACAAAAGGTAACTAAACAGGTTTACAACGCGAAAACGCAGCTATCTTTCATGCATAATGGTTCATTATTATTTATACCACTCAGTAAAAGAAAAAAAATTAGTAACACTTAATTTTAGTCACGCGCGTTATCGTCGTGAGGATAAATTTGTGCAACATGCCCTGACATCCGTTCCGTGTTTTAGGATTTGGGGTCATTTTCCGCCGTTCCGTGTTTTAGGATTTGGGGTCATTTTCCGCCATTCCGTGTTTTAGGATTTGGGGTCATTTTCCGCCGTTCCGTGTTTTAGGATTTGGGGTCATTTTCCGCCGTTCCATGTTTTAGGATTTGGGGTCATTTTCCGCCGTTCCGTGCTTTAGGATTTGGGGTCATTTTCCGCCATTCCGCCATTCCACCGTTCCGGCTTTTAGGGTCGCCCCAAAGCGGCCACAATAGCTCTTAATAGAATTTCAAGCCTTCATATAATCTGATTTTCACATATTAATATTTGCTTAGTCACCAAACAGATGAGAGATAAAACCTCTAGAAAAGTAAAAAAACGGTTAGTCACGAAAGCAACGCTTCGCTTTTCCCTATTAAAATTCGCCGGTTCCTCGTGTAAGCCAATAACAATATAAAGCACATAAATGAAAATCAGTGCGTGTACACCCCTGAACGTTGAAAATATATCAAGTCGAAGGAACAGTTTTGGTCTCGGTCCGCACGTTTGTCATCAAAATGAGCACATATCGGTTAAAAGGATGAAATGTACAGACCACGTACAACGCTGTCAATTGTTTCTCGAATATTGCGCGTGTCAAATATTCAATAGTGACACCTCATTTACATCCACATCTACATCAACTTTTATTAAGTTGGTAAATTCTGTACAGACATCACACCAACCAACTCGCGTGCAAAGTGGGAAGACTATATGAAGGCTTGAAATTATATTAAGAACGACTGTGATCAGGAAACGGGCAGGGAATACTCCTCAATAGGGAAAATAATCGGGAAAGATGATAGCGGAACAGCGATTGCGTGACGCTCGGCAAGTTGTAAGATGATATGCTATCAGGTATCAGACGGAGAAACATTAAAAATTCCCAGTCTGCATTTTGCACCCAGTCTGCAGTCTGCATTTTGTACCTAGTCTGTATTTTGTATCCGGTCTGCAGTCTGTAGTCTGCATTTTGTACTGACCGGATTGGTTTGCTGTTTTTGTTCGAACGAGCCTCAAGTCCGGACCGAAATATTGGAGCTCGTAAAAAAAAAAATTTAGTGAGACTTTCTTAGCCGCTATGATTGATGTGTGGACTGTAGGCTGAGGAGCTCCCGAGGAGAAGTACGATGATAGAACAATTATTACTTTATACCTACTGCCTACTATACTATATGGCTGCCTCTGATGCTCTTCCGCGTGGTCACAGCGTGTGTTGAAATGAACCCGCTACGGCTCCCTTAGGTGTGAACATTTCGGCTTCTCGATTCAAGCTGCATTTTTAGAAGTTCGGAAGTGTCATTGGAGGTTATTATTCTTATTAAACCATAAAAACACTTTATTTCTTTCCACGAGAGTTTCTGAGCTACATCGAAATTAATTTTGACTTTCAAGTGGGGAGGGGTAGCATGCGAGACTACTTCCGTTCGCGGTCCACAATGCAACTTCAGTCTACGGAATACAACTTCCGCCCACGGTCGACAACTTCGTCAACATCTGCTTCACCACGATACCTCATTCATCGCTTTCAGCATGTAACGTGCAAGAGAACGATGCAAAAAGTTTGCTGTGTAACCACGCGGAAAGTCTAGACTCTAGAGACAAATAATGGTCTCGTCTATAAACCGCACCCGCGATTTTTGGCCCAAAACTTAAACAAAACACACGAGTCTCTGCCTTATTTTCCTCTGTAAAACGTTTGCTGGTTTCACCAGAATGATCAAGTCCGACTTATCTTTCTTAGTGAAATTAGCTGGTTTATTTGTTTTGTTTTAGTTTGTATTTGTTTTTAATTTTCTATTGTCTTCCGATGTTATTTAACGAAAAAGGAAAAAATTTAAGTTGCCTCAAACTTGAATCGTGACTTGATGTTGACTTAAAGTAGACTCGTCCAATGGTATAACAAATGTCTCTATACCTTCATTGTCACTTTTCCTGTCACTTTCTTTGTCACTGTTAGTCTGACAGTTAATGTCACAGTTTATGCCACAATCACCACCCTTACTGTCCTCATCAGTGTCACTTTCTAAGTCTCCCTTAACGACACTGTTGACAACTAACAAGTTGTTATCCTAGCGGTTATCCTTGCCGAAAATGGTATGGGTCAATGTGATAGATACGCTCTACTAAACTACATACTTTTTTAGGCTGTTGTCGATTGCCATCAAATCTTGCCTACTGTCAGCGGTGGTCAATGATATCTTGAAAGTGGTTGAAATTAAAAAACCACGGAGAAATCCCAGTCAACAAAATTTGAAGATTTACTTTAATCAACACTGGGATGTAGAAACTACGTTGTAGGTTGAAACAAAAACTTCAAAATAACACGCGTTGAGAGTGATAGGATTGCAATTCATCTGTAGGTCAAATGAAATGTATTTCGTTAAAAGGATGATCAGATTCCATCACGCGAAACATGAAACCTCCGAAAATTTTTCTCAATCATAATCAGGGCTAAAAAGAACGGAAATCTGAAAACTCAAAGAAAGAAAGTGCATGCTCCAAATGGAGTGAACAGTCTGAGAGTGTTAAATCAAAGTAATTCCCACTATGGGTTAAAATAAATAAAAGACATACCACAAAACGGAAAAAAAAAAGAACTTTGCCAGACGCCTCCAATTTTTAAGTAAGCATTCTTCAGGGACCGATAGGACCCAAACAAAAGTACATTAAAGCAAAAAGCAAAACAAAAGAAAGATTAGCAATAACATGAACAAGTCAAAGACAACTTAATGAAACAACCACATTTATTATAAAAATAGAAGTCATAATTAAGTCATCTGATTAAAAATTGGCAATCTGATTCTTAAAGCAAATGGAATTCTAGCACATAAAAGTCGAGAAAACGGCAACTCATTAAAGCCGTTATAGCTTCTTCTGACCTAATTACCAATGAGCATTTCACTCCAGCATTACAACGATTTTTGTATTATATCAATTTTCTAAATAAAAAATTTTTTTATCTTATAATTCCAAGCCAGACTTTGTAGTTAAAGTAACATTTGCAACACTTTTATGGTACATAAACGAAAAATAATAGATCTGTGACCTTGAGTATCATGCGCCTATAAAAATTTCTAGCACTGACATACAATTCTTTTGTTTGCTTATTACATCAACCTGACGAAGATAGAGGTTTATCGCTTGCAACATCTTAAGGGTTACTCAAGTATGGTATGTCTGTTCCACATTCAAAACTAGCATAATTTAGATGCAAAGTGGGTAGAAAACTTAAATTTCATTTTGTTTCTGGTAAGAGCGGAAGGTCTTGGCGCAGTTTCAGTTCAACTAATTATCATTTAATCTTCCTAAATGGATGAAACAATTACAAACAAACAGACAAAACATGTAATGTGCACACAACACTGTGAAATCAAATAGGAATGTCTCACTGTAAAATGATGTGAACTGAAGCAAGGAAAAAGCGGGGGATCTGAGTGGTGAAACAGCTGTGTGCAAAATGCATGCTGCCTGGAAAAACGAAGTAAAACAAAACCATATCAGTTGAGGCAGTTCTGAAATACTCCCTACGTCTAACAATCCGCACTAGAGACTTGACATGTGTCACCGTGAATGGATTGGTGTTTGAATCATAATGTTTAGGATTCCAAATACACCTCAGCGTTTAGAGAATCTTAGTAATTAGCTTCAAATTCTTTATAAATTTTACTGTAAGTACACCATAAAAGTGGAACATTGAATCTTCTTCACAAAAGAAATACTTCTTGTGGTTCTTTACAACCATAAGAGCCAAATATCTTAAAGTTAACGATAAGTTGTTATACACCACCCTGTTAAACTTCATAAGCACCATCATCTGTATTGTGCCTTTCCTCTTTCAACATATGCTAGAAAAAAACACAACTTATATTAAGAACGACACGATTGAAAAACTTTCATGCCATGACTGGTCGGGGAAAGATGAAAAACACTTTGCGGGTAAGCTCAAAGTTATTAAGTACAAAAATATATCAACATAATTAACCATTTCAAAATCAGGTAATATTCAAAGAAATTAAATTTAGTGCCGATTGACTCATTAAAAACTTAAGAGGATGACATGGAATTCATAGGTGAATCTCAAGGAAAAGTGTCAACAGCTTACTGTAAGTGAATCAAGCTCCTGAGAGAAAGCTCCTATTGTCCCTGTTACATGGTCATCACCCTAAAAAGTATTAATGACAACTAATTAATACCAAAGCTGTGAACCATGCATCCATCTTTTAATTTTATAAAGAAGTCTTTGTTTGTATATGGGAATGTAGCGAAACATAACGGTTTTTCTTTGAATAAATCCACAATTTGTTCTTTTTCCTGGAACGTGGTGTCTGTACTTTTTTTTAATGTCAATATGAAAGAGAAATAACTTGATACATGTAATTCACGTTAATCTGGAGGCAGAAAATAAATTCATTTCTTCAGCAATCTCTTCTATTCATTTTCTTTAAACTGCTTCGACACAAGAACATATTAAGAGTTTTTGTGGTAGCATGTTAATAATTATATAGCTTTAAATGACACACTTAATGATAAAAATGATAAACCTGAATTTCCCTATCTTCATCACGTTTTATTCTTGATTGTAAGCCAGACTCATCATTTCGCTCAGCTGAGCGTCTACTTCGCTGTACCACAAATGTCGTCAAAGCTGGAGGAACCTCTAGGTCCATAGGACATACATAGTCATCCAGTTCTACATCCCCCTTCCCACGCTTTCGTAGTGCACTAAATGACGATGTTCTTCGGACAATCTACCAAAGTGATGCAAGTCTTGTTTATTCTAATAACTACCTCAACGCAGGTGGAATGTCTATTCCAACCATTTCCACCCAAAACAATTGAAACATTTACCACGAAAAGTCAACCAGTTACTTCATCCTACCAACCCTGTATACTGGTATCTCAATCTCAGAGTGTTCCAGTACAGAGGATTCAGTGTATTAAATAAGAAAAAAAAAATCACATGCAATCAGTAGCCATGGTGGATATAAAAATTGTACCAGAGGAATCAAAACAAGCATGATATAGCCCTTGAAAAGTAGTACTATCCATTCCATTTTCAACAAGACCTCTTTATTTAAATGTAATATAAACGAAACACCACACTGATTCAGTGAATACCTTATGCTTAATTCCTGGCATGAGAGGCTGAAACAACGGGTCACCCGCTGCCTCTTCCTTCACTTTATGACATGCAGTCCCAACAAGGGATTGGAAATGAGTAGCCAAGTGTCGTCGAAGAAGTGTTTTGCTGCTTGGTATGGACAGTAATGCTGCCAAGCTCTCTGCAGTAAAACGTGGCTCCAGTATCTACATTAATAACAGCACAGCCATAAGTGTGATTTACCCATGACAGTTAATATCATTAATCATTCAACATGAAACTTACAACATACAAAGGATACATTGTTAAATTTTACACTCGAAGTACTCGACTCAGTTTGCAGATACTTTCCAAGATAATCAGTATTGAGAAATATATTCTTTGTCTTGTCACGCGGGACAAAGAAAAAGTTCTTATTTCTCAGTTACTATTTGAGTATATCGAATATTTGAACCTTGTGCGTCAGCGTTTTTTGTTCTCTGCCGATGTAAAAGGGAATAACTATTAATTTGTGAGGTCTGTTGGCACTTTTAAAATAACAATTAACTAATTCGCCTTGGGCCAGTTTTATTTAAATTGTACTTTACTTTTGTAAATTTTAGAGAAAGAGAGATCTCAACTTAAAATATTTTATCATTGTTACCATAATTGTAGGTTATTTCACGGTGGGTGAGCGCGTACGATTTTTATTCACAACAAGTGAATGAAAATCGTACAAGCGAACCAACCGTGAAATAACTTATTTATTACATACATACCGAGATTCATAAGCGAACAGAACTCAAAGATAAACATATCTTTACATTCTTTCAAAGGAAAACAACGCGCGGTTAGGCCGCCTCACAGTTCGAAAGTTGCACCGAAATGGCTTCCTTGTAAAATTCTTTACATTTAAATTATCAAGCAAAAATGCCGTTAAAAGGTTAGAATAAACTAGTTAGAATAAAATAAGACATCCTGAAAATATGTTGAAATAGTTATACGGAAGTTCAAAATTTGAAATTCAGAAGTGAAAACCCGAGACTTTCCTTCTTAGATCCCTCTGCTTTGACAGAAGCGCTTCCCGAGTTTGCTCGAACTGGACGTCTTTCGTAAGGCAAAGTCCATAGTTTTTTTCCTTCAAATGGCGCTCAAAGCTAACGAAGAATGCCCTTAAGGAATTAGGTTCGTATTCCTCGTTGTCTTCTTTTTTGCGAACCGTTATAAGGAACTCGCTAAGAAACTTGTTCAGCTATTGAGGAGTTAATTCGTCCATTTGTCTCGTCTCGCCTTTTAAAGCCTAGCCGTGGTCAAAAAATAAAACGCGTTTACATGCAATCTTACAACCCCGGGGTGCTGGAGTGAGGTTTCTTGAGGTTGTTGTTGCGCTTGCAATTAAGGAGTTTGAGCAGAGGCATCCCAAGCTCACATCTCGAAAAAGACGAAAGATTAATTCTCGGAACATAGGTATTTATTAATGAAAGCGTCACGCGTTGTGTTACGCGGTGTTTGGTTTCGCGAGGAACCGTTGACTTAATACGTTATACGGAATAGTTTGGGAAACCAAATATGGTCGATTTACGACGCTAAATGTTCCGAAATGTAAACATTTTACACTCCTTGTGTCCGTTGCGATTTCTGGTTATTTGTGCTATGAGACGGCTAGGAAATGTACAAAGTTTTAAAACATACATGTTTTGAGCTTTTTGCCATGAACGCGACCCCGGCTAGACGGGTTACCCCACTTTGACACGTTTACATAGCAAATCGTCACCCCGGCTGACAGGGTTACTCTACCTGGCAGACCGGGCAACCCGCCTAGGCGGGTCACCCCACTTATCATGTAAATGTGATCAAAATAAAAGAAGAAATTATATAGACAGGCGGGTCACCCCTCCTTGGCGGGTTACCTCACCTACCTGGGGTCCCCCACCTTCATGTAAACAGGCCCTTAAAAATGTGTTACTTGTCTGTCAAGAGGAGCGGCGAGCGAGCGACACGGTTTTGTTCACGAGTGAAAATAATGATATAGCCAATCAGAGCGTCGATACGTCGTTTTTCACTAGTGAAAAAATCGTATGACCAATTACAACCTCTTCTCTAGCGCGAAGAGACTATTTTTATCTCAATGCTTTTTGACGCGTAAATCTCGGTAGGTATATAATAATTATAACTACCATCATCATTACTGTTGGTATTATCATTATTCATGTAATAGTGTAGTTTGATCGTCCGGGTTACCCCCAGGTCAAACCATTTACTGTATTATTATTCATAGAATGCATATCTTTACCATCAGTGATCCATGTACACCACTTCCTCGGAGATTGGGTGCATACTCCGCTAAATCGACCAAGCGCAACCATTCTGTGACTCGACTGTTGGTCCATAATAGTACATCAGCACCTTTAAACCATGACTGATTAATACAGCAAAATAGGGCATTAGTATCAAAGTTTGCAAATAAAACTAAGCATTGTTACAGTGCTGACACTCACAATTGTCAGGAATTCTTACGCAAGAAATTTAATTAAAAGAAAGCCAAGATATTTCAATGCCACTGACGTTGCACGCTACAGCCAGTAAAGTTTAGCAATGTATGGAACTGACCTCATCCACAGGATGCCTCTTGAGACAGTTTGGATGGAAATTGTGTAACCTGTTCCAAAATAGCAAGGAAGATGATAGTCGACTATTGTTTTAGTTACAGAAACTTTAAATGCATTAAATGTATACATAGCCCGCTTTATTATTCAAGATAGGTGAAAACTAAATAATAAGGAAAAAGAAAACACAGGTTATCATGTGCTTTCAATTTCAATGACACTATACCCAGAACAAATGCGTGAATGTGATTCCACTTATCGAATTCTTACTGTTACTGAGAACGGCCTGTTAATTCATGACGTTTATCTTTAAGGCAGACTATATCTCCCTCTGTAATTGTACTTGAATTCCCCGTTAAAATAAACCAACAACAACAAATAGAAGCACTGAACAACAAGCAGTGCATAGAGAGACGTTGGATCTGATAGGAGGAATAAAGACAACTAAAAACACACAGGATAACGCTAAGTGGGGCTTTAATCAAAAACAGGTCAATGGATGGTACTTGCTTATCCATCTAATGAAACCTGATGTACCCACCATAATTTGTTGCAATGGTATCAAGAAAATTCCAGTGAGCATTTCTTTTCGTTTTTATCTATCTAATTTGCCGGAACGAGTTTGATTCATAAATGCGTAGATGCCTTTAATGAAATAAATTCGGTAAAAACTAATCATAATTTCACACTACTGTTCACATTGGTTAATATTAATCAGAATAATTTAACAGTCCTTACAGTACGTGATAAACATATAAACCAGGAGTGACAAGAAACACTGCAATTGCCGGTATAGGAGATATCAGTTAGGGCCCCTGGCGCTGTACTGAACAAAATTAATCATAGAATTAACAAAATGTACAATCATCACCTGAGGCACTGTATCGCTCTCTTTAAAGTGATGTGGTGAAGTGTGTTGTGCACTTTGAGGTGTAGCAAGTCACTCTGAACAGCAAAAACAAGACATATGCTACAAAAGGTAACTTAAAGTATTCTAAAAATAAAAAGATATTCAATACACCAAAGACATTGAATGCAATCTGTCCATAAATTTCATTAGAAAATACTTACCTAAAAATAGCTGCCAAGGACTTAAGAGCTAATGTCAACATACATCAGACAAACAGCGGCAAGTCGCCCTAATTCGTTTTCTCTCCTACTTTCATATTTTGTAGCCCAACATGTCCTAATTGTGGTGTGGTTTTTTTGTGAAAATTACTTTAGTTTTTGAGAAATGAGTTTTTTCGTTCGACCGCTCAAATATGCAAATTTTCATTCTGAATATTGCCCGAGTTGTGTGATCTCGTGTAACGAATTTACTCGACCTCCGGTATTTATGTCGGCATAATCCTTTGTTTTATCATCTAAACTTAATCCCCTGTCATTGCAAGTCAATGCCAGTAAACGGTGGCGACAAGTAGGCACACCATGTATATTTCATAGTCGCTAGCATGTAAATGTTGCCGGACTTTGAGTTCATCTCACGATAGAACAACACAAATACACAAGGAAATTTTTACAGTAACTTTATAACCATCCTTTTGTCCTTTAAAAGCCAGAAGTTCAGTAGATTCTGTCATATTGGTCATTGTTAAAACTGTCTGTTTTGATGCTACTTTTCAACATAGAAAAAGTATGTCGGATAAAAATATTCACCAAAAAATAAATATTTCTTTGCCAGCTTCAATAATGACAGGGGATTAAGTTTAGATGATAAAACAAAGGATTATGCCGACAGAAATACCTGAGGTCAAGTAATTCGTTACATGAGGTCACACAACTCAGGTAATATTCAGGGTGAAAATTTGCATATTTGAGAGGTCGAACGAAAAATATCATTTCTCGAAAACTATAACTATTTTGTGAAAATATATTTTCACAAAAAAACTACACCACAATTATTAGGACATATTGGGCTACTAAATATGAAAGTTGGAGAGAGAACGAATTTAGGGCGACTTGCCACAGTATTCAAATTTGTTGGATGGATGCTGACATCCTCTCTTAAATTGGAATTCTGTTCTAAGTATTCAAATGTACATTTTTTAAAAAAATGCAAAGCATCCCATCATATTCAAATCCTGGATGTCAGCTAGATATTAGTTCAATGGCCTGCTACCCGCAATTCATAGTGCTAACATGATACTACCTCTAACAGGATATCATTACTTACATATGTGAGATAGTTTAGCATATGGCCATCAACGGAACCCTCACTAAAGGAGTCTTTATACTGTGGCAAGCCAATGTCATCTAGCCAACCTGACATAACACAATGAAAAAAACAGTTGTTAAGGACCAGCTAACCAGTTATAGTGCTTTGGAAGTGTACATTTTTTTTTCATTATCCAAGTTAAAATTACAGATTTTATAAAGCATTACCTGTTAGAAGTTGCATTTATTATCTGAAAATATTGTGGGGTGTTCAATTCTTCAGACTGGCTAATGATCATACTATACAACTAATTTTCCCTTTTGTTTAAGGATTAAAATGAATAAAAACACATTGGTAAAGATATTTAACTTTGTACTAAATTTGTGTTCATGTACTTGTTGTAGTTGTACTGTACCTAGCACCCAGTGGTTACTCAGCCTCCCCATCACATCAGCTCCATCTGAAACTAATGCCTAAACAGATGCAACAAGCAACACACAATCTAGTCAGCACAGATATCACTTAAGTACAGTCAGTTTGGAGAAGAGAAAGGGTGACTTAAAGTAAAGAGCCCAAAATGCTGATAAATCATCAATGTGTGACTTGAATCAATAACCTAATGAATTTTACATTTACATTGAAGATACTGAAGATAGTAATTTTATTTCAAACTTTGGTGTATGTGCTGCAGGTGTACTAACAGAAATTATTATTATACTATTATCGTTATTTCCCTATGCTTGCCATTATTATTACCAGTCCCTTCTACCATGGATGTTTTTAATAACCAGAGGATAATCAATTTACCTGAAGTGCTAACTGTAGTTTTTTCCTATGGAGTGGATTCTTCAATCCCATGTCTTTCTCAAGCTGAGCTGGTGATGCTTTAAGCAGGTCCTGACCACATGTTATCACTCTTCCACATTGCACTGAATAGTGTCCTAGGCCAAGGTCATCAAGCCAACTTAGCACCATTTGTCTACTCCACTGACTAAATGGAAGCTCTAATTGGTCACTAGAGACATGAATCATATCCATCTCTTACCATGATGTAACAAATACTTATTGATATTTATTATAAATTCTTCTGGTCAAATATGTTGATGAAAGGATACACCCTTAAGCAAAGCTTTGACTTATTTTCCTTTGAAAAGAACAAAAACTGACAACCTCAAACTAACAGTTGACAATCATTAGATATTTCATTACATAGTATCCTTTTGTCTTATCAAGATGGGTGGATTATCAACATATACCAAAAAAAAAGTCTCTTCCAACTTTTGTAAGCACATATTTGCCTTTTGCTTAATCAAAGTAGCTTGAAATTTTTCGTTTCTATGTTTGTGTATTTGTTTACTTTTTCTTTCCTTCACTATGTATTTTTCCTCATGCAACACTTAATTGAGTCACCTACATTTTATTTTTGAAATATGATAAATAGAGAGTAACCTCTGTTTCTATGTTTGTGTATTTGTTTTATTTATTTCCTTTTTTTTTGTAATTTTGTATTTCTTTCCTTCAAATAATGTGAAATTAAAACAATATATAAAGATCATTTGGAGAAAGGATAAACCCATTAACAAATACATTTTCTTACAAAAAAAAAGCTTTATAGTTATGGAAAACAACCATATCTTTAAAATTTCTTTCTTGGGTCCATATGAAAAGAAAAAGCTGGTTTTCCTAATTAACTTCAATAACTGAAGCCACACAGTAAACATCAGAAATGTTTTCTCTCAAATCAACAATACCAGCAATCTCCCAGATGCGCCTTGGTTGTTTTTCTACACCCTTTGGAAGTTGGATGTTTTTATTGTGAATATTTCCCTCTACTTAACTTTGAAACCATACAGGATGTCTATCATAATATGAAATACCCAGTGCATTTAATATTCATACTCTACTTTGCACCTGTATCACCTAATCACAAATAAATGCACAACCCCTCTACCACTGTAGATTACACAGCTTACACAAACTGAGCTGCTTAAGTGTTATTTCATAACATGTCATCACATCCACATATATTCATAACATAGAAAGCAATGCACTAACATACAAGAATGAGTAAAATAGAAAACAAGCAGTTAAAACTAACAACAATGACACATCATCTAAGATAGCTTCCACACGGATACAATGATTACTGTAAGTGAACCAGACAGTCTATTCTTTTCTAAATCCTACAATTCCAGTGAGAAATTCACCTTATCTCTTTAATCCCAAAGCAAATGACAAAGGCCCAACACTTAAGTTTTTAACAGTGGCCAATTTACATTATCAATAATTAAGAGTTAAAAAGGCAATTTTGCAACTAACATATATCATTTGTAAACACTGAGATTATGATGCACAGCAAGTAGTGAGTTCACATGCTTTACCCATAATCACTGTGACTGAAGCCTGTGTAACTCTTCAGATCAACAGGCTCTACAACAGCCAGCCTGTCAGCAGGGTTCATCCCCAGGGATTTTGTCCTTCGTAGCCTACAATAAAATAAAAGGTTACTTTTCTAGGATAAACTCAGTGGTAAGAGAAAATCACAGTTGAATCAAAATCATTATAAGTTAAGGAGACTCTTTTAGGGACACTTTGTTGTATATCTCACAAAAATAACAGACTGAATGTACAAGCATTAAGCTCTAATGCACAGGAACAATTTAAAACAATTAAAACAAAAACAAAAAATTGTATTTCACAAAACAATTTTCTAAAGCTATGGGAGACCAATGCTGACTCTGCCCTTTTTACTACAATAAGTTATATAAAACTTAAGTAAGGCTGCCCTATCTTTTAAGCCCTTAATGGTTATTATGGGCAGCTTGAACACTCTCCATTTTTATGTAATATATTATTTTTGTATCCTGTAAGTTAATGTTGGGTACAAATGAAGTTGTTGGTAATTTTCAGCAAATTATTTCTCTAATCCACAACAAAGGAGACTATCTTTGTGCAAGAGGAAGCCAATGAGAAAACAATCAACCAATACATCAATCATGTAAATGTATTAAACGTAGTCAGTACACTTAGCAAAAGAGCTAGTTTGCAGGTAGGCCTCCAAAAAAAAAAGAGAGAGAAATAAAGGAAAAAACAAAAGCCTTTTGAGGGTGTATAAATTAAAGCTAAGTTAAGATTAAAAACTAACTAATATTAAAATATAAAACTTCAACAATGTTTTGTCAGCCTAAGTTTAAAAATGTAGAAAAATATGAACATTATAAAAATGGTAAAAATTGATTAAGAATAGACCCACATCGCACTCAGTGTCCTGTGAGATTTGATTTTTTTTTAGTTGTTTTTAAAAGTAGTGTATGTTTGAACCCTCCAAGACATGTCTAATATAGTATTCCACAATTTCGATGAACACATCTCCATGATCTTAAGCTGAAAGTTGATCATATTACTTTTTGAAAGGACGTTTGCTTCAAGTTTCCTCATTACCTTGAGAACTTCTGTTGGATTTGTATTGCTTAGCAACAAATTTAGCCTGTTTGCTAGGTTTTTTGATATGAGCAATCTGCTAGATGATAATTTTGATTTTGTTATTTCGTACTTTGAGTAAAACTTGTGAAAAAATTGTTTAATGTTTCATTACATCTTGAGGATTCTTGATGATTTTATCGCCCTCCTTTCATGTGATTCCACTATTGTCTACAGTCTTTTGAGAGTTAACATAAGGCTTTATGGTGTGCTAAAACATCTTTTGATCTGTATATTTTTCCCAACACAGCTTCTCAAATATTTGCATATAGATTTCTTCTCATGCTAACTATTTTGTTTCACATAAGACGGTAGTTCTACCAGTCACTCTGATTTAGTGATCTATTAAATTTTTCTTTGGCCAATTTCATTCTACCATTCCTCTCCAAATTTTCCAGAGTGATAAACTTCAATTCTTCTAAAGATTGTCAATTGAAATATCTCATTCACTGCGAATGGTCATCTCACACCTACTTGTATAACATCTCCTGGCACCAGTAGACATTGTCCACATCATCAAAAACTTATGAAGCATGAAAAGGAACTTTACTCAGATCTTTCTGAAAATAACAGTAAGGAAGAATGCATGTGCTGATGCTTACTTAGTAATTGCTTTTCCAAATTTACTAAAGCTTGTTTTCTTTTCTTCATCATGATTCTGGTAGTTGATGTTTCCCTGTTCTCTGGAGGTTTCCTTCAATAGTATGAAACAAAATGCAATCATATTTACATGAACATGGGTATAACATAACAGGAGTCATATAACTGTCAACTGAGTTTGGGTATTACAAGACCTTGAAAGACTCAAGTCGATAATGACAGAGGAGTTCTCCAAGCCTTTCTGGGAGTGCACAGAAGTGACTGACTTTTTTTTCCTCTGATACTAGCATAATGTCATATCTTTAAGCAGGAATTCCCAATGAGAATTAAATCATCATGATATGCATGACTGTATGTTGAATATGACTGTTTATGAAAATGAAAACAATCTTTGCAGTAATAAACACCCCTTAAAGCAGTTGTTAAAATAAGGCTTGAACCCATGACCTCTGCAATACCACTGCCATGCTCTACCAATTAAGCTGACATGCTAACTGGTTGCTGGGTGTTATGTTACTTTGTAGTAAACCCAGATTAAGAAATGAATATGAAAGTGATCTTCCCAGTAATGAACACTACCTAAGCAGTAGTGAAAACAGATTATTAATATAGACTTCAGGCCCTTGTTACATCTGAAGAAAATAACCACTGGCTTGTAGTAACTAAAAGAATACTTATTTCTCCATTCTACATAGAGACATCTCTAATGACTGGCAAAAAACGGCACAACTTCATCCTTCTGAAAAAGGTCTTTTAGGTTGAAGAGAGTAAACAAGGATAGGCTTGAGCAAACAACAGTGTACCTTCAAAGTCAGAAAAGGCAAGCTTCTAAGTAAATCTTAAATTCTTGGAAAAGCCTTATTTCTTAGATTGACACATATTCATCTTTCTTCCTCTTGATATCTGAAAAATGTTGTTAAATTAACTTTCTGTAGTTTTTAGATTTACTACAATCTTGGCTGAAACATGGCTTAAATTTAAGCAATCACAAATTAAACACTCATTTTAGAGCACTCACTTTCTAGTGACCTTAAGATTGTCAACCTATGAGAGTTCTGAGGGTACATGTAGTTTAAGTAAGGAGGATGACCATCTATGTATGAAATTTTATTTTAAAAAAAAGGATCTGGATGAAGTAATTAAAAGAACCAATTGTACATGTAAAAAATATGATGTACCTTAACTTGTGAATACTTGTTTCCTTCACATTCTGTTGCAGCTGTAAGGAAAAGTAATTTTATTAGTATACAAAATGGTAAAATTTGATAAAAAACACCTTTTACCACTGTCTTATAATCACATGTACAATAAAAAGCAAATGTACACATATCCACACAGTTAACTTACAAATTCTAGTAGTTTTATCATGAATTTACCTTCACTTAACTGAAAACAATATTACCTAAGTTAGGTTCACTTGAGCTTTTAGGACCTCTTAACTTCATCAGTCCTTTGCCAAATGATGCCCTAATTCCATGCCTTTTCCTATTTGCAGGACTAGCTGGAGGTGTTTCTGTCTTTAGTGCTCTTAAGCTAGGTGTCACTGGATTGTTTACAGCTTGGGTGTATGATTCTGGAACAAAACAAATTAAAATTATAATATAATCTGAATTCATGATATTGTCATGTGCTTAACCAGCTACTGTTTGCAAATAGAGTAACAAAAGAGAAAACTTTTTTTTTCTCTAAATAATAACATAGAAACAAATGTATAATGATTAACAATAGAATAATGAGAAGTTGGTCTCTGAGATGATTGACATAATTTGAATGTGGACCTACATCTCCTTCAATAACATGTACAATAATTATCACTGTGCAACAAAATACTTCTATGTACACTTTTAAGTTCTAACTTATCTTTGAATTGACAAACCTAGTAAAAAAAAATGAAATTGAATGTAATGGGTGTGTGGACTACTAATCCATATCAGTAAGTACACTCTATAATAAAATAACCTGTGAACAATGCTCGACTCTGTCTTGGAGTGGTAACATATGGCTCTGGACTGCTGGTACTGCTGGTTGTTGTTACCATGTCAGCACTTTGTATGCTACTGCTGTCAATACCATCCAATGAAACAACTGGACTACTATCCAACTCCTTTGATTCATTTGCTTTCATCAGCATTTCTTCAATCTACCACCCAAATAACCATTTCATTGTTGTTGTTCAGGCATTGACAATATTCATCTTCAATTTGAAATTCATTACAATGAAAATGAGAAATATAATGACTCATCCAACAAGCAATCTTCACTCTTTGAGTTTCACTGCCTCACAATCCAAATCAGGATAGAAAAAGACTCCACTTTTCAAAGTTTCATAATAGCATAAAGGCATACTGATTTTAAAACAAAGTTTCTAGTATTTCATTTGATTGGCTCTTGCATGTACACTTTACCTTATATCTGTCTACTGTACTTACTTACATAACAGTCTTAATTGATAAGTAAACTAATTTGTGAGGTGAATAGGAGCTGAGCATGTACAGTGGTCTTGCAATGTACTCAGAGAACAACTCCTGTCTAACTAATCATACAGTACTGCTCACATTTACTGCAGCACTGCACAGTCCCATGTCAAGCATGTGTAATGCACAGTACATGTGAGTGGTATTGTAATTATTTTTTCATCTTTCATGCAAACCCTTCCTTCGAACAATGGTGCAGTTTCTAACAAGACAGTAAGATGTCAATTGAGGGACACACTACAGCTGTTAATGATTTGAACCAGGAAATTAACAGTTGATAAAATTGTCTCTTCTCACTTCTTACCCTATGGAACTACCTGCAGTGATTTTAAAAACTGCCTTACAAAGCTGTAAAATCCTGGTACAGACTATTCTAGACAGATGTCATAGACTATTAGCTCCATACAAATATTTTATTCCCAACATTAGCAACATAACCACAGACCAAAAAGAAGCATGTTAGCTACAGTTCTTCACTAACCAATAACCAATGTACATTGAGTTATAGCCTTACTACTAATTCCATCATAGCAAAACTGATCATTCAGTCTTTCCAAACCAGACTTAAAACACTCAAATGGCATTTAATGGACTCCTTACTTGACTTTGATGATGACTCATACTCAGGTTGTGTAAAGGTCAGTCACCACTAGAAACAATCCCAACACTTGACAAACTATCAAAATGTGTCTGCAACTGCATTATTTCATAGAATAGTTTGTGATTTAAACAGGTACTTACTCTCTTGAATTTCACAAGAGTTTGCTGAAGTTCTTGAAATTTTTTATCTTTTTCCTTACAGGCAACTGTTAAGGTTTCAACTTCCATTTTCAGGTGGTTTACCTCAGAAGCTGTGATGATTCAAGATAATTATTTAATTGATGATAATAACCATTATGATAATTTTATGGATGATAAAGATGATGATAATGAAGTAAGGCCTAAGTACTACACAGGTTAGAGGTTTTGCACATGGGTAAAAATTATCCTAACAATGTTTTTTTCTCTGTTTGAGACCCCAACCCTCACCATCTACTGATTATAATTAGAGACCAGCCTGTCTTCCTCCATTATTTATGAGTTTTAAACATGACAGCCTAAAGGCCATTCAGCAAGAAATTACATATGATTGTTAGCATCTGTTCCCCTTGCATTTACTTTATATCAATCTTTCATGGTACTTATGAAAACAAGGTGAACTTAGATTTCATTTCAGCTCATGACAAGTCTTTAACTGCTGTGCCTTATCAAAGTCATCAGCACTTCAGAAACTTGTAGCAGGTGAAAGTGCTGACAGCCTGGAGAATCTTGAAGTGTTTCCCAATTTACCCCAGTTTTGGTTCTGTTTCCAGTTTCCTTTCTACTGCAGCAATTCTGGTTTTCCATATGCCCATTTTTTTTGTGGTGTACATGAGAAACCATTCAGAGAAACATAGTTTCCATGACTTAAAAAAAAAGTTTCTGGAGAAGGTAAATAAGCTTATTTATGGCTTACCATTAATGAACTTAATACCTACCTTTTTCTCTGAGCTGAGATTTAAGTGCAGAGGCTGGTTGACCTGAGGAAAGATTAGTTTGAAAGAACACTTTGAATTTGTGCCCCTAAAATTCTCCAAATATATGGACATATATTTCTGTTATCAAAAAATTTGATACAGCAGAACTTATACACAAAGTAAGGTTTTAAGAAAGGTCTACCAATTTAGCCCTGTGTATGTGCATAACAACACTTGTTTGATTTTATCACGGAAGGATCATTCAAGGGCACCCTGCTGGTATCAAGTTTCCCTCATGATTTACAATACTACAGTGTGTTACTGATTTGACAAATTCTTTCATCAAACCAGTAGCAATTTAAATAAAGTTTCTGAAAAAATAATGGATGTTGCAAACCATATTGGAAAAAAAAATGAAATGTTAATTGAGTACTTTTAAGTAATATCTTTTTGTTGCAGCCATCACAACAGTGAATTTAACATAATTCATGAAATTTGAGCTTGAATCAGAAGTCACTGGTTGCTTGATAACTTTCTTTGCAACCCATACAGTTCCAGCAGCCAATCCAGTCAATGTAGCTGAGGCTCACAAGCTTACTATCAGACACTTTTGGTAAACAGGCCTGTAGGGGGTGGGCCTCCAAGAGGCAATCTGTGGTTGTGTGTTTCGCTGCATTTCACGTTGCTGTGCTTGAGGCTGTGGTTGTGGTTTATTAATGAGAGCCACCAACTCTTTCCTTTTATAGTACAGTCCAGCTAGTGAGAAAACTGCACTTGCTACTGAAAGAATTTGAATGCGTGAGAGTGATGATGATGTTTCTGGTTGTAATCCTACACCTGTGGTGCTTGCCTCTTTAAGGCTTTGATCCTTCCAATCTTCAGGTTGTTTTGAACCTCTTTTCTTCTTCTTTCCCTCTCTCACTCTTCTGTTGTATTCAGCAAGTTTTTGCCAGCTGCGACATGCCCTGCAACTTTATTTGGTTTCATCTTGTTTTTATTAGTTGAAGTCACCTGTTGAGCCTCTGTGAGCTCTGGCCAAAGGCTAGTTGGTGCTTCTTTAGTCTTGGGTTCTTTGCCATTCATTCTATTTGTTGATGTATAATTTTAAAGTTCTCATTCAAGTTCTTATTCAAGTACTTATTTAAATACTTATTCAAGTACTTACACAAGTTCTTAAACAAGTTCTTAGACAAGTACTTGATAAGAAATACTTATTCAAGTACTTACACAAGTTCTTAAACAAGTTCTTAGACAAGTACTTGATAAGAACATATTCAGTTTCTCCACAAATACTATCCTTTCCCTTATCATTAACCAAAGGTAGCTCAATGTTTTTGACAGCAAGAAGAACAGCACTTGCGACTGTCATGTACCTTTCAAACTTAAGACTCAATCCTCTCACAATCATTCTGAGTTCTCTCTTTAGCATAAAGTTGTCATTCGAGTCCTTCAGAAGTTTCCCTTCATCAACAAGGAAAAAATGAGCCAATGCTGAACATGAGAACTGAACAAATGTATCACCATTGCATCATGAGTCTTTGAAGACAATGAAGCTTCAAATCTCTTGAAGTACTTCTCAACATCTTGTTCAGAAAGCTTCTTGACTTGATCCTGGGTGAGAGATACACCAATCATTTCCTTCGCTTTTCCACTTGCAATAACAACAGTGAGCTGGTCACAATGTTCAGAATCACTTCCTGGTTCAGCTGTTAGAATGTTCAGAACATTATTAACAGCATCTTTTTCCATGTCAATCATCTCCATTTTAGTTAAGAAATAAAAATATTTTCATGAAAGTTCAAGATCAATGCAATAAGGATAGCGACATGTGAATATGAGATGTGAGTACTTCTTACTCTTGAGCTTTGTGATCAATTCCTTCTGCTCATCTTTCATCAACTCAGCCGCATAATCCCTGAAAATGATCTTCATATCCTTGACTTCCCTGTGAAATGGCAGTGGTCCCACACTTTGTCCGCCTTTGGCTGGGCAGCAGAGCAGTCCTTGTCAAATGAACCTTTGCAAATCCAGCTTTGCTTTGCTTTTTTGAACTTTAGCCCATCCTTACAAGTGAAGATCATCTTCTTGGCAAAATCAAATTCCTTATGAATATTCTTGATGTTCTCCTTAAGCACTTCAATGAAGATCTGAGCAACATCTTCGCTCTCACTCTTTGGTCTGTAGATCACTGGCCCTTGTGAATAAAGCTTATCATCGAAGTAAACAATGTGATAGGCAAACCCATGTGGTTTGTGCTTCTGGTGTTTATTTCTAAAACTATAATCACTCTATTGCTCACAACCACTTATTGGTTTAGTATAAGCCTCAAAGTCAGCATTAACCACAAAGGGTACTCTTATTGGGCGGTTATGATTCTTGAATTTGATTACAATATCTTATCTGGCATCTCGATCCTGACTGCATTATTTCTTGAGCAATACTCTTTGTGGATTGCAAGCTTTTCTTTGCTTGAGAAGTGGCTCAGACACCTGAGGCAATATTATTTCCCTTTCTTATGCCTTGAGACTTGACTCCATAGTGGCCTGCTCATGTTGTTTATCAGGAAGTAGTGCTTCTTTTCACCTGCTAGCTCCTCTAGCCAGGGTTGCACAGGGGGTCTGGCTGCCTAGCACCTGTAAGAAGAAGGTTTATCACATGCTTCCTATTTTCCTTTTTACTGATCCTCAATGGATAAAAATCAAACCTTCCGCCAGACCTCCAAGAGGCTCTTTCATAACCAAGAATGTTTACTACAATGTTTTCATTCTGCTTTTCAAACTTGCATATCTTGTCAAGCTCAACAAGGAAATTGATACCACTCCAGTCAAGCTTCTCGATTGTGCTTTAAGGACTTTTGTGATCCTTTGAGGATCTTTCTCAACCACGTTACACGCTCTTGTTATGCACCACTTAAAACACTGATTATTTGCATTTTTAATGTTCTAAACTGCTCTCTTACTTTGAATGAATTCTGGGATTTCAATGTAAGAGTTGCTGTTCAACAGTCTGTATTCCACAAGATGGATGTCAAGAGATGTCACTCATTGAAATCTCCAATTGCTTCCTCTTTGATTAAAATTTTGAATTCTTTCTTGAAGTGTCAAATTCTTCAGATTCATTAGATGCTTCAAGATTTACAATTATGTTGCTTTAGAAATGAGGATTCAGAAGTTCAACATTTTCATTGAATAATTCTTCTTTAACCATCTCACAATTCAAAATAATCATGACTCTTGAGCTACTCAATTCCCTTTCATTAGCCTTAAGACTTCAGGTTTTGCTCTTTGCCCTTTCAACCCAGTCATCCTCTGAGGAAATAACCATGAGAATTAAAACAGTCTGAAAAAATTCCAGACTCAATCAAAGTCATTACATCACACATGGGAGAGCAAAAATGGTTTCACTTTGACATTAATCAAGCAATATATAACCTTGATAATAAGGATATCAGTTGAATGGAGAGAGAGTTGGATTATTACAAGATTGTATTTGAAGAGTACTAGAAAATATTGTGAATGGAGAGAACCCAAAATAGATTGGAAATAGAGATAAAGAGAAGTGATGAAACTAGGAATTTGAAAGATGAATTAAAGAAACATCAACAAAGGAGGACAGCAAGCAACCAAGAAACTGAACAATAATGGTTCGCGTGAGGAATTAAGACATTCTGAACACAACTGATTGTGAAGATAAATGAAAAATAGGTGAAATTAACCCTGGATAAATCTTGTAAAATCTAAAATGTATGATATGACATGCGAGAAAATAATTTTTGAAATCACCTGCCAATGTCTTCACATGGGCTTTTGCAAAAACAAAAGGGTATCCAGTCAACTCGCCGACGGTTCAACTCACCAACGCCAACTCACCTACACATAAAATCGAGCAGAGACGTTGGCGAGTTGGTCTTCAATCCAGTACAACTTATTAGAAGATAGACATATAGAAAAGTAAAAGATATTTAGTGAAAAAACAATTTTGTTTTCTTCCAACAAAGTTTATAAGGATCTCATGGTGAATAAAGCAAGGTAAACATCGCCAATGAATATAAAAGCTTCAGACACGAATTATAACTCGTTCACTAAATATCTTTTACATTTCTGTATGTTTAACTTTTAATAAGTTGTACTGGATTGAAGACCAACTTGCCTACATCTCATCTGGATTTTATACGTCGGCAAGTTGGTGTTGGCGAGTTGAACCGTTGGCAACTTAACTGTAATTCAACAAAAGTCCATAAAATTTCCATGAACTATTAAAATAATTACCCTGGATAAACCAATGATAATTTCAGAAGACTACCACAACAATGTAAGACCTCAATATAACTAGACTGCTAGGATGCACTTGGATGATGGACCACAATTGAAATTTCACAAATTTAGGAGGCATTGAAAATGGCGGGCTTAGTGCGCAATATCTTGTGGTTGACTAGGATCCTTTAAGATCTCTAAGATGTTCCATGTAAATGAAAATGTCCATGAAATAAAGACCACTACTGCTGACTGAGATGAAACTGTGTAGAAGCTTTTGAATGACTTCAGCAGTGGTAATCTTCTGCCAAGCAGAGGCTCTAGAAGTGGGTTATTACCGGATTCTACAAACAAAACAGTAATTACATCTAATTTTGACACAAATAGTGTTGTATTATTACCTGCTATTTTCATTTGATGTAACTTTTACAGAGCAACATGGTAAGGCACAGTTTAGAGAGTTGCTTTGAAGAGAAAACATTGTCAGCATGGAGAGGCCATAGGGAATCATGACAGACAAATTCAATAGCTTTGACTTTTATTTGCTACAGTTCACCAAAATAAGGTACCAAATACTTGGTCCAATTTACATGGAAAACTCAGCCAAAGAGTGAGTACCAGAGACAGTGACACATTGAGGAAGGTGACCTACTCCATAGTAACACTGACTAGTACATACATGTGCAGCATTGAAAGAATTCTTGTTTCAAGCTGAAACTTTTTTTGGATTTTCTTTCATGCCTCAACTTTTCCATTACCCTATGGCTACAAAGTATGTAAAAGGTAGCCAAGGGGAGGGGAGAAAGTCTTGTCCAATTTCTGGCATAAAATTAAACAAAAGTCAAGAATTGTGGGTACTTAAATTTAAATTTTCCAAATGAAAATATCAATCTCAACTTAATCTAAAACATAAAGGTGACTAAGACACCAGGTGACCATGAATATCAAGAAAAAGTTGTGGTTCATCATCATGGCAGAAAAAAGTAGACATTTTAGACAAAAATAAACCAGGTTAGAGCACTTTTAATCTCCAAGTAGAAAAATAAACAATCCCCTTATTGAAAACTTTTTCAACTTAAATGCAGTGTGTCATTCACCCTTATACACAATCACAAGATGACAAGAGACAACATAGTGGCCACTTTCCATCTTGTAGTCTGATTCATAATTCTTTTTTTCATTCACACACTTACAAGCTCCTTTTCCTTTCACTCATGTAACTCATCATTTGGGTATTTTTTATGGTGAGCATCAAAGTGAGCAACTAAAGCCCACATTTGAGTGACACAAGCTAACAAAAATGATGGCCAGTGATAGAAACCCCTACTTTTTCAACCATTCTAACCTGGTGTGCTACCAGTTGTTAAAGTTGATCAGCCAAATTACCCTAATTAGTTCCTTCCCCAGAGGAACACATACATGCAAAAGACCAAGCCAACCCAACCAAACTAAAACAAGGGTCCAACACAGGTTTGGAGGGATGCAGGATGAGGCTTAAATTCAAGGTGGGATGTGGGATACCAGAAATTTTAAAGGCAAAATATGGGATGAAAATAGGAAGACAAGGCCGGGATATGCTCCATTTGAAGGCAGGATAGGGGATAGGATGGGTATAAGCAGGATCATAATTTAGCTTAAGTTACAAGCCACCCAACCTCACCAAGACATTAAAAGGTGTTTGTATGCTTTAGAAACAGACTTGATTGATGCTCCTGTCTAAATTGGGGATGTCAGGCCTAAATGACTCAGTAGTACATCCAGTTTCACTGTGAAAGTTTCATTGCAGTGGGATGGCAGAATGAAATAAAAAACAGCAGCAGGATGTGGGATTGGAAAACTCTAAAGCCACTGATCCCAATAGAGCATGACGTATGTGTAGGGGTATGTGTTAAACACAGCCACTAGAGTATGTCCCAACTACCAGTTAAACTCTCAAAGGCAGCTTGTTAATCACTGAAATAAGACAGTTACTGTATGCACAGTGCACAACAACTCACTCAGGAGGGCAACACTGATAGCTTTACTTTGTCCCAGAGACAAAAAGTGTCACTAACACAGGTATATGTTCATGTATTTAGAGCACACATTGGATTAATTGATATGGTTATCATATCATTGAGTCAATAACTTGGAAATATTCTGTTAACACTTTCTTGTTGAAATGGACTTAAAGCTTCATATGTTTTGACACACATGTAGTTTGAATATGTTTTACATTCATACCAAAACATGTATGCTGACAAAAGAGGTTTGAAACAAATCAGTGTTCCAACATCAGAAAAAAAAAAGCTGTTACATTAGAGTGAAACCTCCCTGTGGCATATATTGATTTTGCCAAAGGACGAAGTGGCCCACATAATATTACCCAAGTAGAAAATGCATTGATCATTATAGTTAATCAGCATTTACAACACAACCTCTGTATGGTTATATTAACCAACCAAAATATCTGTGGCTGAGACATCTAAAACAGAAATTTTATACAAGATGTCTGACAATGAAAAGTCAGACCATGATCAACACAAATACAACATGTCTGACCATGCCAAGTCAAACCATGAATGATCAACACACATTCAACACCAAAATATTAAATAAAAAATTATTCTGACTTACATTCTTTGATTTTACACTAATTTGAAAGATTAGTTACTTCTTGAAATGAGTCCTCATGAATCACCCAAACATTGTTGCCTTGTTGTGAAAAAAAAACTTATGAGGCAAGAACTGAATGGTTCAACAAGCAACATTGACCTTCAAATGCACATATATTTCAATATTTAAACTGTACTGATTATCAATGCATTGGCAAATGATAACATGTTCCATCTCTTAATTTTTTAATATTCTTATACAAAATCTGAGTTTTCAATCAAAAGTCAAACAGGAAAACCATGAATACTGAAGAAAACTTATGAAAGCACCCTAACAAAACTGTAAACAAAATCCCAGTGTCAAAATGCAGACTATCAATAAAAAGTTTGTGTTGCAAAATGTACTGTCTTTAGACATGTTGTGTTAATTTTTGGTCCACACCCACAGTGCCCCACAGAAGACATTTGATTTTTGTGATTGCAAGTAACTAACTGGTGATCAAGTAACTGGTCATCTGGGCTTACAACTTGCAATCGCACCTTATAACTTGCAAGCCCAACTTAAAGCTTGCAATGACAACTTACAACTTATAACCAAACAAATGCCCATCAAGATGTATAATGTAAATAAAATTTCAACAGAGAATATGTGACTAGTTTAAAATAATTGTAAAACTTACAAATAAAGAATTTGTTTAATTTATTCTGTTGTGATATTTGTGTGTGGACTGAAGACTAAAGACAGTGGGGCACAAGACTCGATTTTGAATTTATTGAAAAGATGGATTGCATAACCTCTTATGCAAGAACTGCATTAATTGTATGTGTTTGTCCCTTCTTGTATAAACTTTTTAGCTTTGAATATTAACACTTAAATGTTAAGTGGGTGTACACAATCATTTCTGACAGACACCAAGCAAAATTTAAACATTGAAAGCTTTTTCTTAACGCAACTCTTAACTAACCTTCCAAATTTAATTGGATGTGGCTTAACAACTTAATAGAAATGTTTTGATAATTGATCAGTGTAACATTATACGTGGGCAGTATCCCATGAGCAACATCATTTCTGGGCAAAATCAATGTTAGTAATTCCTCCCTAAACCTCTGGCCACTTTGGTTTATCTCCACAGTATCCCTAATGTGGAGAAGTTTAACTGTATAAAAAAAGGTCTGCACATGCCATGAAGAACCTCATCATAAAAAAATAAGAAGTTCACCTTGATGTAGCTACTTATAAACTCATTTCAAATGTTACCTTCACTGTGATGTGATCTGCTAGCTATTTCCTGCTCATCAAGAAGGACTTCAATGTGGTCTTTCAACATTTCAATTTCCATTTCTTTTTCAGCTAGAAGAGCCTCTTGGTCTTCCTTGAAAATTAAAATAAGCTCAACTGAACCTATTTTTCAAGGGCTTGGGTCTCAGGTCTTAGGTTCTGGTTTTTTAGACACCCAAGTTCTATCCCCTTGAAAGTCAATGACAAACTGATCATAATCAAATACAATTTCAACATGCATATTGTTTCTTTTACTGACTGTGCTTTAATTTTATTACCTTTTATTCCTATCAATCTCTTTGGTATGCAGTGGAGAAACTTTGACATACTTTCAAAACCTGGTTTTGCACATTTGCCAAAAATTTAGAGTGACACATTTTCTTGTTGGTTTTACATAGTTTGGTACCATGGCAGAACTAGTTACTGATGGGGGCCCTTAAGTTTCTCTTCACATGTGTATTATCTTTTCAATATTCAAATGCAAATAGGAGGTAAAATGAAGTTGTCTATCTGTTAATTATGTTAAATAAATGCATCACTCAGCAAAATTAATACAGAGAATGAATCCAACATAAAAAATATTTCAGTCTATAACTGTGTGTTTTCACAAAGATGGCCATACTGTCAGGCTATGGCTTTACAATAGCAATGCAAAGGAAATGAATAATGAAATTTTTTTTTAAATTTTGTCTGATGATCAGTCACTTGGTGACTTTGCTTGAAAGCTTCCACTCAGAAAGTCACTCAGAAAGCTGGAATGATGGTAACCATTCAACTCTGTGGAATAATAAATGCATACCTCTGGTGATCTACAAAAATGAGACAAATAATATCCTGTTTTTATCAAATTTCCGTTTGCAAAATTTATCCAATGTGGAGACTGTGATTCAAATCTTTCTTTGCAATTTATCTCACAGTCACTCAATGAACAATTGCATTGTAAGAGGATGATCTTTGTTTAAAAGATTTTCTTCCACATAACAATCCTTAAAGTTTTTTGCCTTTGCATGATATACCTCAGAATGCATTTTATGTGATTGCAAGTTTTTTTAAATGATTGAAATTAATAATAAAAGGCATGTGGCAAAAAAGTTTTTATTACAAGATTTCTCCTATTAGAATTTCACTGACAAGATAATTTTTGTCAGCTACAGTATTACTGATTGATCCAGCTCCAGTGTTCATGTAAGGTAACTGAATTGAACCAATTAGCCAATAAACTTTAATCCTTTCCACAGTTCATATTTTATATCAGATCCCTAACAATCAAAACAATTGACAGTATTGGGTTAATATTTTTTGGTCACTTGAAAGGTGGCACTTAAGGTAACAGTGCTAAGTATAAACTGTATCATAATAAAGTTTAGATGTAATGCATGCTGCCATTGGTTGAAAGATTATATTCCATCAGATAACAAAGCAAGGAGCTGAGCTAATGCTGTCACAATGTCTGCCAATTCGTAGCAACAGAAGACCCAAACAAAGGCTTGTGAACATACCATGTACTGTAATTGACATTATCATGACACAGGAAGAAACTAAAATTGAAATTCTATAAGAGAACATGAAATAGACTGTTTGAGTTTTGAAAGTTTTCATGCTCAATTGGATTAAAAGCTTTTTTACCATTAAAATTCAAACACAACTAATGCTCGCATAGTATATATAATTTTGTGTTCAAAAACAAAACAGAACAAACCAGGAATGATGAAAAATACAACCAAAATGGCAAACTGTTAAAATTCATAAAAATCATGATAGTGTGAGAGCAACTGCCATCCTTGCATTACTTACTATTTTGAAAATAGTGAGTAATGCATAGGGAATTTGACGGATTCTTTAAATTCATAAAACAAATAAAGAAGACTTGACTGTGCTCTGTTCTGTTGTAAAGCACTTAGGAAGCAGTTCAAGAGATAGGGAGAAACACTACACTACATCTCGCATTTTTGCCCCTTACACTTCTTTTGTGTTCTAGCTGTGTCCTACATGCTTTACAACAAAACAGAGCACAGTCAAGGCTTCTTTAATTGTTAAATAAGCCTGATTCCCCTATATGTGTGTTTACGAGAGTTTAGGACACCTTTTGACCACAGTTTCTACACTTGTGTGAGTAAGTAAGCAAATGACTTATTTGCACGTTAGCGTTACCATAAAAACTTGTTTCTACCCCTTACATACCAGGAGTTAAATTTGAAATGAGTCACACAACTACAATAGTGCAAAATAGATTAGAGCTAACAATGGAAAAACTCAACAGAAGCAACATGAGCTAAAGTACCTTGCATCCTATAGATTCTGTCTGTGGTGTACTATGAGGAGCCTTTTTTAAAGATGAGATTTCTGTCACAAGCTGTAACTTTTCATTTAATAAATTTGTGGTTTTAATTATCTCCTGGAAATAAAGAATCAATAATGGGGATGGTCAATTCAACTAACGAACAAATAACTACATGTGTAACTAACTGACAAATTAAACAACTCTTCAGCTGACTCCACAGTTGACTCACATTAAGTTTGTCTGAGCATCATTTGCTCAGGCACCTAAGATAACTATGAATTACATATTTTTATTTTCACTTTCAATGGCTCTATGGCACGGGTATCTGTTAGTGCTGAACAAAGTGGAACATATCACCCAAACCTTACCAGCCAGATTTAAAGATGTTTATTTATGGTTAGGGACTGGTTATAAAGTAATAATTTATACATGGATAAAGGGATGTGCCAAAAATGTTGCCAATGAACTTGTGAGTATGTCAAGTCTCTAAAAAGAATAAAATCACTTCGAACAACAGTAAAAAAAGAGGAACTCACACTCTCGAGGAATTGTTCAGCCTCTTCTAATTTTATCTGCAGCTCCTCCTTAGTAAACTCAAGATCTCTTATTTTTTCACCTTGTGCTTCCACTTGATCTGTTAGTACGCTTACTTGCAAGATCAAAGATTCTTTTTCATCCTGTAGTCTGCTGATTTGCAACAGATGTTTCTCAGCGCTCGTCATCGTTTGCTGTTCGGTTTTTTGCAGATCTCTGTTGGATGTCACCTAGACAATAGATCATTTAAGATTCACTTAAAATCCAGAGCGAAGAAAAAATGAAATACCGTGATTTACATCCAAATACCTTTGGAGAATGTAACCAGTCAGTAAGAAAGGCGATTGTTGAACCAGAAATCTCGATCGTGCACTCGACTGCATCATCCTTAATCTCTTCGAGTAGTCCTTTGAGTTCCTCTAACAAGGAAACAACTTTCTCTTTTGGCGAGCAAGCGTGAGGTTGGGTCTTCAGGCTTTCCATAATAAGTTGGTCGTCAGAAATAAGACCATCCATTTTCTGTAAGGCTTCAGCTAACATAGTCGCCGCATCGTTTGCCACAGTAGCCATCTTGAACCTGAGTAAGTAATTTCCGATTTCGTCAGCCTCGTTCATATGCCGGAAAGGAACTTGCGGCATGTAAGGGAAGTTCGAAATTTAATAGCCGTTAAGACTTCCAAAACTAAAGCCTCTTAATTGACCCGCATATGCCTCTAGAGGATCAAAGACTTCAGCAAAGGCGGAATCTACCAATGTTTGTTTGGCCTAAGACCTTACTTGTTAAGTTTCATCTTCCTTCAATCATATCTTTGACCATTAAGAGAGATCACAACAGACAAGCGACCAAGTTCACAGGGTGACCTGCAGTTGAGGTCATTGCCGGAAAAAAACGCGTGAAGGCTCAAAAGCAGGCTCAAAGGGTTCAAGAAATGTTCTGCGGACGATATTTAGGGAGAGGGAGTGGAAGAGCAAGCTACGATGAATACCGCCCTTGAGGAGTTCCTCGGAGTTATATCTAAGTAGAAGTCGCGGTCAAAAGATTGATAGTTTTTCACATCGTGTAAACAGTCATAAGCTGTCACGAACGCGTTTTCCAAATTTGGCAGTCTAAACATTTTTGATAGTTTGCGCTTTGATCCATTGCAAGCTAAATGTAGGTAAAAGAGTGGAGCTTCTAATATTTCTTGTCTTTGTTTCCAGTGGTGCACAGTGGTGTGATCATTTCTCGGATTTATCAAGAAAAAAGTTGCTCAGAAGTAAGTCTTGTTTATATTTTAACTCTCTGGTAACGTGATGTTGGTAATGAGCACTAATCTTCGACTATTTCACACGGTGTGGAAATTTAATTACGACCCACGTTTCATTCCGTTAGCTTATGTATCGCTTTTATTTATTCTTTTTTAAGATTACTCTGTATTTTTTTCTGAAAGCTGTTTTGGCCATCTCACGAGACTTCAGCGGAAGCAAGTGTTTGTATGATATATTTAAGGACATAGTCTCTTGTTTTCGAACGAGGCCGTAAATATGGTTACGGCTCTTTTTTCCTCTCATGTGTGCATATAAACTGGTGTCTTTGTTAAATTTAAAAAGCTCTTTAACCTCAACTCGTGGATAAAATAATAGTATTTTATTTTCTGCGATTGAAATCCGATCTGCCCTTTGATCTTGATCAAAATTACTACCCTTTCGGCTTAACGAGAGTTTGTTTAAAACAGGCAGTTTATACTGAGATTGCTATTCTTATAAAATATTTTACTCGTCTTTTAACGATTATTTAGCGTGTAACTTCGAGGGCGATATCTTTTTGATAATGAGACTAACAGGAATTACTCTTCGTGGATGTGTGTAGGGTCTTAACCATGGCGGAGGGTGGTTTGAAAGGCTCTCGCTCAGCTGAAGGTAAGATCAACTGCATCATAACTTAAGTATTGATCTACTGTGGCTAATATTCACATCAACGTCCCCTACGTAGCTCACGAATGTCGATTGTAACTAAATCGTGGAAAAAATTGCTTTAACTCTTAATTTTAGGTGAACAGAATTGTGCGAAGAAGTTTGGGGTGTACATTTACTATTAATGTGAGGCGTCCCGTCGTGTAAATGGATTTAATTCTTCATTGCTTTGGGGCCGTTACTCTCAGTCTACGGTTCCAAAATCTTGATGACGTGATACTAAAGAAGAGTGTTCTGTGGTTAAAAAAGCTAACCTGGTGGCAACTTAAATGTGAAGGGCATCTTTTATACCTGAGCTTGACCTGTGAGAAACTTCTGGGTCAGGTTTCATTGCTGGCACAGGGGTTAATCATAGGCACCCTATGAGCAACATGTTTGATACAGCACCTGAGAGATTACATAGAACTGAAGACAGGAGGTTCAATTTCTTGTCAGTGGAAAAATTCAATTTTTCTGCAGTTCCAATTGGTCTGCATTGAACAAGAATGCCCAGTTGCTCCTTTTATCTTGAATACATTCTGATAGATTGACCCCCCTCCCCAGCCAAAAAAAGAGAAGAGAGGGAGAGTGCTAAAACCTGGAACAATGGAAAATGCTGGAGCAGAAAACAACAGAATTTCTAAAAATAAAATTAAACGTAAAATATGATAAAAAACAGTAAAAACTCAATTTAAGTGTAGCTCACACTCTTTGTGCATCAAGTCCATAGACTAGTAACCCTGTTGTTGGTGTGTTCAATTCCCAACATGGAGAATGGTGGGTTAACACTCTTTTTACTTGCAATTGTAATCCACTGTTATCACCTCAGCTATGATGTTGTGCACAAGGTGGGAGAATTTGTTCACTAAAAAACCAAATTAATTTTTGGAATCACAAGAAATACATTGATACTTTTTAGAAGTTTCAAGGAACCTTTCAAAGGCATTTTGGAGAAAATTTTTGACTGCCAACATGTTGGGAATTGAATACATACAAAGGAGTTATGGGTCAGTGGAAAAGCAAGATGGTGGACTTGACACTTGAAGACAGTAAGCTACACTCAAATTGAGTAATTGAGTATTTCATATATATATATATATATATATATATATATACATACAGTTCAAAATGACTAAAATGAAACACGCATGATTCCCTGTAACTCTGAGTTTGTGCTTACGCACTCGTCAGACAGATTTATCTTAGATTTATCTTATTTATTTTAGATTATTTAATTTCACAAGGTTCTGGCATGTTCTGGAATGTTCTTGTGTTCCAGCTTGTACCTGTGTTTGGGGTTTTTAGCACATGCCAAATTTTCTATGGCAGACTATTTTTAAAAAGTGACATTTTTGTGGGTAAATGACCTTGAAATGGGCTGAGATTCACAAAAGTTAAGTTAAGGTTCATGTTTCCCTAACAAGAATTTTTCAGTTGTGAGATGTCTTACTAATGCAATATGAGGTCAATAGTGTGAAACTGGGCCATTACTTTGTACAAGAAGGCTTATGCACTATCACACTTAGTTAAAAAAAAAAAAAACCCAGGAAAAAAAGAAAAGTTTCTAGGATAATAAATTTAGGTATGTTACCTTCAGGTATCAAACCAGGGACAATCTGCTATCAAACCACCTCTGATATCTAAACTCCAGGATAATGTCAATGTCTACACTAGAGTGGGCTGTGGACCTGCATATCAACCTGTGATAAAATTCCTTTCTATGCTAAGTGTATTACTTCATCCGCTGTATGGGTTGGAATCTGACATGGAGTTTCATTTAATTTTTAAACTTTGTGCATATTAGGATCATAGTTCAACCTTTTAACCCTTTAACTCTCAGAAGAGATGAACATGCAACTTCTTCCTTTTATATCAATACTCAAACTTATTTGGTAGAGGCTTTTATCTTGATCTATCACCAATTTGTCTTATTAATTCACAAGGAAAGGTGCACTGTAGCAGTGTGAAGGGAGAACAACACTCAGAACTTGGGAGTTAAAGGATTTAGAATGCTAAAAAGGAATTTTTGTATAATGTGGTTATTATTTTGAAGCCATCGACTGAAATTATCAGACCGTTAAGGACAAAGAAATTCAAGTCCTTTTAAAGGGTCTCTAAGATCAGCCGTAATGTAATCATTCCACGCGAATTAAGCAAAATGCCCAGTTGCTGTGACTTTGTCATGGATTCGAAACTCGGACTGTCAGAAATTCAGATTGTGGATGGTTTCTTTTGGGATGTAGGCACAGACAGTTCTTTCAATGGGCAGTTATGTGAAGCCATATGGTTTTGGTATGGTTAGATCAAAGGGCAAGGATTAATTTCACATTTATGCCTATTTTCAAATTTTTTGTAAAAATTGCTTGAATAATAAGGGTGGTTTGGAAAACTTTGACGGTAGAGTTAAAGTGAATTCTTAATTGCCAAGCGTACATTGGAATTACTTGCTTATCATGGTGAGGGAAAAAATTTGGAAGTTACATTGAACTGACTGTGATTAAGAATAGTAGCCAGTAGGAAAATGACCTTTTAAAGTTGACTTAAACACTCACAGATCAACCAGTTTCTTTAAATTTGTATACTCAAGTGATTTGGTGTGGTCCTCTATCAAAGGAACAATTATTACTTTCAATTGACTCAGTTTTACTTGTTTCTATCCAAAGGGTTACACGAAACAGATAAACCTGGCAAACTATCATCTGACCTATTAAACAAGTTCAAATCAGATCCTGCATTGACTTGCCTACAGCCGTTACCTGTGGGACATAGCCTGCTTAGTGCACAATCTTTCACTTCAAGTTCTGAGGAGATGTCAACCTCACAAGAAAACATTAAATTAGCTCAGACAAGTGTCGTAATCAAAGTCCCTGACAACAGCAGAGACCCTCTCTCACCCAGCAGTGGTGATGAGGATATACTTTCTGATGATGAAACAGGCACTACCAAAGATAAAAAGAAACGGAAATCCAGGTGGAAGTGGAGTCCTTTGAAAAGGATGAAAAAAATATTCAGAAGAAAGAAAAGCCCCACACGAGTTAAATCTTGTGAGGAAATTCCAGCAGAGCATTACAAACCAACTTATGGGGTCTCATCACTGGAGGATGATGCCTCATTAAGGAATCGTACCAAGTCAGAACCTTCCTTAGCTGAGGCAAAAACTAAGAGTCCACAAGCTGTTGTTGAGTTGCATGAAAGAAGAAACACTTTTGACAATCCTGTCCAAACAGTGCAGAGTAAGCCTATGAATAGGGTAAGTAGTGCAGTAGGAGGTGGCTTTTTTCCATGGGTGAAAATTATTTCACCTATGGAAAGCAGAAACAGATTTGTAGGCAGTGGGGAAACAAGATTCCAAAATTTGCCAAAACACAATTAGGCTGGCAAAGGGTCTGACATAAACCTTCTTATTTTCTAACATGAAAAGGTAGTACACAGGGCTCTAATGTAGTGTAAGGGTTTAAGCCCTTGATTACTCACTCCCTACCAATGCTGTTCTTTTCTCCCTTTCCCTCCTTTTAATGCTTTTAATTTACAGTTTTGCATGCCTTAGAGGAACACCAAATATACCCAAAATTGTACCTGGTAGTGATGGTCTCAATTTTTTTTTTCTAAGCCATGACACTGTTTCAGAGATGAGGTTGATCTTGCCAAGGAAGTTTTGTCTGATATCATTAATTAACCAGAGATCATAATGAGGAAAAGGTGAATAATTCATCTCTGCTTCACCCTTCCTCTCATGTGGGGTTAGTGACTAAGTGCCTGTGTTGTAGGGGAGACTGCATGCTTTCTTTTCTTTTTTCAGCCTTCTGGCGAACTAATAAAAACCTTGGAAACAGAAGGTAAAAGCCAAGAAAGTATAAGCAAGGTACCTTTCATGTCTTCAGACAAAATAGCAAGCCAAGTAGACTCCACTGGTCTGGGTTGGAAGATAATAAGTTCTGACAGTGGTACTGAAGGTAAGTTTCTTGAATTCCTGAATTACATGTATACGTCACAAGCATTCTCCACATGCTGGATTAAAATTGGCTTAATTGAACAGATAAGGAAGCTTTGAAAGTGCTCTGTTCTTTTTTAGAGCATGCAAGAGCAGAAAGAGCATGAAAAAAGTGTAGAGGAAAACACCAGATTTGTTTGAGTGTTTGTCCCTACTTCTTGAGTGAATCCTCTTTCTGTATGTTTTACAGTCAAAAAGAGCACATTCAAGGTTTCTTTGTTCATTCTATGACTAAGAATCCATCAATTTCCCCTCAGATTCTGATTATATTCTCCAAATGACATCTATTTTCTGAACTAGAAAACATGTCATCAGTGTCCCTCCCATGAAAAATACTAATGTGAAAACTGCTGTTAGTCACAATCTGTACAACAGTTAAACTTCTGTTTCAAATGGACTGGAGAGGCCTTTTGGGTGAAGAATCTTCACTTCTCAGTCACGATTTTACCTTGATTGAAATATAAGAAGCTGAAAAAAATCTTCTTTTGAAGTCTTTCGAAAAAGTGAGGCTGCTGAAAACATTCAAAATTTTAAGTTCAAGTCTAAGGGAACTTTTAACTTGGATAACAGTCATCAAAATCCCATGCTAAACTTACGAACTCAGTTTACCCTAAAGCAGTTTTAAATTATTTGTTTTGAATGCGCATATATATTGAACTTTGAATTTTATTTACAAGCATGTTAGTTAAAAATGCTACGTGAAATGATTTATTTAGTGACATCTTGCTCATACCTTAAAAAGCAAAGCCATTCCTTTGACAGATTGGTCTCATTGTTTACAGTTTGTCCCTACCCTTTGTTTTTAACAAGGGTAATTCACAAAGGTAAAGCAGTAATTGTATTTTCTTATTGTGTTCTCCATGTGACTGTTTTTACTTTATTGCAGCTGCAGTCAGTTTTGAAAAGTTGCCGAGTGCTTCATCTTTAGAGGGACTTCAAGTTGCACGTGATAGAATAAAAGTTGCTCCAAAACACCGTAGACCACCCAGTAGAGCTCTCTCCAACAAGTCATCCAAGAACATGAAGGGGAATCCACTGAAACCACACAGGCGGTCCAAAACTGATCCACAAGAGTTTTCTTCCAAATCCAGTACAGTTACAGAGTCCATTGAAGGAAAGGGAAATAGTGAAAATTTCGATGTTATCAACGTTACAATATCTGAAGATACAGAAATAAAGAATGAGCCAGGGAGGGATGAAATTGTGGCTGAGTTAAAAGCAAATGGAACTGAAATTCTCAATAAGGCATTGCAATCTTCAACAGTACTTGAAAAGAAGGAAGAGAATAATTTGATCTCCCCTGGTGACGTGTCCAAAGCCGAAGACATAATTGAAACGAAGGGTGTACAGGAACAGGAGACCACTGTGAGAAGTATTGAAGCATCCATTAGAATTGGTGAAGACAATGAAGATAAAAGTTTTAATAGGAATGAGAAAGATACTACCATTCCGAGCAAAGAAAGTGTGAAGACTCAGAAGAAAGTGTCTGAACCAAGAGAAGAAGTTCCCCAAAAATATTTCACAAGCAAAGAAACTAGTAGACCTTTTCTAGACCTTAATAAGGGGTCTAAATCACTCAATAACTTTGAGAAAGACAGTGCCATTCAGAGCAAAGAAAACCAGAAGACTCAAAAAAAAGAATCAGACCTAAGAGAAGAAGTTCCCCAAAAAAATTTTGCTGGCAAAGAAATCAGTAGACCTTTTCTAGATCTTAACATGAGGTCCAAATCACTCAAGAACTTTAAGAAAACAGAGCCAGAGGAGTCACCTGTGAAGTCACCACTGCAAAGAGGATTCTCATTAAATAGCATTAAACAGAATGGTGAAAAATCTCCTGATCTGAAACTTGAAAAACTAGAGAAAAATAGAAAACAAGGAAAAAACGTTGTTGAACAAAGTAAAAGTCTTGTTGTTAAGAATTCATCGCAAATAAGTCAGGCCTGCAAAGTGCAATCCTTGGCTTTTGTTCCTGCCTCACCATCAAAGGCTTTTGATGCAGACAAATTACCCCATAAAAAGGCTTCCAATCAACCAGCCTGGATAGCTTTAGCCAACAGAAGAAGTAAAAGATTGTCACAGTTACTTAATGACACTCAAGACAATCAAGTAAGTGATTATGTAAATATTGCCCCCAACGTCCGGTTTTGCCGGTTTTATTTTCTTTCCTAAACGCATCATAACTATTGATGGACCATTTTATATCTTCGGGCGATGAGGGTCAGTGCAATGGAGTCCCAAGATCGAGAGGTCTGGGTTCGAGACCTGGCCAGGTCAATTGTTCTTGGGCAAGGTACTTAGCTCCCACAGTGCCTCTTTCCACCCAGGAGTTTAGATGGGTACCAGCGAATTGTCAGGGAAGTCTGATGAAATGCAGGGGTAATCTTGCGATGGACTAGCATCCCATCCAGGGGGGGGAGTGGTAATACTCTTAGTCACTTCATGTTAGGGAAACCAATATAAGCTCTGGGTAGGAGGGCCAATAGGCTCGAGTACAAACTTTGGGGGATGAAGCACTAAATGAGCGTAGTAATGAATTATCATAGTTGTTCAATGAAATGTATTACATGTCTATTTGATGTCAGTAAGGTACTACCATTCATACTAAGGTATACTGGTGGAAGGACTCGCAAAGATTGTAATAAGTGAGTTTCTTCATTTGTTTCAGGTGTCACTGGAAATGAAAAAAGAGTCTGCCTCTGCTGTGATCTTACAGCCTAACAACCAAGGCGATACATCAGATCCATCTGACAAGAAAAAACCAAAATTACCAGCTAAACCAGAGAGGCTAACTAACAAGACCGCTAGTAACGATGTAACAAATGAGACAGCCAAACCAGACAGGCAGACTTGCAAGACCACTTCTACCAATGTAACAAAAGAGACAGAGAAGCGCAAAGCACTAAATCAGTCACCTTCAGGTGGAAGAGATTTGCCTCGAGATAAGTGTGTGGTATGTGGGAGGACTGTTTTCCAAATGGAGAAATGTAACTTTGACAGCAGTGTGCTTCACCGTCAATGCATCAAGTGCTCTGTCTGTAAGAGACTTCTAACGATTGGAAACTTCGTTATAGCTGAAAGCAAAGTTTACTGTAAACCTCATGGAAAAGTGGTGTCTGTCTCTTTGTAAATCAGAGAATTCCTTGGTGAGAGGGATACAGAGGCATGCATTATAATTACCTCTGACCTTGTACAGCACACTAGAAACTACTGGTAGCAAATTATTCCGTACACTCGCAAATGATATACGAGATGAATCATACTTTCCTTAACTACTATAAACTGGATAACATACCACTGGTGCACCTCACTGTAGGGTTATCACCTTCACAAGTTTTCGTATGCACTGCACTGCACCAGAGGTAGAGAAGTTACTGCACAGTCAAAAATGCACCCATCACGGCACACCAAATCACTACAGGTCGAAGCGATCCATCCCTCAATGTAATTTACAACTGCTAAGTCTATTTTATTTCGATGCTTCTTAACGACCAAACGTCCTGTTTCACTTTTTGAGGACGAGACGATTTTTCTGAGTCAGCTCCTATATAATGGACAAAAGTTGTTTCTTTGAGTCCACCCGCAAAGTTATTGGTATCATCCTTACTCAAACTTCATACGACTAATGAAACATTGGTAGATATTATAATTTCTGCCTGTGGTATTTAATAAAACTTTAATATGCGGTAGTTCTAACTAGTCTAATATATGGCGTTATGATGCCTTTTCTCTTTTTATCAGATAGATAATGGAGGTGTTTTCTTTATAATGAATCAACAATCATTCGGTGTTGATATCTGTTGACGGAATTTATTAAACGATTTTATCTTCCTCAGTGACTGGGAAAGGGTCCAGCTGGTCATACTTGATTCAACTAGGTATCAGTGACATGGAATCGCGGTGGCCATAATATCATGTAAAATTGTTACCATAACAATTTTGACGTAAGGTAAACAGAAACTGCGGTTGTTGTATAGACCAGCGCTGGCTTTCACTAAAAACGTACAGTCCCGCTCTTGAACTGCTACAAAAAACGGCAACATTTGAGTTAGAGACAAATCTTTTCTCAGTATTAGCAAAGAGGAAAAATATGTGTGGATGCTCAATTGAAATGGCTACTCCTGGGACTTACTTTATCTCTTGTAGTGAACAGGTAGCTTGTTCCAGTCACGGGGTCGTTATATGAAGTATTTATTTTTATAATGTTATACACCGCCATAATCGATATGTAACTACTAGTAATCAAAGACCGTGAGAAAAGTTCGATTCTTGTTTCCCCATCTGTTATAGACCTCAACATAGCTGAGCAATAAGAGGCCAGAAGCTTCATGTATCGTTTTGTATCCAGATTGATTTGACACCCTGACATCAGCATCTATATTTTCTATACTATTCTCGACACATTTCCTCTGTTACTGACAAAGAGAATCTGTTCAACAATCACAGCTTCTCGGGTTGGTTATCATTTCCTTTAGTCTCGTGATCTTAGTAAATTACCTAGCAGTATTACTGTGAGGAGAAATTAGATACTTGTCTCTCTTATGAGTAAAGGAGTTAAAAGATTCTTTAAAACCTTTATCGTAACTTCTTTGTTGATAGCCATTTAATAAACTTGAACTGTTACTGTATAGCTAGTCGTTTTAATTCAGTTACTCTCAGTCGACCAGCCAACGCGACGATTGCCGTGCTTTCAACAACCAACGTATGGTTGTCCCTATCCCTGTTCCTATTACTACTGTCATACTGCGGGGTGGCTAGATTGGTGTCTCAAGAAGACCAACATCGATTGGCCGATCGTCCGTCCACGTTCACATGAAATCTTGCTCAAGTCCGCATTACTACTGCGTTCCACGAAAAGAGAATGTAAAGATTTTGAGCGAGCAATTTTTAGCTCCATACACCTTGTCTCCAAGCAGCTCTCGACATGGTTTAAAATGAGGTATTTGATTGAAAACGTTTGAATTGTAGATTGGATCGTGAGATTTCTGGTATAAAAGGTTTAAATCTCATGTCCATACAAAGCAAACGACGTTGGATTATTGCAATCAGACGTTTCGTTTCATTTATAACTTTTAAATGCATATCCTGGCAGTTAACATTTTTACAGGGGACATTCCCCTGCACTCGCCTGAATGCCCTCTTGCTTACATGAACCTCTTTAAGCACCCAAAAAGCGAAAAAAAAAGGAAAAAAACATACATGGACTCGAAAAGTTTCCCGCTTGGGCCATGTTTCCAGGCCATAGTATCCTTAAAATTTCATTAAATTTTGAGATACTTAGAAGTAATTATTCCTCTCTGGCGCGCCTTCAAGTTTTTAATTACATGCACATCACTCACATTTCGTCAAATAATAATTGTGATCAATTATTCCCTATTTAGCTGATCCACTTAAATTACTAAGAGCTTGGTAAAAAACTGCCGCGCGACAAATGTCGTGCCACTCTCGCTTTAGGATTTGGAATAAACCCAAGTAAGCAGTGTAGATCCATTTGTTGGGAAACAAAAGTTTTGTTTCGTTCAATTCGATGAAAATTTCCTCTTATGTTCTTTACATGTATTAGCGCTGCAGACACCTGATTTCCTGGTGCTTGGGATGTTCGTCAAGGTGTTAGCACCCAGAACCCCGTAAAATATGAATTTAGGAACCACATAAAGTTCCACAACTGTTCATCATTACCTTACGTTTTTAAATAAATTAAGGAGAAGTATTTCTCATCCAAAGCAGAACCTAGGTTCCATTTGTATATAACGTAGAAAGTTATCTTGCCACTTCAATAACAGGCTCTTCTTAGTTCCCGCCTAGTACTCGACAACACACCAGAGGGTACCCAATTTTACCAAAAGAAGTTCTTTCACTTGTCCCTGGAAAGTTCGTGGTTATTATGTACACTCTGAGCAGGGTTGAAGACCATTTTCATTGCAAGAAGTACACCGTAAGACATTGATCTCTCTTGAAATCCTTGTTTTTCTTGATCTTTTACTTCCGTGACACTGAGTGCAGTTGATATATCGAAACCCGCCGCAAATGGGGCATACACCGCTATTCCTCCTCTGGAGAAAAATTAAAAGAGAATATTACAAAAATCTTTCTCTGTCCCAACTATTGTGAAATCCCTTAGTTATCCTATGTTTAGTTATCAGGAATTCTATCTAAAAGTAAATACGCTTTTATAACTTACAATAGAATATAACCTGTTTATAATCTCTGACTCCTTACAAAGGCCAATAAATTTTGGCTTTTGGTCAAGTCATGGTTGCGATAATTCTGCTTTGACACCAACCTAGCCGAATTCATTTGTGACACAGTCCGCTCGATAGCATACCACTCTTTTGGGAAAGGAAATCACCAGCTCTTTCTCTTATCGCCCAGACTAGAGATGGCGGCAAAATCTGACCCAACCCTTGTATGTCAGTGACTCAAGTTTCACCCGCTTGCAACAAGTAACGTTTCATTAAATCGTCTTAGCCCGACTGAGTTGAGTTGGATTAGTGAGAATTATATTTCTTAGAGGCTTTCTGTGCTCGGTTAATGGAGGACGTTTTTGGCCACATACGGCTTACAACACATGGTTAAGACGCTCTCGAAAAAACATCCAGTCCGTTCAGACTGTAATCCGTCTCATGAAATCAAATGACTTACCTCAAAGTTTTCAAGTAAATTCTTAAGTTTCCCAGTTTCGTTTAGATGTTCAAGTTCTCCAACACCCTTTTAAAAAAAAGACACGAAAGAAAGGTCACCTTGACAGAGTATCCTGGTCACTATGAGAAGCGCTTTTTCGACGGTAGTAAAAAGGTCCGGTTTCCGCATTACTTTGGTTGGGCTCTTTAAACGCGAACTTGTCAATTTGAATTTTAAGTTCAAATTATTAGAGAGTGCATTTATGTTATGGCGAGCATAGCATTTGCAAGATCCATTTTTCGACAAGAACGACGGTATATGAGTGAGAGACTTCAAAGAGGACATTCAAACACTTTGTCCTTGACATTTAGGGCACAAAGAGTCAAGGCCTCAAGTGATAGCATAAAACTAACCTCAGCATTCAGATATTTGTGATGAACTGAACAATGACTGAATGGAGCAGAACGTTCCCGCGATATTTAAAAAAAAGAATTCATAAAGTCGAGTGAACAACAATTTACATAACCTCGTGAAAGATAGGGAAGCTGTTGCTTACCCCCAAAGAAACTCCGTTCACAAATACATGAGGAACGGTGGCATTTTGAATCGCTAACCGCGTGTCTAGCTGACACTGATAGTCTTTGTGCATAAATATGTCGCGCTCATCCACTTTTAATCCTAGATTGTCAAATAATTTCCTGATGTACGCACACTCTTTCACCGTTGATCGAATTCCTCCCATCGAGGTCGTATACACTACTATCTTTCCTTCCTCGCTTTCCTGAAAATATTAAAAAGAAATGTCAAAATGTAAATACGCAACGTTAAGCATTTCTTGTGTACACGGATATAACTGTTCGCATGAATAATAAATTACACGCAAATTGCTTTGAGTTGACTTCGTACCTCAAAACTCTCTCCAACAAAACAAAGTCCTAAAATCTCTCTCCGTTCTTTGATCATATTCTTGTATCCACGAACAGTACCAGTGGGCCCAATAATTTCCTTTTTAGGAGAACTCTGAGTCGAGTGATTGCCTTGAAAGCGGCCATTACACGGGTTGTTTAGCGATGACGCTGAAGAATCTCCATTTGAGTGATTGAAAGAAAGGAGCCGGACATTATTTACTGCGCCATGTTTAACTGACTTCTTATCTGAACGTAACATTATTAGAAACTTTTAACATTCGAAGAAGACTTCTAGATCGGAAGTTTCCGTTCCATTGTTGCTCTTAGAAAGAGTTTGAAGGAAGACGACAATGTGACAGGAATAACTGTTCCTCGAATTGAACTTTGTTCGTTGCTTTGTATTGGGTCATTGGAGCGTGTCCCACTAGCCGTGCAGGCTGAGAATGCCACAGTGATCGGTGAGAGCTCTCCAATTGGTCAAATCCATCGTTTTACATTTGCATTAATATATGTCTCTTTGCAAGGTATGTCAGTAGCGAAGTCAGAAGCTTACCAAGGGAAATTCAGCTGACGCAATAAAAACAAGAGTTTTAGATTAATTTTCCTCTGAAATAATAAGAATCGTTCTAAAATGTTGCAGAGGTTCCGTAAGCGGCTTATTTTTCCAAAAAATTTACTGTTCATCAGGACAAATAAATCTGAGTAGAGAAAGTTAATGAATTATTGCGCAAGACTAAGGGCTTTAACATTATTGTCTACCACCCGGCAAATTTACTATAATCTTACCACAAACCACATTTCTGGCAATGGTCAACCGCAGATTCTGGGGGAAAAAATGACTATAACATTTTCAACATGGTATTCTAGTTACTGTCTTAGGAATATTAGCTGTGGTCTCAATACAGTATTAACTCTGGTCTCAAGTAGAAGTTTATCGTGGTTGATAAGTACACAGTTGTTTTAAAAATCCTGATACAAAAATGGGGTCACTGAGCTTGTTTTTGAAGCAGATAAGCTCTCTTAGCGAGCTTCGGCCATTATAAAACCACCATTCTGATGACGTGCGCGCTACCCACGCCTGGAAAATATACGCAAATAGGATGCGCAATGTATACAAGGGAATTCTCTGAATTGTCTATCAAGATAGCGAGAGTGATGGCATTTCTTTACCACTTCATATTTGGTGTACATTATGGAGGTAATATGGAAGCCATAGTTTATAATTATAATCCAGTCTAGGAGTGATTGTTTGCGCAATTGAACTTACTGAAACTTGGAAAGTCGGCTGATCATCAGCCGTGTTTCAATTTAATGGAGATAAATAGGAATCAAGGGAAGATAATGGGACCACTTTTTCCTCTTGACGGGGATGAAGTGGGAAAGTCGTAAGGGAAAGAAGAGGAGGGACCTTGTCCACCACTTTTTCTCGCTGCCGCTGCCTTAATGCTGCTAAGCTGAGTTAAGGTTCAGGACTCTTATCATGGACTCCCATCAATCAGAATAAGGGTGTGTTTTGAATTCCTTTCTAGATACCTTGATACCCTGAGATCCTTACGATGTGATCACTTTGGATTGGATTATCCCCTAGTGCGTTGATCAGAGTGATTTTCCAAGAATATTAAATTGATCCAGACCAACGGCTATTCGCATATGTAGTGTAGAGGAAGTGTAGTAATCAAACTTGTGTTGTTGCGTTTGAGATCGGAGAGCTCTAGAGGAAATACAACTCCGAGCAAAAATCAGTTTCGAAAACTGGGCGATTATAATAATAGCTCGGTCTAGCATTTCAGTCCACGAGAAGACGCAAATATTTCTTGCGGTAAAAATCAAAAGGCATAAGTTGCCAAATTTCGTACCATTCGATGTACCTGAGAATACGAAAAAAAGGAAAATGTTACCATCTTCATTTACATCATACTTGCGCGAAAGCAAACGTATTTTTGTGAAGCTAAGTGTCCCAAGTCGTAGGCAAGTGACTCTGATGATTACTTTCATTCTGGTTGTCGAAACTTCAGTCACTAATACCAAGAACGGTCCTTCTCAGGACTACACTCACCCGGACGATCATACTACCCAATCATTCCTAGTAATGTTTGTTCCTTTACAGTAACGCACCAACTTTCATAACATCTTGGCTTCTATTCTTCCTTGTCATTGTAGCCCCTAATTTTAGGCTTTTGTCGGTAGCACTTAATGATTGGGTCCTTAATGAGGGGAATGTAATTCGCTACTTTTGTTATTGCTTCGATCGCATGAAAAGCGCTCGTTGAGTCCGTGAGGATTAAGGGTGCCGATTTGGAAGATAAATTTTTTGCTTTATTGTTTTACGGCTTTCCGAACCGCCTACTGAAAGTGTCTAGCGACTGGTTTGGATGCGTCCTTGTCATTTCTTTCCACGTCGCGAAGGTGTTCTCGGAATCGGTCACCTAGTCGTCTTCCTGTTTCGCCAATGTATCACTTGTTGCAATAACTGCAAGCTATGCAGTAAATAACATTGGCGGAGGTACACGTGAAGTGATCAGTGATCTTAATGGATCTCTTGGGTCCCGATGTTTTTGTACGTTATGAATGAAAGAACAAGTTTTGCATCGTGAGCGAGCGCATTTTAAAGTTTTAGATTGGTCATTGGTTTGAAATGAACTTCTGACCAAAAAGTTGTCTATTTTTTTTTGCCACGTTTGAATGAAATAAGTAGAGGTTGCGAAAAGATAATGCCAGTCATTACCGGCACTAGAAAGTCTGAAAAAACGCAAAGACATAGTCAATAAAGCGGCTGACAAATAACATTGGCGGAGGTACACGTGAAGTGATCAGTGATCTTAATGGATCTCTTGGGTCCCGATGTTTTCTGTACGTTATGAACGAAAGAACAAGTTTTGCATCGTGAGCGAGCGCATTTGAAAGTTCCAGATTGGTCACTAGTTTGAAGTGAACTTTTGACCAAAAGGTTGCCTATGTTTTTGTCACGTTTGAATGAAATAAGTGGGGGTTACGAAAAGATAGTGCTAGTCTCAGAATCGTTTTGGAGTAATTTAAATGTTTTAAGAATGGTAGACTTAACTGCGTGGTTGTGAGGGTGAAATGTAAGAGTAAATGGAATGCCGTCAGTGTTTTCCTTCTCAGCCGTTTGTAGTGCTGATTGTCGATCAATTTTGTTGGGCACGGTGGTGGCCCGCTTGAACGACAGAAACAGGATAGCCACGTCTATCAAAAACCTGGCACATTGCCTCAGATTTTTCGGAAAATCAGAGTCGTCACTACAAAAACCACGAAGTCTCAGAAACTGTGAAAAAGGTCTGGAGTTCTCGACGTGTGATGGATGTGAAGATGAGTACAACAGGTAACTATGTGACTCTGTAGGTTTGTAGTAAACACTAGTACCTAAACCGTGGCCTTCAATTGGAATTTTGATGTCTAGAAAAGCCAAAGAAGTGTCGGAAATTTTCCAGGTAAATTTAAGAGCCGGTTGAAAGGAATTGACGGCGGTTATAAATCGAGTGATCTCTCGGGTGAAGGAGATAGCGACGATGCAATCGTCAATGTAACGGCCGTAGAGCTAAGGTTTTGGGCCGTGGTATTGACTAAAAAGTTGATGTTCGATATAACCTCCGAAAAGATTGACGTAGCTGGGTCCCATTTGAGTATCCATGGCGACGCTATTTGTTTGTTTGTTGTAGTTACCACCGAATGAAAAGCAATTGAGTGTGAGTACTAGTTCGGCCAAACGGAGTAGTGTTTCGGAGATAGGTTCCTCAACAGTGCGATGATCGCAAAAATGTTTAAGGGCCCTGAGATCTTCGTCATTGAGAATGGCAGTATACAGAGATGTAATATCCATAGAGAATTTAAGTTTGTTTTGGCCAAGGAAACAAAAGTCACTAAAAAATTTAAAGTGCGTGTGGGCTGTTCTTAATGTAAGATGGCAAAGTTTTTACGATAGGTGCCATAATTTTGTCTGGAAATAAGTACGGCAGGACAACTACAGGCAGAAACAATGGGTCGACCTGGGTTGTTAGGTTTGTGGATTTTAGGTAAAAAGTAAATACACGAAGTTCTAGGGGTGGTGATGGTGAGATTTTTAGTAGTGGTCGGCAATTCTTGTTCAGCTATAAGATCGTTACTCGTATTTTTGACAATGTTTTGGTCAATTAAAGTGAGATCTTTGTCGACTTTAGCATAAAAGGAGGTGTCAGAAAGTTGCCGCAAAGCTTCTTTTTGGTAGAGGTCGGCCCGCCAACAACAACTGCGCCTTTGTCAGCCGCTTTAATGACTATGTCTTTGCGTTTTTTCAGACTTTCTAGTGCCGGTAATGACTGGCATTATCTTTTCGCAACCTCCACTTATTTCATTCAAACGTGGCAAAAAAAATAGGCAACTTTTTGGTCAGAAGTTCATTTCAAACCAATGACCAATCTAAAACTTTAAAATGCGCTCGCTCACGATGCAAAACTTGTTCTTTCATTCATAACGTACAAAAACATCGGGACCCAAGAGATCCATTAAGATCACTGATCACTTCACGTGTACCTCCGCCAATGTTATTTACTGCATAGCTTGCAGTTATTGCAACAAGTGATACATTGGCGAAACAGGAAGACGACTAGGTGACCGATTCCGAGAACACCTTCGCGACGTGGAAAGAAATGACAAGGACGCATCTAAACCAGTTGCTAGACACTTTAGTCTCCCTAATCATTCTAAAACAGCATATGGCAGTGTGCGGCCTTTCCTTACATCTAGGCGGTTCGGAAAGCTGTAAAACACTAAAACAAAAATTATGTTCCAAATCGGCACCCTTAATCCCGACGGACTCAACGAGCGCTTTTCATTCAACTAATTTATTTCTGTTTTCTCGTCACCCTATTCCCACCAATAGCGTAGCTCCACTTTCTGAATATAAACCCAAACATAACCAACAATTCCTCCAATCGCTCTGACGAAGGGCTAACACTCGAAACGTCAGCTTTTTTACCCTTTACGGTGGCCAATTTGCGTTTTCAACTCAGTTGTTAACACTAAATTACCTGCTATACTCTCCCACCGACGCAGCACCACAGTTTCTTTAGAAACTTACCTCCTTTATTCTATTATCTTGTATTATAACCCACCTATTAATTTTAGCGCGATTTTATTGGCTTCTTCACGTCATGTGGCGCAAAATCGCTGGACAGTTATCACGCCGTAACCCTCGTCTGGGTCGATCTTTGCCCTCCGAATATTTCCCTCGAAATGAAATAAAGCCAGCGGAACAAAACCAGCTTGAAGCTTTCATCTCTATTATTATTTTACACGGAAGAAAATCAAACTCATTTTGTAAAATCCAGTGATGGTGATATTAAAAACTTGGTCACAAATACTGATCCACCGTCAGATCAACACTTGCATTTTCACGAGCGGTTTCGGGTGCTAAAAAAAATTAATGAGAGGGTTTTAAAATATACACAACCCTTTCCTGCCTTCCTGGTATGTCGGGTGATAATGTCCTTGGTTGAGTGATTGTCCTCAACATTACTCAAGGGAGTGCATGTGGGTTTTAGTGAATGGGTGATACTTTACGCGGGCTTTTGCAGGTTTCATCGGTAAGTAGTTTCCTTCGTAAATGAATAGGCTGGTTAAATCAACAAATAAATACACTTCCACATTATTTTAAATAAGTAAATATGAACAAATATTGTTATTGAATCACAATAATGTAATTTCAAAAGAGCATTAACTTTCAAAAGATTCTAAGGAAACTATAGTTGAATAGAGCCATAAAAGACCTTCCAATTTATCTAAAAAGATAAATCCAACAGAAGGTAAAGAAGATGAACTAATACTGAGCAGAAAAGATGCATAGAAAGAGCCACTTTGGCGATGTAAAAAACCGCGTTGTAGTTTGGATTTTTAAGTGAAGTGTGCAACCATTTATTTCCACACAAATCCATATATTTTGTCCCTTGTGCAATGATATCATATTTGCATGTTTACAAAGGCTTAATGTGCAATCTTGGGCAACCTCTGGCTTAAGCAACAAATTTTCCTGGAATTCTACAAACTCTGTTTTTATTTTTTATACTTTCTTTTAAAGTTAAGAGTAAGTGATAATGTACACACTGTAATTATAAAAGAGCATCAAATACTGTAGACTGAATTAAAAATCTTACACATCTTTGTTCTGTACTTGTTCAGTGCTGTCAGAAGAAGTTAGACTGTTGGTTTTTTTCAGGAGACATGCAGTTTGGTAAGGAGGATTTATTGGTTCCTGGATGGGTGACAGTGTTTGATATTCTTTCCCTCCAGTAGAAGTTGTGAGTGGATATGTTTGGTCTGAATCATAACCACTAAGGTCACCACAGGCCATGAAAGGAACAACAATCCTGTTTACTCCTTCAAGACTGTAAATTCAAAACAGTTGCACTTGAATGAGTCAAGGATGCTCAGTAGCATTTTGTATAGTTATTTAAAAATTTAAAAAATCTTTCCAGACAGCAGATGTAAAATTTTTGATGTCCAGAATGTTAGATTTCCCCTTTTTTCTGTTGTAGGTAGCTAGTGAAATATGAAAATGAGAAGTTCTAAAAAAGTTTCTTTGCACTGGAAAAATCATGGTCATAAACTTGCTTTAAGATGAAACTACCATAAATATGGTGGCTCCTAAATGACAAAGACAGTGCCTGCCAGCAGGTTAATATGAATCACACCTTTGTTCTCCAACCTGATTATTTTCCCTGGAGGTTAAAAACTTTCATTATAAATAAATAACTTCTTGGAAATCAAACTTGACTATTTTTATAATATGAACTAAAATTTATTAATATCTCAAGCACTGGTTTTGATAATTGACAATACATCAAGTTGGTTGCCCACTGGTAACTAGCCTTTTAAGCACAGTTTCCAACAATCAATTTTCAGCAACATTCATGGCCACCCAGTCACAGTTTTGTAGGCTATAAAGGGGTTTGAAGGAGAGGTCTGGTTTAAAAGCACCAACTCGTTTTCATCACTTACATGTAATAAAATCACCTTACTCCATTAAAACTGTGTTTCAGTTTTAATAATTTCACCACAAGAATTTGGGTTTGATTGTCCAGAAAACTTGTTTGTCAAAGACCATTTTTAAGTAGACATGTGATTGGGACTTTTGGAAAGGTAGCTAAGATATACAAAAAAACAGACAAGCACCAACCTTTTGAACTGGTTTGGGTCAACAAGGAGAGGATTGCACATTATTGGCACATAACCAATGGGAGGAGAATAATTCTGACACACAACAAAAGATTCAATGCTTGAATTTCGACTGCTCCGTGGCTTACATATAGTCACAGTAGAGAAGAACACCTTCAATTGACTGTACAGAATGTCAACATCTTTTCCTCTGAAAATTTTGGCCACAAAAACTCCCCCATGCTTTAGGAGATGACTGGTAATATTGAGTGCAGCAAGTAAGAGCTGTCCTTGGATGTATTCATCAATGTCATGGAGACCAGTAACATCTGGAGCCCCATCACATATCACCAAATCAGCTTCCTCTCCTTCAAAGTAGCTAATTATCTCATGGGCAGTTGATATCTAGATCAATAAAAAGATGCAAAGAATATTGCATGTAAGTTCAAAGAGAAATTTCCATATTTCACTGAAAAAATGAACACACATTTGTGGTGCATTACCACAATAATATCATCCACTATTTATAACACTAGAGTGAGCAGGCTGAATGAGTTAGATACAGTCAACTCTTTCCTTTCAGTTTAGACTGGTACTACATAGAGTATTTAAAACCCTTACCTAACCTACAAATAAGAAAAAAAATCTAAAAAATTATCCCAAAACAAAATTTCCTCTATCACTGGTATTTGTGGATCATATTTAGTGTAGGTACTCTCGACTGATACATCGACCGAAATATCGATATATTTCCAATTAAGACAGTTGGTCGACAGTTGGTCAATATGTATACCAGCTGATATGGCTTTTAGGTCATCGATACTTTGCCAATATTTCACCAATACCTTGCTGACAATTCACTGAGTATTGGTCACTAATTGATTGGCCCTAGTCAATAGTCCACACTCCGTTCACAGTCAGATACTAGAGTAACACTCGCTCACTAACTTGTTTTGCATTCTTCCCCACAGATTTTCCAGCAAAAGACTCACAGTCTAGACTCACACTGAAACATTTTCCCTCATCGCATGAAAGCATTAATTGATGATGTCATCACTTAAAAAGAAAGCCATTGATGAGTAGCACAATCACCATACCCACTTCTGTAACATGTATGGAAAATGTGAAAATTGCTAGTTTGGGACAAAATCACTTCTTTAGGTCTGTTTTAAATTCACATTTACTATTACAACTGATTTATTTCAAACTACTTTATTTTTGTCACATTTGATTCAAATTTGTATTTACCCATAATCCCTTCTGGGTGTGGTCTTTTTCACAAATAATCATTTTCAAGTTCACTGACATAGTAAAAAGTAGAAATAATAACATTTTTTATTGTTTTTTTAGAGGGCACGGTAACGAATCCTGCAATCTGATTGGTTCTTTACCCGGTCAGTATTTTCCTATCTCTGCCCACGGGCCACGGTAACGCTTTCGTGAGTTGCCGAGTACATCCCAACTTTCGTTGTCATTTTTTCATAAATATACCTCGTTTTCCGGCTGGGCAGTATTTTAAAGCAAACAAGTCGGTCATTACCTCAAGTCGATAAATAACTTATCAATCCTCTCTTTTCTCTCTCTCAAATCACTTTGGTTGACAGAAAAATATTGGTTTCAGAATGAATTTGTATAAACAATGGTGTCATTACGTTGGTTGACAAGCGGCCTAAAAACCGTCTGCAATTAATTTTAATCATTCACAAAAAGTACCCAGAAAGTTAAAACGTGAGGTATTTGGTTACAGTTAAACTGAACGATGGAACTTTCATTAATTTAATATCTGAATTTTCTCGAGAAAATTGTTAGTAGTGAAAGAGCGAGCAAAGTTTTAATTTAAGTTCTACAACAAATATAGGCTCCCGGTGAGTCTTTCCAATTCCGTTCAATTTGGACATTTGTACCGTAAATTTTACAACAGAAACTGAAGGAATTTTTCGAGAAAAGGCCGCATTAAATTCCCTTGCGTCTCGTTGGAGCGTGCCGTTCGAATTTAGTTTTTGTGAAGGAAAGACCAGATTTACACACGCCATTGCAGCAAACAAACGAGCAAACTCTCACAACTTCAAAATAAAAAAATTGAATTTACTCACAATTACTTTCCTCGCCGTTTACTTAATGAACAGAGGTAAATCTTCGTACATGAATGAATCGTCGATGAGAGTGAATAATACTTTCCGTTAGATCGTTGACTGATTTTGAAGAAAACATTGTCGTAACAGTCCTTGCCAAACTAGTTCCGTTGTTTTTCAAATGTTCTTATGATTTTTTTTTTCTTACGCGCTCTCTAATTGACAGGTGTCAGATTCTGACAGATACTTGTAAAAATAATGTTTCATAGTTTGTTTGGAAGCCTTTTAAATCACCTTTATCGTTACGGAAATGAAAATGTTTCGCTGAGGAATCTCTCTTTAATTTGCATCACCTCTATTTTAACTACCATTTACTCGCTCAAAAATTGTTCAGTTTATGGAAGATCTTGCCGTATTTACAGCCCTAAATCATTCGGGTTCTTTCGGAAAGAATTTCATCAAGTTTAAAAACAATAAATATGTTATTTACCGGCTAAGGGTCGGTCCGTATGGTGAAAAACTGTGACCTCGGTCACAGTTTTTCACCATACGAACCTCCCAGCCGGCAAATAACATACATGTATTACATGGAGGCTAGTATCTCCCTAGTAAGATCAACTGGCACTCTAAAAACTGACTTTCTGCCTCTTTTTACAACTTGAAGATCACATCACCATTTTTCTCTTGGAAATTCAGCTCTCTTTTTGCGATTCTTTTCATTATATTTTAGATTCCTTAGCCTATTCTTTTCCTGCTTTTTCCTCCTCCACTCTTTGATCCTCGCAAGCTTTTCTTCCTTTTCGTTAACCATACCTCTTGTCAAGCGCACTTGCAGCGATATTTACAGATGGCTAAATCTCAGAAAAATTATTGAGCTTGAAGACCCCCGACCCTTGATAACGTCGCAGAAACCAAAATAGGAAAGGTTATCAAGCTATTTTCGACACGGAGATGAAAAGATGAAGGCGAAAGTGGCGGAGCAAACAGCAGATTTCAAAGCGCTTTTGGTGGCATTTGTGGCGAGACTCCGTTCTCAATATGGCGTCAACATGGTAAAAAGCGTAGCGACTTGGTAAAAAGCGTAGCGACTTGGTCAAAAGTGAATATTTTGGCCGTTTCTAAAGATATGGACCCGAAAACTTGGAAATGACAAGAAAAACTTATGAGCATTGAAGTATAATCGATTTCGAAACCCGACTTTGCCGTGTTTGAAGTATAGTAGCGAAGGAGCAGGTAAGTTGATGAAAAATATTATTGCGTAATCAGGTTTTACAAAACCGTAGCGACTGTTTTACACTGATATTTCTCCGTTTATAGTCAATCCTTTAGACTGATTTTTCGCTATTTTAGAACACCAAGTATGAGCATTTGGTTAATGTGTTTTTGTTCCCACAGGATTCCAGTTCAGTCATTCTGCGGACAACAACTTGGTGTACTTCCAAATTCTGAAACCCAGCGTTACACAAAGGATGCTTAAGAATGATGAATCTTTTCTATGCGTTTTAATAAACTTGAAATGTCAAAGTTTTGCTCAAATGTAGTGTTTATTGTGTGTTATCATAAGGTGTAATTTGTTTGCTCAAACGAGCTTTCTTTTCAGTGAAAAATGTATTTAAAACATTTTACCACTGAGATTGTGTTACGCGTTACAACCAAAATTGGCTCGATTTTTCATCTTTCACGGGTATTTTCTCAAAGACAGCAACGTGGTTTTCTGATTTTTTGCTTTAACTATAATCAATAAGAACAACTTTACCTGTAAGCAAAGATTTGGCTTCAATGAAAATGTAAAACAGAAGAAATCATTGAAAGTTTGCAGTCAACCCCCTATGGGCATGGTGATTGTGCTACTCATCATTGGACTGCTAAATTAACACACCTGATCAATACTCAACACTGATATTCAACCAACAGCTGACTGATATACCACTGACAGCAGACCGATATACCACCAACTGCTGACTGATATATCACTGACAGTTGACCAATATATCACCGACAGTTGACCGATGCACCACAGAGATATGACCGACTCTCAACCTGTAGTTGGTCACTATATTGATCGACTATTGACTTAATTATTGACGGACTAGCAACTGACTATCGGCCAACTGTCAACCGACTGTTGACTGACTGTCAACAGACTGTAGAACGACAGTTGATTGACTGTTAACCGAGATATCAGTCAAGTATCAACTGACTCTAGACCGATATATCAACCACTAGATTAGTCACAAGTACCTACAGTAAACATGATCTATATTTTCTGTGGTACCCAGAGAAAAAAAATTGGTTGTAGGCCCTTAAGAAATCATTTAATTTCAGTGATGCAAAATCTTAAAGTGGGTTCACATGTATTTCTAGCAGGCTATGTCACAAAAGGCTCAAAGTTTTGGAAAACCAAATGATGGTCTCAAAGGTGTCTGCTATAAACTGAGAAAGTCTATTGAACACAGAGGTAGACTTCATTAGTCTTATTTTGTGGTGTTTAGCAGCTCCTAAAGGAGCTATTTCTTTGTAATAAGTGATTCATTATTGTAGAGGAAACTGCTCCGTGATCTCCCCCTGCAGCTAAAAGACCACTTCTAGCCTGAAAAGTTCTTGAACCACACAAACTTGTCCAACTCAACCCCAGTGTCTGAGTACAAGACACTTATAATGAGCAATTACAGCAGAACCAACAACTTAACAAGGCCTACCAGGATCTGAGGGGTATATTTGAAGCCCTCAAACAAAGTAGCCAGCTCTTAGAGCAAGCTCAAAAAGTGCAGAAGAAATAACTGAGTTTGTAAGAGAGAGAGAAATGTGCATTGTCAACTACAGGCAAGACATCAGAGAGAGAGAAGAATGGAACCAAGCCTTAGAGGCACAACTGGGAGAGCTGCAAAACCAGCCAAAACCACGGGCAAACAAATTTGAGAGAGCCAGTGGTCAGCTGTTAAAGAACATATACAATATATATACACCTTAATCACCTGTGTATAAGCCACACTTTTTTCCTGTGAGATCATTAGGCAATCCTTGTGTCGACTTAACTTCCTTTATTGCCTAGTTACTAAGCTTCGTGATTGTTGATTGCTTGTTTACAGTCAAAAGAACACCTTGAATGAAAATGCACTTCCCAAAAGTATTGAGGAAAACATATATCATAATTTCAAGTTCTGTTTTGTTGAATATAAAGAGTCAAATGATCATTCGCTGGCTTTACTGAATGTTGCATCGAAACTTTGAATCAGTCTTTCTCATGAGTTCACTTCAATTTCTCTGAGAAACTTTTTTTCCCAAAATTTGAGCTTCAATACCAGGTGATACCTCAGTGTTTCCTGCGTTTTATTCCTTCCCCCTCAGCATCAATAGTATGTTGGTCAACACCTTGGCTGACACATCAGTAGTGTGTCGGTAGAGTGTCCACCAATGTATTGGTCAACACATTAGAAGGGTTACTACATCATGGGCATTGAGCCAGGAAAGGAAAATAGGCTTAACTGTGAGTGGTCAGTGGTGAAACAACTTTAATAACTCATATAGAGACAGATCATTTGTAGTTGCAAAAAACAATCATGTTGTAAAGCCAAAATAATACCAAGTTATACTTTGCCAGTTAAAAAGTTAAGAAATTTTCCTAAAGCCTTGACTGTAACAATACTTTTTCCCCTATATTAACCAAAAGAGGCAGCAGAAAATTGGTCACACTGTAGGGAGAGTCATCAGGAAGAATGGTATTTATGTTTTGTACCCTGTTCTGTGACAAAAAAAAAATTATCTTGACTTATATCTGTCAACACATTGGTCAATGAATGGGTAGTGTGTCAGTAGGGTGTTAGCTGATATGATGGTCAACAGATTGGTCAACACATGGGTAGTGTGTCAGCTGAGGTGTTGGTCAACACTTTGGTTGCCACATTGGTAAGATTGGATTTGTTACCTCACCCGTGGACTTTTTGTCTCATTCAACAAGAACTTTTCATTTGTGTTCTGATAAAAACACACAATCCACACTTGAGGTGACCACATTGTAAGAAAAACCACACTTGGTTTCAAGCTTATGTTGTTATCATGATGTTATAAACATAGTTCAATCTTTCAGATTATTTGACTTGCTTTGAAGTGTGCTTGAGGTGAGGTAAATTTGGATATACAAATGCAGAAATCCATGTTATTTCTTCTTGCTATTTGCTGATCTTATGTTAGTTTATTGAACTGCAAATTCCAGTTACTTAAAGGGTGCCCCAGTAAAACTCACTGCATGTGACCAGCAATCACCTGAACTGTATGTAAATAGGATCTAAATTTTTGCTATCTTTGGTTGTGTTTGAGAAAGTTATCTTCAAGCAGAACTTTACCATGCCAGTATAATCTACAGGCTAGAAAAGCCTTGCATCCTTTCTATATATCTAAAAAGCTAAGAACAAGGTCAAATACACAACAACTAAGGGTAACCTAAAAACAATACAATCCACAATCCACAGAACAAATTCTGATTCCAAATTCAACTGTTTGTGAGAATTTTCACTCTATAGGATTTTTTTCTGAGGGCAAATCTCCTGATTCTCAATCTTTTTGCTTTCTTTCTCAATCAAGACATTCATTTTCCTCTAGACCTGAGCTGAATGCCAAACAATTGTTAATGGAACTTAATCTTGCTATGGTTGTCTCCTTTGTTTTAAACGATCTATGGTAGCGCTGCTTGACAGCCATATTACTGAGAAACAATGCTACAAGCACATTAGAAAATTCAAACCTTGTTTGCACTTTAAATTGCATAGTGTATAGACTGGACATGAAGTGGATATTTGGGAAAAAAATTCTGATGACGTCATTTTGCGTAATTGTTTCAGATATTGAATGTGAAAGTAACAACGACAAAAACTTAGTCATGTCTTACTTTAGTGATATCACCCTGTATCTGAATAACTCCGGGAAGAGGAGCCATGGCTTGTAGATCAACGGCCACAATTTTTACTTTGCCTTTGTTTTCTGAACGTTCGTCGATCAATTTTCTGCTTAGTACTTGACTCCAGCTCCCCGGGGCCGCACACAAATCCACGACACGACTAACACCATTAAACAGATCAAAATCATCGTTGAGTTGTAACAATTTAAATGCACTTCTAGCCCTCCAGCCATCTTCCTTTGCTAGTCTATAGTAAATATCTCGTTTATCTTTAGAGGAGCGTCCCATCGTGTCAAACTTCTCTGTTCGCTATTCCCAACCCCCTCCCCCGCTACTCATTCAAATACTGAGGAATTTTTTTGGAACTGGGCATGACTTTGCATAACTTCACTTTCAACATGGCCGGCGTTGATGATAACAGTGATCCAATCGAGTCTTCACCAGACTTAGAGAATCAGAAAAAGGAAATAGCAGAGGCTATGAATAAGCCTTTAGTTAAAGGTGATATCTGGTAAGTTTCAGTGGAAATGGTTTTTTATTAACGTATGGTTTCTGCGGCAGCTCTAAACGGAAGTGAAAGTGGTGTAATTACTACTTTGACCAGAATAGAAAAAATTGTTCAATTTCAACTCCTAGTTTTCAAGAACAGATAAGCCCACTAATTTGAAGACTTGATTCGCAAGTTACCTTTGACAGAATGCGTAGTGCAATAGTGAAAAGAGAGTAGAAGTTAACACCTGTGACTAGTCTGCATTTTTTGGGGTTTTAAAACTGTATCTTCAGCTGCGAACGATCTTTAGAACACACAGTGAACGAATTATGAATATCCATAGCAGTGCAGTGAGTAATGCCTCTCGTATTTATAAACATAACACCAAGCAACATTCATTTACAACTGTGCTTCTACATGGTTTTAAAAAGTGCATCCAGGTTAGATGTTTACTTTTTATGCGAAAATGCAGTATTTCGGTTTGTTCTCTTGTCTTAGAATGTAAAAGGATCAGAAAAAAGCAGACAATGTTAATGTAAACAAGAGCAGTTTACAGTCCATTGACCTAAATGACTCTCTATAGCTTTCAAATTATCACTCCTCTTCTGTAAAATTTATGTAAGTTCTGATTATGCACAAGTGGCAAACATGCTTCACACATGCTAGCAGAAGATGGCTTCACTTTGTAGATCAAAAATGTGAACTACAGCCAACAATGTACAATGATCAACAATCAACTCTGGAAAAAGAAGAGGATTTCCAGCTTGTACACTGGCTAAAACAAACTTCCCTGAAATTAACTATATTAAGCACAAGCAACTTTTTCAAGCAAACTGAAAAAAAGGAATTGGACAGAGAAGAATAAGAACTTACTGCCTAAGTGTTGTTTCTCTGGCAGACCCCATCATTGAAGTGTGCATAATGCATTGTATACAATATATATATATATATATATATATATATATTATAAAATGAATTATTGTATATTGCCCATCTGAAATTCTTATCAAGTATTATGACTTGCTTAAAATGAGCACCATTTTGATGATGGGAGTTGATGCAGTAGCAAAGAACTTGGTTTGAAACTGACTGGCCAAAAATCAGCTCAAAACAGAGAGATGATCCTTCCAGTAGTCCTTCAAATACCACTTTTTAATAGGCTTCTCCTTTTCAGGTCACACAAGGCTTAATTATCTTGATTTGTTTTATAGGTTTCTTGTTGATAGTCACTGGTTTAAGCAGTGGAAGAAGTTTGCTGGGTATGATTCATGGGATAAATTTGAAGTTGGACAAGAATTGAATAATCCTGGTCCCATAGATAATTCAAGTCTTTTTGAAGGTAAGAAACAATATTTTAAGGGGTTTGACCTTTGTCTTATGTGTGTTGATGATGTCTTTTTGTTTTCTTGGTATTTCAAAAAAGGAGAATAAAGTTTGGTTGTACATTATTTTTGTAGGAAGGAAGAGAACAAAACACCTCTTATATAGGGACTCAATTCATACCCTATAATTTATAAACTATTTTTATAAATTATTTATAAATCCAAAAATTTAAAGACATAAATTAAACTTATTTTTAAATTATTGTTCTAGTCTTATAGGTGGATTTTTTCAGTCACAAATAAATTGGTATAAAAGCACTCTAAACTCTGCTTTTCCTTGACTTTTAGTATCTTGCTTTTAGTGGCTGCTGTTTCTAGAGTTTAATAAAATGTTTGATAAATAGGAACCTGTATACCTTACTGTTTAAATGTATCACATTTAAAGCAAACTGTAACCTTCAATCAGCAACAAAATTGTTGACACATTGACCTTTTCAACCCCCTATGACTTCAATTTTATCTCTTTTACCCTTGCTAAGTTAGCCTATCACTTTGTTACATACAGGCAACGTTGAATTGGGGAGTGAGGTCCTGTCAATGATTTAGAAAGTGGTAGAAACAGGAGTGTTATTCCACACATTAGTAGGACTCTTCAAACATAATGTGTCAATTAATTGTGACACTAATTGTCTGAGACATATTTCTTACAATCATATTATTCTTTAACGACAAAACAAAACCAAACCAAACCTGTAGAGCTTAATATTTGGAGGAAAAATGAAGTTTGTAACATATCATCTGGTTTCATTGGTTTATTCATTACTTTATCCTTATCACTGATAAACATGATGTAAGAGTAATGGGAGCCACTAAGATATATTTTATGATATTACCAGAATTTCTGTGAATCTTAAATTCAAATTTCAGTTCAAATTTAAAAGAGAAATATGATGAAATGAACAAGTTGTACATGAGGTGTCAACATTTTGTTCTTTTTATCTCATTTAAAATCCTATGGACAGTGAATTGCAAAAAGCCAAAAAAATGCCAAACTTCTGCTCAATTTTTGTTTGTGCCCGGCCTTCAAGATTTTTGTGTAATGTGCACAAGTGCACATGTTTGTCCACAGATTTTCCCCTGAAAAACCATGTTATCAAAAGTTTTTGAGCCCAGCAACTCAACTGGGTGTTTTTTATATATAGATGGCTACATAAAAGACACTAACTGCCATGTATTGAGTGGTGCCCATACTAAAGCTGAATCAGTCTAAAGTAAACATGAAGACAAAATAATATTACCACAGACTTCTCTTGAAACTTCATCTTAAGGAAATGTTTCACTTTGTTGTTCAGACAATCAGGGACAAAACAATGTTGTATAATGATTCCATGAACTTTAACCTGCATACAGGCAACATTTAAATTAATGGGGAAGGGGGGTCTTATCATTGATTTAGGGCATGGTAGAAACAGGAGTGTTATTCTACACATAAATAGGACTCAGCAAACATGATGTGTCAACATTGATGCCAATGTTTGGACCTGTGTTTTGAGTTTCCTGTATTATGTCACAGGGCAATAATTGCAACTTAGGTCACCAATTATTGTATACCAGTCACATCACAAATTTAGTCATAAAATAATTGGTAATGATGTCCTGGTGAGATGAATAACACTTATCACCTTGGAGAGATACTGTTGCTTGTTTGTCTGCAGCTTATTAATTCTTTTCCATCTCTGTGCCTAGAAGACCAAATACCAATATGTTTTAAAATAAAATTAAAAAATACTGCAAAAGTGGCAGCTAACAGAAGTTTGATCTTTTCTGTATATAATGATGTTGTTAATTTCAGAGGAAATAGGCAGTGATTTTGCTCGACATACTGTATGTATGCGATGAATTCTGCTGGTTACTGGCTCTCTTCCTGTAGAAAAGCAATGTGAACTTGCAAATTTTTTGTGAATAGCTCAGAGGTAGTGCTTAGAAAAACAGAAATATTTTGGCAAATGGAAAACTTTAATTCACTACTTGATGATGGAGAGCAGGTGATCAAATTAAGTTAACTACTTTTCAGAAATGGAAATTTAAGAGCTTAATCATTGCCTCGGTTGTATCAAAATTGGATTGAAAATGACACAAAAATTATTTTTTGGACCTCTGTAATCATATGCATAGAACTTGGTCCCCTCCTTTTTAAATAGAAGTACCCTTAATTTTACCAGTACTTCACTTGTGTTCAAGTTGTAACAAAAGCTTTTATTTGTCATCTCTCAAGAGTAATTCAGGCTGCTCTGGGAAATCATTTATAGTACTTAACTAACAGAAACTGTCTCCTTTTCTTAGACTGCTGTACATATTTTTTTACTGGTGACAATTTTACCATACTGTATATTAATCATCTTTGTAGCTGATGGTTGCACTCTGAAAGAACATCTTATCGATGAGCTTGATTACACCCTGCTACCAAAAGACTCGTGGTGTAAACTTGTATCGTGGTATGGAATTACTTCAGACCAGCAAACTCTGTCCAGGAAAGTTGTGGAACATGGAATGTTTGTCAAAAGCTGTAAGGTTGAAGTATATCTCACTGCTTTGAAACTTTCCAAATACTCAGATCCCCAAACATTTGTCACAAGGCAGTTCAGCAAGGCAGATACAGTTGGTAAGTTGACATTATAGTCATCTAAGTATATACTTCTCTTACTTGAGCTGAATAACTAGCTCACCCAAAGGTTACTTTAATTAATTTTTGTCAAACAAAAAAACATAATGCTTTTAAAAGTATTTTTAAAGTATCAATGATTTGTATGAAATTTATTGAAGGAACTTGGTTGACTGTGTGAATTTGTGGAGATTTTATTGACTTCTTATTACTGCTTTATATTATTTGACTGCTCGATGACTGGGAAAGATGAGGAAAATCCTGGGCTCTAATTGGCAAACAAGTGGGCAAGATAAGCCTACCTTGCCTGCTGTAGATTTGCTTTGCCTACTCTGATTCTAAAAGGAGAAGAAGTTGTGGTTTTTGGTTTACATTTTTCACCCTTTTTGGGTTACTATTTTGTTACAAGAGGAAGACTTCACTGACAGTTTTTTTTCCACACAGAGTGGCAGACTTAACAGTCTTTAGGTGGTCAAAACCATTAAAACTATCACTTGTTTGGTGATGTAATTCACTTGGAAATTCTCTAGAGTTATTTGTATTTCATCTTTAATGATTTGTGATATCTTTCCGATATTGACCAAGCTTCTTTTGTCTGGAAAGTATTTGTCAGAACTCATCTGTAGCTCAGTCTAATTTAGTTTTCATAATTATACTTGTAATTATATTAAGATACTAAAACTAAAATTACTATTATTATAATAATTGTAATTCTTAATTCTCAAAACAAGTATTTCCATAGTGAGTGGAAAACACATACACTGAAAAAATACTTACATCCTATTTGGACAACATTTCAGTCTAACAAAAATAAAGCTAAAAAAGTACTTGGTCAATAATCAAGCCATCTTGACCTTATCATTGGTCAATAATATACATATCCAGCTCAGGAAATCACAACAATTTGTAAGGTTTGCTGACTATCTAAAAAAAGAAGTTAATTCATTCCTGAACAGGTCATCTTGTGTCAGAAATGAAAACAATATTTAACATACCAGAAGATGCTGAAACAAGAGTGTGGAACAAGTACATGAGCAGTACATATGAGCTTCTCAGTAATTTGGAATACACTGTACAAGATGCTGGCCTTTATCAGGGACAGGTATGATAATTTTTGAGTGAAATAATTAACTTTTAGGGATTTATTCAGTGATACACTTGAAAACAGTATTGGTTCTGATTGGCCAAGAGCAGTGCAGTTCTCAAGTAACACAATGCAGAAGAGAGGTAATTCATTACAGAAAAGATGTAATTCAATGAAGATAAGGGTAAGAAAGCAAGCATTTTGGTTATTTGATTTAAGAAACTCAGGTAGCCAATCAAGTCCCTTAAGTAGTTGTATACTAAAAATAAAAGCATTAACTATGAACCAGTGAGTGTCAAAGTAATGATTGCATTACTTGATGGGCACTTAAAGAACCAAGGCTATGGTTTGTCCATTGTTCTTTATGGAGAATTCAATTCCTCTTAACAAAGGACATCATAAGACATTGTACAGTACTTTCATGTGTGCTTTTGCATATCTCAAGAAAAATCATACCTAAGCAAAACTCGCATATCAGGTATTTTTTTAATACATAAAATTTTTGTTTTGTTTAAACAAAACTCACATATCAGGTATTTTTTAAATATATATGATTTTTTTTCCTTTTAAGGTTCTAATTATAGAACAAAAGAAGGAGGATGGTACTTGGCAGCATCCATCTAAAAGGTAATGAAGGCTCATTCAAGTACACAGACATAAAGACAAAGAATGTACATTATGTACAGTACAGTCAAACTTTTACAAAAGAATTGCATTTACAATTGTTACTTATATGTCATTTTATTTATCATGCAGAAAAGTGTAACATTTCTGTCAGTTCCTGTCTACAAATATTAGTTGTTATATTATCCAGTTCAAATATCTTAATGGCCAAACTGTTAAATTGCAAACCAAAACTATACACTGTGAAATCTAGTCAAATGTATTTTCTTGTGTGCCTCGGCTGTTTTCTTGTCCATTTGGAGCAGTGTAACTGAATGAGCAAGGACATGTAGAACGAAAGTTGTCCTCTGATGCAATGATCTTTTCATGTTTATTATATCTGGCAATACATGCTGATGGACCTGGGTGTCGATGGTTTTTTGAAAACCAGAGCACAAACATTTTCATATCAATATAAGAATATCAAGCATGAAATGTAACCTAGTGTAAGGTATAACCTAGTCTAAGGTTCCTCTTCATTATTAACTGGACCATCTACACAAAATCTGATCGGCAACTTTTGTATATATTAGCTCTTGTCTAAAACAAAGTGATTCTGAAAACAACGTATTTGTCCAACTGTGTTGCTGTGACAGAAATGCACAGGGAACTTAATTTGCATAATATTGAAACTATCTACTGTCAAAGTTGATGTTTGCTTTCAGTTCACATGTATAAATGAGTGTTTTACTCTTATAAGTTGTGCTCAGTCTCTTGAGTTTAGATCAGTTGTGAGTGACTTTTAAAGGACTTCTGACCGATGTAAAGTGCAAGCCTGAAACAAAATTAGAACCACATTTCTCAACTGAAATGGATGCTACATGTCAGATACTACTTTTTAGCATTCATCAATTAATAATTGGTTCATATGTCAGTGTGCATCCATGGGGATATAAAGGCACACAGGGTAAAAGTGGTTCAGCAACTCTAGCTGCTCACAAAACTTTCCAATGCTCCATATCCCCATGAAAGCACAGCTGACGTATGAGCCAATTGTTTTAGAATAGTGTCAACCCAGTATTCTGGATGTTGTTTTCTTTCAATCCTGAAAAGTGTTAAGCAAGACAGCATGTAATAAATCTAAAACAAATCATTTTTAACCAACACAAGCTCTAATGAAATTACATCAGTTCAAAAACTTATTCCCAAACTAAAAAAAATGATAGTTTTTTGTTATAATATACTTTGAAATGAAAATCTCTAGATAAAGTTCACAGTGCATACTTGACAATCACATTTTAAAGTCATTTTGCACATTTGTCAGGTTTACCAAATAACTGCATACTTAAAGGTAAGGCAAATAAAGGACAGAGATATTTTGAGGCAAAAGCTCTATTGAAATAGATAACAGATATGGTGTATAGGACAGAAAATACTCAGATTTCTTCGTGTATATGGGACCCTTGTGAAAGATTCGTAATGCTTAAATCGTTGTTTACTCAACTTCACAGCCAGAAAATTGGGAAGAGTTGCATTTGAAATTCTGAAAGTTGTCACAATTAAAACAAAATCTTCTATTGCAAAATACTTCAAGGACATATTGATCAACAATTTATATATCTTATTAGATGATTTGGTGTGTAGTATGGCTGAGCATTTTTACAAGTTGTGCCCTTTTTTTTTTAACAAGCCCTTTTTTTTTTAACAAGCCCGCAAGGCAAGTCAATATACAAACAACCAGGAAAAGTACTCAGTGATACTACACACCTAAACATCCAATAAGTTATTCATTATCCAACTGGGTTATTTTTTTTATACACTTCTTATAAGGCAGGAAAAGCAAAGCAAACAGAGAAGCAGATTTGTCTTGCGTAATGCTCACATTGGATTGGCTTAGGAGACATCAACTTGTCACCTAGAGTTTCAAAACGATTTAAAGATGAATTTGATTCATTATAGTTGTTCTTAAATTGTACACATTTGAAAGTACTGCACATACAAAGGTGTTTGTTTATCAAAGAAAAGTGATGAATAATTTATCACCTGTAACAAACCTTTGAATCCACCAGGGAACAAACTCTCAAAGACATGGTTGAACTCTTAGCATAGAAAAAAGAATTTGCAAAACTACATTTCATTATGACTCAATCACATGGCGAAAATCACATGAATTCCTGTCAGTACTTGAGGAGCTAAAGACTGTGAACCGAGAAAAATGGTAGAATTGTTAAATATGGCACTGGGAAGGCAAGCGTAGCCACCTTGTCCAACAGGTTTTTTTACAATACAAGATAACCAAATGGCCAAATACTGTAACTGTACTATATTGCAGGACATTTCTAATCCATTTGAGTGTCATTTGTACTCTACTTAGTGCTGTTGGTGCTGGTTGGTACTTCTGACGATTGAGTCTGAAAATAAGGCAGAAATAAATATTTAGTTGGTGAGAGATACAACAAGGCCTGGGCCTTAGGCCCAAGCGTCATGGGTAATGATGCAGTGGTATATAATGGGGAGTATAGCACATGACATCCATCTAGGCATCGGAACCAACCTTGCACCTTTGGCTGATGCCAAATTTATTTTAGTTTGAAAACTTAATTTGTTTAACTGTGAAGCTTCATAGGATGGACTACTAACTGTTCTGAGTTTGGGCCATGGTTCCTACCCAGATTTCCTGTCATATTTTTTCCCAAAGGGATTTTTTCTGGCAGGTTTTTTCTGGCCTCTGTATAACTGTAGTAGTGTCCTTGTAAGTGGTTCCTCTTGTTAGTGATGTATACCTATTTTTGAATGTGTAGGGAATTGATTGTAGATCAGGACTGTATATGGCATATCAGCTGCGAATGTATACATGTATGTATGCTCCTAGCAATATATACATCTGGTTGGTTCTCAGCAGGCTTCCTTAAATAAACTCATTTGGTTTACATTACTGTGTTATTTGTTGTGAAGTTGAGACAAAATACCAGGCAATATACCAGGCAAGAGAATGCTCCAAAATTGGCCACTTCTGTCAGCAAATTCAGTTTTCATTTTCCATCGTGTTTGGGAATCATAGTTTGGCTCTCTTAAAAGTTCTTTCCATTTCTTTCAAGCCTTAAAAGACCAAATCAGGTATCTCTCCATAGATTTACATTTCATTTAGAGCTCCTAAAGGTCTGTCTCGATCAGGATGGAACAGAAAAAGTATCTTGACAATCTCAAAGCTTGCAGCTAAACTGGTCAGGAAGTTTGCTGTCAATCACCAAGAAAATGTTCAATCTTGAGGCATTTGTCTCCTGACATCATTAGAATACACAATAGGATTATACCTACCTGAATTTGCTAGCCATGTTATAATGTGATGTATACTTGTACACATCTCTTATTTGTGTGAGTTACCTATATTCTTCTTATATGACTAACATAGACTTGTATACTGATACCAAGGTTATCTGGAAGAGTAGCATTCAGCATTGAAAAATTTATCTTAATTAGTAATCTTTACTTAAAATGCAATATTAGAATCTAATTACAAGTGTATATCTTGTGAAAAAAATGTCTGCTACAACTGACTGTTTTCTTCTCAACAATTGTTTTCAGTTCTTCCTCATCATCAGGGGTAAGTTGAAAATAAATTTTTCAAAAAAGAATGGTTCTTTTTTTTTCCTTTTTTTCCAGTATTACATAAACAGACATTTATTTATGACATCAGTCTGATGTAATATTTATTGTTAATTAAATGATTAGTGCACATACCTGCTGTTAAGTATGATTCTTTCCCTAAATGCAGTTTTTCTTGTACAGGTGACATTAAATAGTGAACATGGTACTGAATCATCCAATCCCTCCAGGTCAGTAGTTGATGTAATTTTTAATATCCCCTTTTTAAATATAATGGATTTCAGTTGAGGTTTTAAATACCAAACCAAGACAATTACGATGGCTATTAGAACAAATGTTAACATCATGATAAGCCAATAAGAATTTAATGCAAAACATGCAAACTCTCTAAAGTGCAGATAAATGCAGGTGACCAAGTTACAAATGGTTTTGGTTTTTTTCTGATGGCTCTAGAGGATGGCATGAGTTTTCTGGATGCTCCACAGGGCAAAATAAAGAAATCTAAAGGAATCTTGGTTTACTTTTGACACTTTTCAAGTCTTGCGAATCAAAGCATGCCTTAGCAGAATTATGTCTACAGCTAAAGCGGATAATTTAGTTTTAATGCAAACAACTTTACTGCAGGTACCCTTTGAGCAAGTTTTAGCTATAAAAGATCAATCTGCTGCAGCCTGGAGTGGCTCTTGCATTAAGTGCATGGCATTTGTCTTTAGAATACATCTTTCTTTGATCTCCTTAAATGGGAGATAAATGATCCATCTACACTGGACTTACAATAAAAACACAATTTTCTGGTTGAATAGAGAATAGTTTTCTGAACATTTTACATCTTTGCTGCACCAGACTTCAGAATTTGACTTTTAATCTCACAACTCTTCTGGTGAATGTTGCAGTGGAATCAACCCAACATTGACACACATTAAGAATGACGTTAACAAGGAACTGTTGGCTCATGTACTCACTGCAATGGTTCAACCCCTATCACTATAGTTTGAGATCTTTCAGGATTAGAATGTTCAGCAGGCAATTTTTTTTCACCATTTTGAAGTTAAAACATGTTTTTTTTACAGCTCTTATAATATAACACAGATGCCATTTGAGAAGGACCCGACATGAAATTACCTCTGTAGTGTTTGTTTTGGAAGTGCTAGTTTTGCTGACTCTGATAAAAATTGCTCAGAGCATTTGCATAAAAGATATTTTATCGATAATCCTGTATTTGCCTTGTGTTTGCTCTTTTGGCAAAGGTTGAAAATATCTACAAGTTGTCAATGTATATTTACTGTCTGCATCCTGTAACACATCTTTTATTGAAGCAGTATTTTTCTACTACAATTACATGGTTAGTTGTGGCTACTGATTAGGCTTTCCTCATTGAATATCATTTTCTAGAAAACATCCTTATACATCATTATCCTTCTTTACCAAAAAAATTTGCATGAAGCAAAATACTTTCTGTAAGTTCATTTTCCACACAATTCTCACTTGCTCAGACATTTTCTACCTATCAAATTTCCTTTAAGCTACCTCATTGCCATATCGCATGTCAATGCCTTGTAAACAACCTGCATTCTATAGCCCACTACACAAACGAGGAGAAAAGTCCAGACAGGCAAACAAAGGGTCCCTGTTGTCATGCCCATGTGAAAGCCTTTGAAATATGATTCTTTTTTCTTTTCGTTCAGTGTATCTTCACTTATTTTGAAGAATGTAGTTCACCATATCTTTGTTTAGGATATTTTAGAGATAAACAAGAGTTCTGATCTGCTTCCTGTATTGACCTTTGACCCCTAGGAGTGATTAGAACTAAATTTCCCCTTGGAAATGTCACCCCTTAATCAAACATTAAGGTCACAACAATTAAGGAAACCATCACCAACTAAAGAACCTCTTGATTGATAGATAAAATCTCCTAGTCGGCACCATAGGACATGTGTAGAAAACAGTATAGGGAATATGCATACTGATGTTAGGATGTAAAGGGTTAAAATTATAAAGAGTGATATTTTTGATGCAACCAACTGAAATCAAATAATATTGATTAAGTCTCTGACTGGGGAATGACAGCAACTATTATTTTATGTCATCACACGTTGCACTCTCTCTCCAGCTGGGGAGTGAGTGTGTTGTGAGACAACCAAACAAGAGCTGCAAAGCAGACCGCAGTGAGATTTTTTTTTTTTTTTTTTTTTTTATACAAAAATGAAAACGTCAGTTACACAGTGTCCAACCTCAACCCACCCATCCAAAAATAACTCTTGCATGCACAGCATGCCTGAGTTTCAACCTGATGGCTGACCAACATTCATTGCTAGAAATTATCAGAGACTTGTTAACTAAGAAGGTTATGTATCGATTTGAATGTTACTGTTCCACTATTTGAGATAACTTCAATATAGGGCGCAAGAATAACGTGCTAATAATTAAAAGTAATTTTTAGTTTATATACTCCTTGTTTTGCTTGTTTGTGTTTCTGATTGTCTTCTGATGAGCAAAGTATAGAATTATATTGTAATTAGAAATGATCAGCCAAAAAATGTTTAATTCCTGTGTTATCTCAGGTACAGTAGTTATGGCTCAAGAGGCTCTTGGGGATATGATGGGCTGAAGTCGAGAAGTTCCTTGCCAGGCCTCACAGGACTTGGAAACCTTGGCAATACATGTTTCATGAACTCTGCTCTTCAGTGCTTAAGCAACTGTGTCCCACTGACGGAGTACTTCTTAGCTGGTAATTATAAAGAGGAATTAAACCGTGATAACCCTTTGGGAATGAGAGGAGAGATTGCTAATGCATATGCAGGACTTCTTCACCAGATGTGGAAAGAGCAGTATAGCTCAGTAGCTCCAAGACAATTCAAAATGCAGGTGGGACGGTTTGCCCCTCAGTTTTCTGGCTATCAACAGCAAGACTCGCAAGAGCTTCTTGCTTTCCTCTTGGATGGACTTCATGAAGATCTAAATCGAGTTAAGAAGAAGCCTTACGTTGAACTAAAGGATGCAGATGGAAGGCCTGATGGGGTAGGTTTCTCTGTTTCAAGAACCACACAAACCTTGAAGTGGCTGCGAAATTTGTGAAAAATTTTAAATATACATGTATGTGCTGTAGAAAGCTGTTCTTTCTCAGACCAGTACACATAACTTATTATATGGAGATTATTGCATGACAGCTATTATAACCATGAATGTGATTATCAAGATACATATAATCACAGTAATAGTAGTCATAATGATAGTAATTAAGCAATAAATTAATGATAGTGTTGGCAATTATGGCTAATATGATAAAGACCATAAGTATTAATTTTTATAAATGTGTATCCTGTTATTATTATAGTTATTGTTATTATTATTATTATTATTATTTTTGTTATTATTATTATTATTATTATTATTATTATCATCATCATCTCGTCTATCACAGTCTTTGCTGGTGTTCTTATTGTGCATCAGCCAGGTGCAAACCATGCTCTTAGGGCATCAGTCACTCAAGTCAATTAAGCACCTTTCTTAGGATTTGCATGGATCCCACCATGCAGATCTTTTGAATCTCTGCCACATTAGCTGCTTCTGATACTTTCTTTATGTTTTCCACTACTAGCACCAACAAGTACAGGGATCACTTCAGTTCCATATGCCACATTCTCTACATTTCTGCACTAGTTCTAGATCGTTGTACTTGCTTTTCTTTTCCATTTCCTTCAGAGCAATGTTTCTATCTAATGGAACAGTCATATCAATCAGTTTGCAAGTGGAATTCACTGAATCTATTACTATGATGTCTGGTCTGTTTGTTGCTATAGTTCTGTCAGTATTGACTGGCATGTCCCATATGGTGGTGATGTTGTTGTCTTTATTGTGCATCACAGTCTCTGGTTCATGTTGGTACCATTTGTCTGTAATCTTGATATCATGATCTTTACAGATGCTTCAATGGAGACATGCTGCAGCATTATTGTGCCTGGCGACGCATTCCATTTTGGCTAATACCTCACATCCAGATACAATATGGTCCACTGTCTGAATGTCCACATTCTGCATTTGCTCTCTGCTTGCGGGCCGCAAATAACTTTCTCGTAGTTTCTGGTGTTTATTGCCTGGTCTTGAGCTGCAAAAAGTAGTCCCTCTGTTTCTCCTTTCAGATTACATGACAACCATTTGTTGGTGGTGACTGTGTCTACATGAGGCTTTCTGTGTGTCTGTTCTTTGGTAATAAGTATGTTTGTGCTGTTGTGAATCAATCAGGCAGATTTTCAGGGTTTTCTATCACTTGGTTATACAGCAGGTGGTGATGTAGTGTTGTGAGTTGTTTGAGCCAGAAGTTAGGAAACACATCAGGGCCCAGTGACTTCCAGTTGTTTGTTTTCTTTAAAGCAGTCTGCAACTCATCTTTGCTTATATCCTCCCATGGTTGGTAATCTGTATCTGCATAATTATACAGATATATGCAGATACAGTCCAATCTGCTGAATGGAATACAAATATATGCAGATACTTATCCACTCTGCTGAATGGTTGTACTCTCTATTGTTCTCCAAGATGGAACACCAGAATTTGTTCTGTTGCTTCTTTTTCTTAGGTGGTTTTTCAACTGATATCTGTTCCTTATCAAGGTTTCTGAAGAACGTTTTTCTATCATTTGCAAACATCTGGTTTTGACTGAATCATTTACTTCTTTTTACATATCTCCTTATTCTTTGGGCTTTTGCCTGAATTTTCAGGCATCTTTTTCTCTTCTTGGTTTGTTGTTATTTTGTACTTCTTTTTAATTCTTTGTTTTTTTCTTGCAGATCTTTTGGGTTTCACCTTTCTGTGTCATGTCTGTTAGTATTGACAATTCAGCTCTCATGCTTTTAATCTGATCCTCAAATCTTGTCTTCCATATTTGTTGTTGCCATTTATTGCCTTTTGTCCTTGGGATTTTTGGCATTTTACCCATCTTTTTAGATATTACATATGCATTCACATATTTTAGCAGGTTGATGTTTTTGAGGTTGGGTACCTCTTCTGCTATTACCAGCTGAATTGCTTGATTTGCTTGTTCGATCAACAGCTCAACTTTTCTGTTCACTTATATCATGGGTAGAAGGGGCCTCACTGTCATTATGATGTTTCCCCATTCAGCCCTTACCCTCTTAATTTCTTTAACTATCTTCGATCTCAGATTGGTTCTGTGACGGTTCTACCTCATTTACATTTATTACCTCATAAAGGTTGTTGGCCTTTTCTACAAACACATCATCTACTACACTATCTATTTCATTGTTTTGTACAGTCTATCCATTTTCAATCCATTGCTCCATGCTATCTAGCTCAATCCATGTTGGTTTGTTTTGTTTCTCAATAAATCTATGTTGGTTTATATTTTGGTTTTGTCTGTTAAATTGTGCCTTTCATTTGGGTTACTTTCCTTCCATATTCTGTATGTATCTTTTGTTACACCTTCACTGGGGTGTGCTTTGCCTTGTGATAGCAGAACGTGACTTCAATGTAATCCTCTTGTGTCCATTTCTGTCTGGTATTTGTTCTTTTTGTGTTGGTACCTGCCCAATCTGGTGTGGAAGGACCCTTTTGAGAGAGACTTAGTTGGGTTGGCCACCACTGCAGGTTGAGAGGGTAAATCAGTCGCCAATTTTTTTACCTCAGCTTGACTACTCACTTAGGGACATGCTCCTTTTAAACCCATGCGACAAGTGATGCAGAGTATGAATTCCTTGTATTTATACTAATTATATTGGTGAAGATGCTATTTGACCCATAGTTGGAGAGAGGCTATCCCACACCAGATCTCAACTTTTGATATTTCTAACCCTTGCAAATTTATTAGTTATTATTATTATTATTATTATTATTATTATTATTATTATTATTATTATTATTATTATTATTATAATCATCATCTCTGTATTTTTTATAACTAGTGTGTTTTAGGAGGGAGAATGTATCTCAATCATTTTTTTTCCTGCAATCAGTTATGTGGTTGGTATCCCACAGCTATTATTTTAGATTTTAAAAAAATACCACAGGCTTAAAATAATAATAATAATAATAATGATTTTAACAAGTCAAGAGAGAACTTGGAACAAGAAGTAAAATTAAGCAAGATAAACAAAAAATTGAAGTGGATTAGAAAGATGAATTAAATGCTAACCACTTTTGATATTCACATTCTTTTTTTTTTTTTTTTTTTTTTTTTTTTTTTTTTTTTCAAGTTAAAATTATTTCAACTTACCAAGAACATGCTGACAAGAATTATGGTCTTACCTAGTAAAAAGCACAACCAGTACCCAAAAATCCCTCCAGGGCACTTTTGTTTAGATTGTTGGAGTCTGATAATCTGCTCCTGCTCAGAAACTCTGGAAGTGCAATGACCCAAAAAATTTTAACTTGGGCTTTAGCATAGGAATTCTAAGTAATTATGCCCTTTGAATGAAACCACATTTACTCACTTTAAAGGCTATATTTTTACAATAATTTCTTATTACTGTTAATTGTTAATGTTGATGAAGTTGGTTTTATTTGTAATACCAAGATCCACTCCTTTCCTTTTGTTTTGTTTTTTAGTTTTCCCATCTGTTATGACAGTTTTGTCATTTCTGAAAACAAATTTTTTATTGATAGTGTTGTAAACAAAGAAAATATCTCTACATGGTCTTCTTTTAAGAGCCCAAAGTATACAAGTCTATGCTCTAAGAAAAAATTAAGGGAGCCCAGTGCTCTGAAACTGTGAAATCCCAGAGCTCAGCACATGCTTTTTATGAGAAAAGTAAAATTTGTGAGTCGCCCGAGTGCAAACATGAGGTGCCAAGGGCCTGCAACAGAATTGCTAGAGCACAGCCCTCATACAGTTGATCATCTAAATTTAAAGTGCCTAAGTAAACACCATGCTGAGTGAGTGCCATAAAAATCTTATTTTTTTACATTCTCATTCCCATGGGAAAAATGGAAGGATTTTAGGGGGACCAATGAGAAACAACTAATTTAAACTAACTTGTGCATTAACCTAATATTTTGGACAAAGTGTTGTCATCTTAGAACAAATAGGAGCAGTGATCTTAGAATCTTGAGAATTGAAACAGATGACTTCCTGTCACAGCAAGTTGTCTTATACTAGAAATTAATACAAAATAATGCTCTGCAATTCTCCTAACATGGAAAACATGAATTAAACACACTGAGTTATCATATCTACAGAGTTGTGAGTGAACCACTTTTGCCATAATATGTTTTTTGGTGTCAACATCTTTATCATTATTGTCATCAATTGATTGTATTTGGACAAGGTTTGAAATGTGTTGCGAATGTTTAGGTTGTTGCAGAAGAGTCCTGGCATAACCACCTTCAGAGAAACAATTCTGTCATTGTTGATACATTTCATGGACTTTTTAAATCAACTTTGGTTTGTCCAGATTGTGTTAAGGTTAGTGCCTGTGTGAAATTATGGTTGATCAATTATAAGTGCTCTACAATTTGTGGATCAAGTTGTCCTTCAATGATTTTGAGACAGGTTGTATGCAATATGCTTAAGATCAGAAAGACTGGTAATTAAGCTATGATTTAATTCAGAGAGAGTGTATGAATGTCAATTACAATGCCCTGACAATTGTATAAATAAAAGGTGTGCATTGCAAGCAAAGAGGCTGAGGCTTCCTACAAGCAAACCAAAGTAGATTACTTGCTGTGAAATCTTTCTTTATGTGGTAGTTGAGCTTAAAATTTACATTCATTATAATTTTCTTTAATTCCATATAACCGTTTTAGCATTGCTGATCTTAAAAGTATTTGGGAGGTGTTTATAAGGGTGTTCTCCTTTTCAGATGGTAACCAATAAGATTTACCGTCTGTTTTACCTCTTACCACCTAAATCCTGTGGATTCTTTAAAATTCAACAACTAAAAGGATTGCAATTCAAGTTTCTTTGATCTGTCAAGCTTAAAATAAAGAAGTTGTTTATTTAGTTGGTCAAGGGAATTTCTATTTGCCTTGGAAAAGGCTAAGAATTGCAAAACCTATGGCTGTAGCAACCATAAGGTTGTTTCACTTATGAACCAAGTAATGACATAGCTCACCATAGAGTTCTCTGTCACACAGTGGTAGACTGTCAAGTGTGGATCCAAAACTCTTAGGTTTGATTTCTCATGGGCACCATCTTTCTTTAAATCACACTACTTTGACACCAGTTTGTGCCAGTACAGAATAAAGGCTTCAACAAACCATGGACAAGTTATACGGCATCGTTGAGCCTGTGAATGGTTTCAATAATAATCTAATCTAAGACATTAATAATTTTGTTTTTCATTAATAATTTTGTGAGCAAACCCACAAGGCATCAATCATTTGTTTTTAAAAGTGTTGTTTTTTATCTACTGAAGGTGTCTGTCACTTTTGACCCATTCTGCTACCTATCGTTGCCACTGCCAGTCAAGAAGGAGAGAAGTCTTGATATTTTTCTGGTGCCCAGTGATCCTCTTAAGAAACCTACCCTGGTGAGTTTCGTTGCCTTATTTTACAACCAAAAGTGAAGTATTCCATTTTTCAAACGGGACTTGGTTTTTCTTGTTCCACAAGATAAGTCATTGTTCTTATTACAATGTTTTGTTTACCAATTCAGGTCTGAAGGGTACTCCCAGCTTTATATGTTGTAAATTATAACTGCATACATGTACATGTATGTATGTGGATAAGAAGAAATTTGAAACATACAGTTCTCTAGAGCATTATCGCATGACCTGAAGAGGGTAAACAAAACATACAGTCTTGAAAGCTAAAGAAGTCTTTTGACAGTAATGCTAGTCATTATTTCATTCATGCCAATGCACATTCTAATGTACATGTAGTTATCAAATTGCCAATCCTTCAAAATAATTCATTTTCTGTTAGTATATATATAAAAATTATCTTCTCTTGGGTTCAACGTATTACCTTTAAAGAACAAATTTGTTTTAAGGTTGCCAAGGACATTTAAGCATAGTCTTAGTTTAAAACCTTTACTTTGGTATTGTAATTGAAGATCCTCTTCTCATTCAGTTTCGCCTTTTTCACACACAAAAAGAAACAAAGATAGTGATCCTTGAATTAAAAATAAAGCTATATTTTCTTGACCAAAGTTGCCATTCTTGAGCTCAGATTCTTTTTCACAGTTATAGTACATCACTAGGCCATGTCACATTGTAATTTACTAAGAATACTGTCTGTAAGAACCATATGACAAAACTTTCAAGCTTTAAGTCAATAGACTAACAGCTATTTCTCCACCATTTTAAGAAATTAAAATGTCTTTCAGCATCTCTTATCAGTTAGTTAAGATTGTGTATCATTGTAAATGTACCAAGTATTCACAGCAGAATCTTAATGTTGCATAATCTCAATTACAGCATTTATCTCTTCTTTATGAATTATAGTACAAGTTAGCAGTACCAAAAATGGGTAATGTTGCTGATTTACTAGCTGTTTTGTCAAAAGAGGCCAATATTCCCAAAGACAAGGTAATATTTGCTGGCTTGCTGATGTAGATTTAGCCAAGACTAAAAGTTGTGCCTCAAATATGTATTTTGCATGTCAAATGACTGAAGTGATTGAAGTGATGTAGATTGAGCCAAGAGTAAAGGTTGTGCCTCAAATATCTATTTTGCATGTCTAATGACTGAAGTGAGGGATTTTTTGCCATGCAGTGAACTATTGTTAATAGGTGAATCTTTTATGTCTTGCAGATGATAGTAACTGATGTATACAATCATAGGTTTCACAAGGTGTTTTCTCTTAGTGAGTCGCTGACTCAAATCCTGGACAGGGATGACATATTTGTGTTAGTGATAGAATTGAACTTCATTGATTGTATCTAGGGTGGCATAGACAAAATCTGGATCAGACCAGATCAGATCACAGATCGGATCATGGATCAGATCATAGATCAGATTATGGATCATGGATTGGATCATGTTAACTAAAATTAGAAATCATGTGTGACAAGCCAAAATAAGATCTGCTTGACATAATAGATTGAAGGCCCCTCTGGAAGTATTTTTTGGCCCAAAACCTCTTTGATTGGATCACAAATCAAAAAAAGGAGGTTTGAAAAATAAAACAAGGAAATTGTTTACAAAAGAAAAGAGTTTTAAAAAAAGAGGTGGGGGGGGGGGTGAAAAAATTAAAATGTGTTCAATGAAAATTTGGGATGTTGCATAACAAGCCAAAAGAGAGTCTGCATGACAAAATGGAGTGCAGGCCCATTTTTTGCCCCAAAACTCCATGTAGTCACTTTTGCTGTGTACCAAAAAAAAAAAAAAAAAAAAACTCCCAGTGAGGCCTGCACTCCATTATGCTACACAGACTTTATTTTGGGTTGTCATGCAAAATTTCTTATCTCAGTTGACATGATCCAATCCACCATTAGACCAATGATCTGATCTGTAATGCAATCCGTCATCCATTCTGTCATCTAATCCATGTTCTGGTCAGTGATCTGATCCGTGATCTGATCCAGATTTTGTGCAATGCTGTATCCAGGGAGGCTTGCTGTAATTTTCAAAATGAAAAAAAATGAAAATTTGTAATTTGCAAAATAGGAATCTGTTAATGATTTGCAAAGTAGAAATCTGTTAATGATTTGCAAAACAGAAACCTGTAATTTGCAAGATATAAATTTTTAATTTGCGAAATGAGAATCCCTTTGGATAACTCTACGGGCCAAAAGAATGAATGGGTCAGTCCACCACAAATGGGTATTGCATAAACAACCTATCAAATGATAACAACAGCTAGCACAAGTGAGAAATGAAAAATCTGCCTGATGTACTTTGTGAAATTTCTACTACATTTATAATAAATCAATGGGTCATCTATGTGTAGTAAGACTCACACCATCAAGCCATTACAAGTGCAAATGCAATTTAAAATATTAGCTGGTACTGAAGTCACCTTCCTGACTGGTAATGCACATGGAAAATGTGTCAATTTGTTTTTTGATAAAATATCAAGTTTGTTGGGAAAATGGAACTAACCCAAGCTCTTTGATTTTCTTAAGTTTCATGACAGCTGTTTGTACAGATTTTTATTTTGCAATTTACAGAATTTCATTTTGTTTTGTTTCGTTTTGTAAATTAGAGTAAGCCTCCAGGGAAGATAGGTAGGAAAAATTTTTCAAGGCAGTTGGAAAAAACACCTACCAATAACAATTGTGCCAATATGAGGAGCCATTAAATCCCTTACTAACCTAGGGGTTTGCATTGTCGCAAGGCAAAAAAAAAGTGACTGACTGCATGTTCATGTACCTTTTGTCACCTCTTTGTGGATAACCCACCAAGTGTCGTGTATTCCACCCAACAAGCACATCAGCGATGTTAGGAAATACTAGTATTAAGATTCCTTATTGACTACAACCCATATAAATAACAGTGACACAACATGGTGACTGGTACTTTAGGCTCAAACCATTTAATTTTTCAATAGCTTAATCTTTACCACTGCAAAATCTGTTTGATTTGTTTGTACAAACACATTCTCAAATGAATTAAGATTTTTTATATTATTGTTAATGTTATTTTGGGGGCCTATTTTTCATTTTTAAGCTATGAACTACAGCACAGCAAACCGGAGAGTGATGAAGATAATTACATTGTTCTTCCTGTTTACCAAAGAGAAAAAAGGTGAACCTTTTGCTCAAACATTTCATACAGTGTATAATTCTATTGTTCAGGGACAGTTTGTTCAAAGATGGGTAAAAATAACCCAGGATCAGTGTGAAATTTTATTTCAGATCTGAAAGCTTTAAAAAAAAATCCACAATAATCTTTTTGTCTACACTGTTGTGATTGGATGCTCTAAAGAGAATCAAGAAAATTATTCCAAATAGTCATTTGAACAAGGAATTAAAAAAACATTGATTGAAATGTAACCTTAGGCTAGCACTAATCAGTCATGGAACAACTGGGCCCTGGTCTGCCCAGAATTATCTGTTCATGTATGCACTCTTAGGTGTATTGGTGTGTTGTGGTGAAAATTTATTCATGGAAACTGAAACTGAAGTCACAAGGTTGTTGGGACTATGATGAGGAACTGTTAGTAAAGGTAATTACATCATTTCTCATGCAGTTTGGAATAAATCAGCAGGAGTAAATTTTTCTATCCAAACTGCACAAGCTTATAGGGCAAATGCAATTTTCAGTCTCTGAAAAGTACATGAGTGCTGATATATTCCAAATTGCTTAAGAAAAATCATGTGATTGCTAGTTAATGATATACAAGCAAATATAACTCTGACAGAATCATCGCACCAGTCACAAAACCTACAACTTGGATCTCCTCAGCGTTGGCTGTCCCCAAAAAGAATAGGAAAATTCAGGTATTCCTTGACCCAAAGGAACTAAATAAAGCAAATCTTCATGAGAACTATGCCATGCCAATATCAAGGATATCACTACTCTAGCCTCTCTACTTGAATTAAAGCAACCAGTGAGCTTTGCTTCCAGGATCCTAACTTAAATTGAGACCAGGTATGCCCAAGTTGAGAAAGAGTTCTGTGCCATTGTGTTCACCAGCAAGAAATTTCATTATAATTTTGGGTGCAATGAAATCCATGTGGAAACAGGTCACAAGCCCTTGGAGGCGATCTCTTAGAAGAGCCTCTGTGATGCCTCAGCAAGACTGCAGCAAATACTTCTCTGACTTTAGTGTTGCAATCTGAAAGTTAGGTACAAGAAAGGCCCCCTTATGTAAGTTTCTTACCTAAGTGAAATGGCTTCTTGTGAGGAGGCAAAGTCTCTTGAGCTTGTGGACCACATTGAGACCTTGCATATTTCTCCATATTGACTGGCACTGATTAAGAATGAATCTTTCCAAGGTCACATCTGTAAATCTCTCAGGCAAGTCATCTTGAACGGGTAGTTAGACGACATTTGCAATTGCAATCCAGCCCTTGGTCCCTTCTCCCAGTTCTATGGGGAACTGATTATCCAAGGACACTTGATTCTCCTTGGTTCTTGTCGGTTTGTTCCCAGTGCACTGAGAAAAGAAATCATGGCTCTGGCTCATTCAAGCCACATTAGACTTAGTTGTTGCCCTCCTCATTAGCAAGAATGCATGTTCTGACGCGAAATGAGCTCGCAAATGAAAGACTTTGTTAGTCAATGCCATCTTTATGTCACTTGCCATGATTCACAAGTCAGAGAACCCATACTTCAACATGATGTTTCTCCACATCCTTGGGCCAAGATAGCTGCTCCATATATCATTGCCATAGGTGTATAGGGTCCTTTGCAAGATCATTGCTGTACTTAAAATAAATGGGTATAACCTGATTAGACGGGACAGAAGAGATGCAAGACATGGCAGAGTGTGCATGTATATAAAATCATCAATCCCTTTTACTGTTCTGGAGGATCCCGAGGATGAAAAATGTTCTTTTGAGGTATTGTGGATTAAAATGCACCTGACTCATCTCCCAAGGGGCATCTCAAGCATTATTGCTGGTGTTGCTTATCATCCACCAAAAGCAATAAATTCTATGATGTTGGACTATTTGACTAAGTGTTTAATGGACTTGGAGTCTAAATACTCAAATTGCGGTTTTCTCGTACTCAGTGACCTTAACCATCTGAACAATGCAAGGCTCAAATCAAACTTCAAACTGAAGCAGATTGTGCATTTTCCTACTCATGGGCAAAACACTCTCGACAAGATTCTTACCAACCTTCAGGATTACTACGACACCCCAGTTGAACATTCCGCTTTTGGTCTTTCAGATCATAGCTCAGTTGAAGTACAGCCAAAGCAAAGGGTTAAAACATCGCAAACAATACAAACTGTTATTTCAAGGGACTTTCGACCAAGTAATCCTGTTGTAATGCAAACATATTTATATGAAGTCGATGTGAATGCGATGATCAGAGCTATGACCACTTGTGAACGAAAAGTTGTCGATGTTACAAACGATCATCAAAACTGGCCTTGATTCTATCTTACCGATGAAGCCTAAAATTGTCCACCAAACAGAACCACCATGGATAAATTCAACCCTTAAGACCTTGATTCAAAAGTAACAAGTGGCCTTAGGCCCAGGAGACCAAGCAGAGTTTAACCATCTGAGAAATCTTGTTAACTAAGAACGTAAAAGATGCCATGTGAAGTATTACAAGTGTAAAGTGCAACATCTTAAGGGGTGTTCCCCAGCTAAGTGGTGGGGCGAAATCAAGAAACTTAGTGGAATGGAGGGGTCACATGATAATGTCCTAGAAGGTGCACGTGGTCTATCAGCAACTGACCTTGCAAACCACATCAACACAGCTTTCTTGGCCCCAATGGAGGTTTTTGAACCGCTTACCCGCAATCTATGTAGGGGAGACGATTTTGTGTCTTTGAGCAGAACTATGAATGATGATTTCTCACTAATATCAGCATTTTCTATCTTTAGAAAGTTATGCTCTATTAATCCAGCTAAGGCACAAGGACCGGACGGTATCCCCGGATGGCTCCTAAAGGAGAATGCGGATCTTTAGGCACCATCCATCATGGATATCATGAATGCCTCCCTTCATGAAGGCCGTTTGCCCTTATCTTGGAAAGAGGCAGATATCGTCCCTGTCCCCAAGTAAAGACCTATCCAAGAAATCAATAAGCACCTTTGCCCTTTCCAAGATTTCAGAAGATTACATTGTTCATGAATTTGTGATACCTGCCGTGTTAAAGAAAATCGTAAAAGACAATATGGGACAATACCTAAATCATGCACTACGCACGCACTTGTTAGCATAATCCATAACTGGCACGTCAGCTCCGATGGGAATTCGACTGTGATTAGGGTGGTTCTATTAGATTTCCGTAAGGCATTCAATCTTATTGATCACAACATCTTAGTGCGTAAACTCTTAGATTACAATATTCCGAACCACATATTATGCTGGATTGTTGACTTTTTATAAGATAGAAGACAGAGAGTTAAACTGGCCGAGGATCGCTTCTCCGAATGGCGTTACATTCCAGCTGGTGTCCCACAGGGGACCAAGCTTGGGCCATGATTATTTTTAATTATGATTAATGATCTGAATGCAGGAGAAGCAGAGATGTGGAAATATGTGGATGATACCACAATTTCAGAGGTGATAGCTAAAGGCCAAGAGAGCTGTATTCAGCAAATGGTAGACGATCTTGCAATACAAGCCAGGGATGAAGGTTTTCAGTTAAACAAAAGGAAATGTAAAGAGCTAAGGATTAGCTTCGCAAAAAACGAACCAGAATTTGATCCTATCTGGGTTAACCGTCAGACCCTTGAGACTGAAAAGTATAAAATTATTAGGACTCAATATAAGTAGTGATTTAAAATGGAATGCCCATGTGTTAGAGCTAGTTAGGAAGGTTTCTACAAGACCATATTTTCTAAGACAGTTGAAGAGATCGCATGTCGCCACAAAAGAGCTTCAGTCTTCTATTTTACATTACATGCATTCAGTCTACCCTGGAGTACGGCAGCCCAGTTTTCCATCACGCTTTAACAAGTTATTTAAGCAAAGGCCTAGAAAGACTTCAAAAACATGCTATGAAGATTATTTATCCTGAGCTTTCGTATGCCAAGGCTCTGGAAATATCTGGACTTTTAACGCTGTATGATAGAAGAGAGGCAATCGCAGCAAAGTTGTTCAATGAAATATGTGCAAATCAATCTCACAGTCTTCATAAACTACTTCCAAGCAAATACCAACCTGGCTACTATCTGAGAGAACAAAGAACATTTATTCGTCCTGGGTGTAAAACTGAAAGATGCAAGAATAGCTTTCTCTTAAGTTACGTTTATCATAGGTGATAATTAGATATTAATTTGTTTCTTATTTTACATAGGAATTTGACGCATGCTTGTAATTTTGTCATTCTGTAACAGTTTTTAATTAGGAAATTAATTAATTAGTTGTAATTTTGTAAGCTGGAAATTTCGCGTTTGTAAACCTTCTCACAATTCAGCTTTTGGCTGCAAGTTCTTAAGGTGAATAAACTATCTATCTATCGATCTATCTATCTATCTATCTATCTATCTATCTATCTAAATAAGCTTTTTGTGGTGAACCAATGATCCTATGTAATTGTTTCCTCCAAACCCGACACAAGTTATAAATAGCCACTCATAAATACACCAACTCATTGGTTCAAATTAGCGTTTATCTACCAGTTGGTAGTCAGCTCCTCATTGATTTCCATTGTTTTTCAGGGCAAGACTGACCAGTTATAGCTACAGCAGTTCAAACAAAGCTTTGTTTGGACTTCCTCTCATGGTTTCTGTTCCAAGAAAAAATCTTACTTACCAGGCATTGTATTGCATTCTATTGGAGAGAATGAAGTAAGTATGTCTAGTATTAGTTTGAGGAAATTTTTTTTGAAAGAAAACTATTTACAGGAATGTGAAAGAATAATTATTTTAAAGTTTTTTTTTTCCATTGGACTAGCTTAGGTTGAAATAATGGCATGAAGTAAGCTTAATTTTTTTCACAATTCCCTGAAATAGACTTTTTTTTCATCTGAAAACAAGGCAGAAATCTCCCAAACCAATGATCTGTAACCCGTTTATGTTCTCATTGTTTACCATTAAGGAACAAGAAATTGTGTTGATTATGTGTGAAAGATTTATATTCATGGAAATAAAAAAAAAAGGAGATCATACATGTAAATTTTTTTCATTAAGTTTTTTTTTTTTATTATTTAGACGCTTTATCACGTTGCCCAGTGGGGATATGGGAGTAGATGAATGTGAGGCTGGTAAGTTAGATTCAAGCACACTTGAAAGCTTTCAGGAAAAAGTTTGAGATGACTTCCAGTTTCAAGCAATGTTTTGAGCATGTTCAAAATGATTAGCATTAGGAGGTATCAGTCCAAGAAATGTTGTCAATTTTTTGATACATAAAAATGTTGGAGCACAAATGCAAGTAGATTTTTATCCATTAATTATTTCTTAGTTATAATTTAAAAATGATCATCAACAGGTAACGTAAATTTTTTTATAATTCCTTGTCTTGGAAAATTGTAGGTTAATTAGGTGTTACACTATGTCTGGCCTCTAAGACTAGATGCATAGAAAATAATACATGGGCACACATAGATATGGAATTTCTCCTCAAGTGTTTAACTCGATAGCTCATGAGTAAGCCCAGCAAACAAGTGAGATGTTGCATTGAACAGGAGAAGAGAAATTTCATATCTACAAGCAACCATGTATTAATTTGTGTATCATATAAACACAATAGCCCATTACTGACAAGAAAAGTCATTTTTATTTACAAATGATGATAAAAGGATTGACATCCCCAATTAAATTCAATACAAGATTCTCAGTTATTTACTTTGTTCTTACTAAGAAAGTAAGAAGTAAGTGAAATCTGTCAAGTACACAGCCAAAATTGAGCTGTGGCAATTCATCCAGTTGTTGATTTTCACCCTCAGCCAGGAGAAATTACAATTACCAAAGCCACTAAATACTTAACTTTCAGTTTTCTTTTCGTATTTTGGTTTTCTTCCCCTTTTAGGAAAGTTTGAACATCACTGTCTGTAAGCAATATGGATTTTATATTAGTGTTTTAGCAGCCATATTCCAAGAAAATTCTGACAAACAACAGCAAAGGCTTTGCTGTTTATTCATCAACATGACCAGCTGGCGCAAAAGGCGAGTGACATGTCAGCAGCTGATTGGCAATATTAAACACACATGAAAAAATATATTTTATCACATGTGATGTTACAGCTTTTCTCAGGGCTGGAAATCCTTGTATAACACAGTAGTAGTACACAAAATTATGAGCAAGGCAAGATGTTTACACAACACAACTGAAAAGTTAAATGTAAAGGTGAAAACCAAGGGATAAACTCTTACCCCTAAAATAACCACCAAAAAAGTTTAACTTTACTGGGTCCAACAAACTGATAAAGACAAATGAATATTTTAAATTTGTTTTTGGCTGTTGCTTTATAGATGTGGAAATGAACGAGGACAAAAGTGAAGACAGGGAAACAGAGGATTGTGAGGACAGAGAATTGGAAAAGGCTTACCAAAATGTGCATGTCAATGTGCGTTGTCAGATTGTTTTCTTTCTATTGATAAATATCTATGGTATTTTGACCATTATTCTGCTATTTATTTCACAATCCCTTTCATGTACATCTTCCATTAATGTGGTTTATTTTGGATACCCCATATTTTATCTATAGGGTGATGACAATGAGGATGATAACAAAAATTCACAAATTGGTGATTCTGTTGACCTTCATCAAAATAATGATATCAAAACACAAATCAAAGGAAAGGCAAGAAAGTATCTCTTTAACATGGTACTAGTTAACTCATATGGCAGTACTGATATCCAGGTCTTAGAAGATGATGGCGAGCCCCCCAAACTCACAGGTGATAATGATCTTTTTTATGGCAGTGTCAAGTATATTTAGTCAGTAGTACAGGATTAAAGCACATTACTCTATATCTCTATGGATTTCAATGTAGACTATCACCAAAATTTGAGGTCACAATCATAACCAATGATTCTGCTCTTTCCACTGTCATTGTAGCACCTTCCTTTGACATCATTACCCTGATTAGTACACCTTTAAACAGGTAGTCTTCTATATGATTTCCTTTTCCATTCTTAATGTCCCTCTGGCTGAACACAAACAAAAAGTCCTGTTATCACTTTTATCATCTCTGCTGACTAATATATTTTGATTTTGATAAATAGCACGTTGCTTTCTTGCACTGGACTGGGACTCAGAGATGAAGGAGAATTGCTACAATGATCAACTTGCTGAGGTTATTTTTAGCTATTCATTTAATATATTCATTGAATGTTCTATTCAAGAATTTTTGTAGAATTGTATCTGATAGAAGCCAATCATATACTTTGGACATTTTTTCTTCATGGCCAAGAGGGCATAGATATTTCATCTGGAACCCTCTTTTTTCTCTTATTTTTCATACCTTAGCTAAACAAAAGTTGAGAAAGATGTTTTCATACACAAGTATGGGACAAAGAAAAACTTGAGTCCCCACGAGGAATCAAACCTTAGGCCTTCACCTTCCAATGCTTTACTTCTGATTTACCAAGACTCTATGGTGAGCAAAGCCCATTACAAAGTTCATATATGACATGCATCCTACTTACTGCTAGGATCAATAATGTTGATATTAATGTTTGGAAATAGAATAAAGAAGGTGATAAGTCTTAAGCTTGGTAGATGAATGGTTTGTCACAAATGGATCAATAATGTTGATAGCATCATGTTTGTAAATAGAATAAGGAAGGTGGTAAGTCTTAAGCTTGGTAGAGAAATGGTATTGTCACAAATGTGGGACAAAAAATTTCAGTCTCCATGAAGATCAAACCTCAGACCTTCAGACTCAGCGTTCCAACACACTACCACTCTTGTGACAAGACAAAAAACATCTTCCTCTGTTTCTTTCTGAGCTTAAAACCTACCATCTTCTTTATTATATTTACAAAACATGACATTATTAACATTGGTGATCTCAGCAGTATGCAGGATGTGTGTCATAATCATATGAACTTTGTAATGAGCCTTGCTCTTGAGTTTCCGTGGCTCAGTGGTAAAGCATCGGAGCACAGAGTCTGCACTATTTATCCATTATTTAAAGGGAATGGGTCTCAGATTGAGGTAGATTGTGGATCTGGCCAGTGGCCTTTTCTTCAGTATGTAGTTTCTTCATATAACCCATGAAGATACAACTTTCTTAGGAATCTGATGAGCATCAAAGTGTGCATAAGAAGCCAGCATCAAAGAAAAACTCCATTGCTTTGGATGACTGCATTGACCTCTTTTTGTCTAAAGAAAAACTTGGAGCAAATGACCCATGGTGAGCTCAACCTTTACTTTTTAAATAGTAAATCTGCCTGTTTTGCTGTACTACTTGGTGCAAATATCTTAATTTTCATTTATTTGAAGGTCTATTTTATCCATCTGACCACTTTCTCAAGTGAACAAATCCCACAAGTGACCACTTTTTAAATAGCCATTTTGTTGTCAAAGAACTGTTTGGAAACTCACTCCTAAGGATCCACAGATATAATTTGTTATGCAACCAAAATCGACACTGCAAGCACCCTTTTCAGCCTCTTCTTTTTCCCATAAAGATTGTTTTTGCTAGAGAGACCTAATTGTACATCTATGAACATAGTGGTCCCATGCCTCAGCCAAATACATCCAATCAGAGAGAAACAGCTGTAGTTGAATATATATATTTGTAGCAGTTCTTTTGTTCTGAGACTCTTACAGCTTATAATATTCCCATCAAAAGCTGAACAAGCTAGGTGTGAGGATTGTGAAAAGAAAAAGAATTTATTACAGACAGAACAGCATAAGAAAACCCAATTTCAACCTTATTTCTGCAAAGCTAAAATAAATATGATTTCTTCTTAAATGTAAGTCCTTAAACTTTAAGGATTGACAATCCTGTGTTTGTGTAAATTTAATATGAAGTAGATTGATTAATGATTGAAATTTGTTAACCCATCAAACTCTTTTCTTATTGGTGGTTAACTTATGAAATAACAATATTCTTACACTATCTAGGTACTGTCCGTCCTGTGAGAAGCATCAACAAGCCACCAAGAAGTTTGACCTGTGGAATCTTCCCAAAATCCTTGTTGTTCACTTGAAACGATTCTCATACAACAGGTTTGCAGATTTTACCATGTATTTTATCAGGGTGTTTCATTTTGTGACATTCAAATCAATAGCATCCTTCATATTAGATGAATGTTCAATGAAAAAAGCACTGTGTTGGAAAAAAGAACAGGAAAGATGTTAAATTCTGTGCTTGGCAATTAAATAAGGGAAACTGGTATTAGTTGTGTCACAAATTCTACTTACTTACAAGACTTTTCCTGCATTGATGATTGTAGCAATAACCAGGATGCTGGTCACATAAAATATTAAAAAAGTATTAGGCATTACTCACCCTAGGGGTTTCTTTAGATCAAAGCTAGAACATTGAAGTGTGGAATCTGAAGGTTGGAGATTCAACTTCCTCTGCACACTCAGAATTTTTGCATTGTCCAACACTGGTGTCATGACAAGAAAACATCTTTCTTTACAAAGATGATACTCCCCTGGGCAGGGTAACTTATGGTTGTCATTGACATTGTGAAACATGTTTTTATTGAAGCCAGAAAGTGACCAGCTTGAGTTTGCTTTATTTATCTCTTAGACTTAGTAATAGATCTCAAATAGTTTTCTCTCTGTTTTTGTAAAGTTTTTGGCGAGATAAACTTGACACAGTGGTTTCTTTTCCTTTGAGGTGAGTGTTATAGTTTAGCTTTCAATAGAACTGAAACTACCATCTAATTCAAGGATATAAAATTATACTTAAAATCAAGTGGTATTTCGGGTCAGTCTTGAGTGGAAAGGAGGAAACAATATCAGCTTTCTAACAAAGTGCAAAAGCAATGAATGAAGAGGGTGTTATTCTCACATGCAGCTTTCTATGAAGTCGCCTAGCCCTCCAGATTATATCAACATATTTTGCCTGTTTCATAGTTTTCACAATGCTCAAGTGGCTTTTCAACATAACTGATAGCAGACAAAATAACCTTGTCTTAAGCATCCCTGTCACTACTAGCAGAACTTGAAAATTCGTTGGAGAAGTCTGCAGTGAATGCACCAGCAGGTGTAGGATTACAAGAATTCTATACATAGAGTAAATTACGTGTAATTTTGCAAAGCCATTAATTCCTACCAGATTGATGGCAATGATGGGGTGCCTACAATAAAATTGATGGATAATCCTTGGAGGCCTTGTGTCTAGTTTTCTCTTTTCTTTTCCTCTTCAATCATCATGACATTTGTACAAACATTTTGGCATGTGGTGGATGAATTTGAAACTTAACTATAAGTTTAAGAAATACAAATGATTTGATAACTACATCTTGTCCGTTGATGACTCAAGTGATTATTCAAATTATTGTGTGACAACAACACCGTAAAGACACATCATGTCAATCTCTCAGATTGTTTAAAGAAAACTTGGCTTTCTAGACAAGATCTTTAGTAAAAAGCAATTCTTTTTATTTGCAACAAAGTTTATAAGGATCTCAATACGAATAAAGTAAGATAAACATCACCAATGACTCTAATAGCTTCAGACGCGAACGAGTTATCGGGACTGTGACAACAAAATAACTCGTTCGCGTCTTAAGCTGTTATAGTCATTGGTGATGTTCACCAATGTTCACTCATGTTTAAGCTTCTGTTTGATGTTCACCAATGTTCACCAGTGTTTTTTTTACTAAATATCGTTTACTTTTCTGTGTGTTTAACTTCTAGTAAGTTGTATCGGATTGAGGACCGACTCGCCGACGTCTCTACTCGATTTTATACGTCGGCGAGTTGGTCCGTCGGCGAGTTGGTCCGTCGGCGAGTTGACTGGATACCATTCAAAGTGCTCCACAATAGATTAAGGAAGAATCCCTTATAGATCTCTTTCTTGTCTTCACTTTTTGTTTTCTCTTCCTAGTTTATACTTTTCAAAGAAACATTTTTTGGTACATGGTGTACAGAATTTTAATTCGATTATTGATATGAAATGATAGCAATAATTTGTTTGATACATCTTTACACTGAAAGAGAAACTTCAAGTCACCATTGGCACTAGAAGGGATGTTCTTGCTAGCTGCATCTTAAATTTGACAAAGTTTGATCAGCTTTGATAGTTATGTCATCTCAAATATGTAATAGGATCTCATGTTCTTGGTGAAGTAATCAATATGGTTGATTTCTTATTCTTTAACATTCCACATATCTTGTTCTTGCTCCCTTCTTAGTCCCAAACTGGCCGTAAAATGATAATGAGTCTTTCATACAGTCTATAATAAGCATTGTTGCTTTAAATATAACCTTAAATTCAATTAACTTAATATGTAAACATTGGCAGCTGGATTGATCAGGAGCAAACAAAATAATACTGTGCTTTTCTGACTAAAGAAAACTTGTGAAAATCATTACCACTTATCTTTTATTTCAATCAGGCAAACTTGTGGTTGCATAAAATACATTCTTAGGTATTTTCATTTTGAGGCAGAAATCTCAAAGGTTTGTTAGAAGATGCAAGTGGGAAAAAACCCTGTAGACAAAGATCATTGGGTTACATTGCAAATTTTTATTTAGCAAGTGTGAAGCAAAACATGACAAAGCAATGGAAAATTGTGAAATTTGGTGTGTGGAGGCAAAGAAAGATTTGGATTGCAGTCTCTTAATTTGACAAATTTGTAAACAAAAATTTGATAATCTCGGGATACTATTTTTATCATTTTAACTCGTGAATTGCGCGCATGCGCAGGAGCGAGTTGTAGATATGATGTAGGAATGGCGCTCGTTCGATTGGTCGATTCCTGTAAACTTTTTTTCGATTTTAGGCTTTTGAGTGCATTTGATAGTTTTTGGCGAGTAATAAACAAACGAAATGGCGACCTTTGTTGCTAAGAATAGTGGTGGGGTGACAAAGAAGCCAATGATAATCTTACAAGAGTTTTTTTTTCTCGTTTTTAGTTTCATCAAGCGGCGCCAGCGACTGGCAGGCATGCAAGGATTCACACTGAAATAACAGAACAACCTTCGTTTTTCATAAAATTGTAATTTACAATCCTTGAACTTGAAAACAATCCGAAGATTCATTGAAAATATCCTTTACTGCGAAGCGCTCGGAGTTTACAGATGTTCAAAAGCTTTTTCTGCTACAGCGTGAGATTGAGGACAAAATCGATCATTACGCTTCGTATCGTGTGTTTTTCCTGTGTGAAGCAACAAAAGATGCCGGCGACTAACGAAATTACAAGTTAACACGAAAATCAAATAACACCTAAACAAACAATTTTAGCTACCTATTTTCAGTGAATTTTTAAAGAACAATTTTCTTTTAAGTTTCGAGACAATTTGAAGATTCAAAATACATATTACTTACTAAAATGCGAAAGTTATACACCACAAAATTGATAAATAGGCCTGAAATGAAATTCTATCTTGTTATTGATTCAGTACGGTGCCTAGCACGTGACTAAAATCTACCCAGGCGGAGATCCAAAATGACGGTGGCAATCTTGGCTTAGTTATATCACTCAAAACTCGTTCCCGTTTGTCTCATTTGATAAAGAGGGATTCGTTAATGTTTTCATTAAGACAATATTGCCTTGATTTTCTAATATTTACAATGATAGACAGTAAATTCCACTTTTTACCCACATTTACTTCCAACCCTTTCTTTTGAACCAGAAACAGAAATGATATAAGTTTAAAACACATGACATCATCCACCCTTGTCAAATGCAATAGCATGATTATTTCATTTGTAATGCCTTCTTATCCCAACGTTACTTTGTTTCTTTGCTACATTAGCGAACACTGCACTACTGCTCGTACTCTAGATATGACAATCAACCACAAAATTCCCTAAACCAGATAACATTAAACATAATCCAAAAAATCATGTGTCAATTCACGAGTTTGCTCACAGAGCACTTTGATTGTAGACTTGATCTGTTGAATATTCTGCAGAGTTGGATGGTTACCATAATTGTGTATCTCTCTGTGACTTTCTGAAAGCTTGTCTTTTTAGATAAGAGCAACCTTGCATTGCTGCAAGACCATAATTACAAGTTCAGAACCATGTTTCATCTCCAGATTAGTACTTTATCCATGAGTTGGCCATAGGTACTCTTTGATTTGAGTTTATTTGACCACTGGTCTCCACAAATATGTTGAACTAACAAACAAATATTCAAGATGCTGACAAAATAAAGCTAGGCCCATGCAATAGATATTTTGAATTGAGATGATGAACTCACGGTAAGTCAACCCTATGTATGCTTTGTTAGCATAAGAATTAAGACATAAGTTTTTCGACAACAAAATTTGAAAGCCATATGAGACAGGTGAGGTCACACTCTTAACTTCTGCATCCATTTTAATCCGCCCTTCTAAATTTCAGGGGAAATCACACAAGACCATTTGTGGAAACTAGATATGTCCTATGAAGACCTTCTTGTCAAATTTACTAATGTATATCAATGTCATAAATATGATAATTGTATTGCACTCCAGGGGACTCATAGGACCAAACTTGATTTGTTACACAGACTGATCAAAGGAATGAGTAAAATCTCAGATCCCCTTACCGGTTGTCATTTACTGACTTTCATGACTGAAAAGACATGACGTGCAGCTCTACAAATATTACTTAAGTTCAACCTTTTGAGAGTACCTCCTGTAGTTGACTATTTTCCCAAAATACACAATTGCTATCATTTAAACCTTTGTATTGGTTGTGGACTGAGACTATTTAGTTGAAAATTTGTGTTGTTTTGATAAATGGTACCAGGACTGTTGGTGTAGCTTTGGCTATGCTAAGGAGACAAGTGCAGAAGCTCTTTAGGCTTGTCAGCTGATTTTCTGAAATCTGACAAATAGTAAAAGGAAGGGCAATGGAGAGAAGTCCAAAGTCCTTTTTTCCTTCAGAAAATGCCATTGTTTTCTGAATAAGAAGATAGGTAATCCATCTTGATGAAGAGTTTGATGGGAGAAAAGACCTTGGATTTTTCGTAATGACTTGACATTATCCTGAAAGAATGAAAAACAATTGTTGCATCATTTTTAGTGCACCTGGTATTAATATTATAATTAACACCATCATTATCATCATTATAATTATCATTACAATTATTATACTCAGTGCTGATGATGATAATGCTAGTGGTAGATTTTTTAATTGAATTTATAGGAAAAATGTTTATGCTGCTTCATAGCAGACATTACTGAACACATAAGGTCAAAGTAACAATTTTACCTTCATTCTTTGTTTTCAGAAACCTTGATATGTCTGCCTATGTGATTAATAAAGATCAACCTTGTCCAATTTATGATTTAATTGCAGTTTCAGTAAGTAATCTGCTGTTAGGAGAGAAGTACAGAGAAAGATTTTAAATTATAAGAGGACAGCCACCAACCAGACTTTCTTTTGTTGGAGTTTACTATAAGCCAGTTTATTTTATGTTTCATTAGCTAATGCCCTGATTGAAAACTTACTCAACATGACTATTAATGAGTGGATCAACATATAGCACTTCACTGGATGACTATAGCTACTGATTTGAACCTGTGACAATGTAACAAACAAAAAGGTTTTCAAACTGTTACAGTGACAGCATATATGTTTTGATGACCCAAATGAATCTTGCAAATTTATGAAGCACATGGAACAAAATGGTTTAAAAAAATTTGGCAGAGCATCAGACAGAACGGTAAAGTTGATCTGATTGCTAAACATGTTGAGCAGTGGGACAACATCCTGTGCAAGCTGCTTAGAACTTTTCTGTCATTCCTCATTCTGTCCTTCTCACTTTACTGCTTCATCTGTCCAACAGGTTGCACACTTTCAGATAGACATTGGTTATCTTCTTGTTTGGCAAAATGTCTCTCCCCAAAAATGATATATCAAAACAACCCTGACTGTACACAATCTTTTCTTTTTCTGTCAGACTTCATGACTGAATAAATAAAATGGAATGTTTTCATTGGTTAGTTTAAGCAACTAGAGAATGCAATGGCATACCATTTTCTCAAGAGAAAGGAGCTTAGATAATGTTTGAAGATCTTAAGGCATTGAGAAAATTTTTTTGTGTGTATGGTATTTTCTTGTTGCTGTAAAGCTCTAATATAAATATACACAGTCGGGACTTTGGCCAGCTGTGTATATTGTCCAACTGTCTCAGCAGATCTAACATTTTTATTATTTTGTTCACAGAACCACTATGGAGGCATGGGAGGCGGACATTGTAGGTTGACTCTCTTTTTCACTAGGCCACAAGTTTAATCAGTGGAAGTAGATTTCCAGTTGTTCTAACTTAGGTGATATACTTACTTACTACCTTCAGACACAGCCTACGCCAAGAACTGCAAAGACTCTAAGTGGTACTCATTTGACGATAGCTCTGTGTCACCTGTAAATCAAGAACAAGTTACCGTAAGTTCCTACTGAATTATTCTGAATTTGATCCCACCTAAAGTACCTGTCTCTTGATTTATAACCAGAAAATCTTGAGTTCTGTGTAAAAAAAAACAATGCTTTCACAACTTTGTTGGTGCTGCAAAATGAACCTATTAATGTAACCAACCCACCAACCAACCAACCAACCACCCACCCACCCACCCACCCACCCACCCACCCACCCACCCACCCACCCACCCACCCACCCACCCACCCACCCACACCCACCCACCCACCCACCCCACCCACCCACCCACCCACCCACCCACCCACCCACCCACCCCCACCCCCCCACAACCCACCCACCCACCAACCCACCTACCCACCAACCCACCAACCCACCTACCCACCCACCTACCCACCTACCTACCTATCTACCTATCTATCATCCAAGAGGTGATCATCTCTTTAAATCAGTAACTCTGCACTCCTTCCACAACTGACCCTCAACAGGGCATATTTCCAGGGATTACATTATTGCCTTCATGCTTTTTGCATTTTGCTTAATTTAGTTTGTGTGTCTATGTAACTTGGTATACAGTCAGCTTTCCACCAGGAAGACTTGCCATCAGTGAGTTTACCACTCATTGGTCTTGCCACCAAGGCATGTTACTTTGCCACCAAAAGTCTGATGAAACATATACACATTTTCTTGACCTCAAACTTGTTTATCATTGTTGTTATGGAGTAAAAAGTTAACTGGTTGTCCTTGCAATCTTTTGAAACACTCGTTTTTTTGGTAAAAAAATGTATGCAGTTGCAAACATTTCTTGCTCATTTGATTAAAAAGTTCCAGTCTCTTTGGTTTATTTTTTCTTTGTTGAATATTCAAAATATTTACAGGGTAGACTTCGTTGTTCATTAGTCCATTTGATATCTTAGATCAGGTTAAACTGTTGGCTCTTAAAGCTTTAGACGCACCTTCCACCATTGAAACTGCCATAAACCTGCAAGACTCCTGGCCTTGAATAATAACACCACACACCAAATAAAAAGAAAAAGATTTATTGGAGCCGAACGTGCTTGATACTAAGAGTGTGGGTTGAAACTAAAACGAAAAAAAAAGCAAAACGGTTACACGTTGCAAAACAAGTTACAAGTTACAAAAACTGCAAAACGAGGACTGCGAAATACACTTACATTGTTTTGGCCAGAGAAAACTTCTGTAAAGAGGACTGCGAATAACGCGACGAGGCTAGAAACAAACTAAACAGAACTGCGCTAAGCGCGGACCAAACTGAACTCACAAACTGTACTGACAAACTACGATATTCAAATACGCTAGAAAATGCGGAAAATAAAACTATAGAAAGGCGCTAATGAAGATGAAACAGCACGGAAACGCTAACGAGGGCACGAAAACTAACAGAAAGAGATAAACACCTAAATTAACGCCAAAAAAGAAGACTAAACAAATGAACGAAAGGAAGTATAAACTAATTTGCGTACGCAAAGGAAAAACAAATTAGGCAAGAACGAATAATCAAAAAAAATGTTACACTTGGATCTAACATACCGGCCCCATAAGTGAGGAGCACACGCGAGGCACTTAAATTAAACAATTAAAGATCTAAGTGTCTTCCTAAGTGTTCTTAATGTTCTCTTCTCCTGAATTCAGAAAATTGCACAAAAAATAACTCCAAAGGGAAAGTTCAAGCTTCTATCAGCAAGCAAAGCTTGTCAATTGGCCTCTCCAAAACTGCTCCTTTTACTTTCACTCTGGTACGGCGCACCAAACCTTTCTTGTCGGCGAAGACTTCTACCACTCTACCAAGGGGCCATGAATTGCGAGGGGAATTTTCGGCGCTCACTAGAACAATATCCCCAACGGCCAGGTTCTTGCGAATCGTCGTCCATTTCTGCCTACTTTGGAGCAGAGGCAAGTACTCCTTAGACCATCTCTTCCAGAAGATGTCTGCGAGATATTGCACTTGTCTCCATCTGCGCCGAGAGAAGGAGTCTTCCTTTTGGAATAACCCAGGGGGCATCTGAGGTTCCGAGCGTAAAAGAAGCAAATGGTTTGGTGTGAGGGGCTCCGGATCATTAGGGTCACCTGAAACTGTGGTGATTGGACGACCATTAATGATGCTTTCCACTTCGCATAGGAGGGTGACTAAACCTTCGTCGTCAACAGTTTGAGTTTGAAGCAAAGCTCGAAGGACCTTGCGCGTTGTTCGAATGCAGCGCTCCCAAACACCTCCATAATGGGAGCCATAGGGGGGGTTGAAGTTCCACTTGATACCCTTCTGAAGTAGAGCTTCGTGAATCTTGTTGTGATTCCACGCGTTGATGGATTCCCTGAGCTCCCTCTCTCCGCCGGTGAAATTGGTACCATTATCGGATCTGATCTCCTTTACCTGGCCCCTTCTTGCTATAAACATTCTGAGCGCCATCAGGAAAGAATCAGTTTCCAAACTGTGCGCCACTTCAATGTGAACCGCGCGGATAGAAAGACACGTGAAAATGACCCCATATCTTTTCACAAGACTTCGCCCACGGCGTACCTGAAGAGGACCAAAACAATCAATGCCGACAGATGTAAAAGGTGGCTGACCTGGGGTAACACGATCCACGGGAAGGTCAGCCATTTTCTGCTCACAGAACGGGCCTTGACGCCGCCGGCAACTGAAACATTTCGAAAGAACTTTCCTGACAACAGAACTTGCGTTTACGATCCAAAACTTCTCGCGAGCAAGACTGATAACGTACTCTCTCCCAGAGTGACCGGAGATCTGGTGGTAATATTCTACTACAAGGTTGGTCACGTGATCCTTCTTGGGCAAAATAATCTGATGTTTAGCCTCAAATGCAGTGGACGCTAGACTTAACCTCCCACCGACACGTAAGACGCCGTTCACTAAGATTGGATCCAGACTTCGAAGGCTGCTGCTTTTCTTGACTTGCGTACCGTTTTCAGACTTGCTTAACAGCTCAAGCTCATCCGGAAAATTGAACTGCTGGACGTTCCTGAGGATTTCTAGCTCCGCAATTGCCAACTCCGTAACGGTAATTGGTGGTAAAGAAAGGATGGGAGTTGAAAGGATCGGCTCTCTCGATTTTCCGCGTTTACTTGACCTTTTCAAGTTTCCAAGGTATCGTAAAAACCATGCAACTGACTTCTTCAATCGGTGCCAGGAAGACACGCGTTGAAAGTACTCAACCAAAGGATGCTCCGACTCGGAAACAGAAGCGTGACAAACCTTATAAACCATCTTCACTTCCGGGTCTCCGTCTTGAAGACATCCAAGGGATAAGGGGTTCCTAGGCCAATCTTCTTCTGACTTCCAAAGAAACTCCGGCCCCAGTAACCATCTTTGGCAGCTCAACAATGCTTTGGCAGTCAGCGCTCTTGAAGCGCAATCTCCAGGATTCGCTACACCTTCCACATAGCGCCACTGATCTGGACTTGAGCCCTCTCGTAGTACGGCAACCCGATTGGCAACAAACGTGTGGAAACGCGTACTTTCGTTCTTCACATAACGAAGCACTGACATGCTGTCTGACCAAAACACGGATTCACAATTAGGAGGCATCTCCAGCTCTTCCTTGAGCATCTTGTCTTGTCGCACAGAAACGGTTGCGGCCGAGAGCTCTAAACGAGGAACAGAGATAGTTTTCAAAGGAGCAACGCGTGATTTTCCTAACAGGAAGGAAGAATGAACTCGGTCCTCATGGCTAAGCAGTCGAAGGTAAGTCACTGAGCCATAAGCTGCTTCTGAGGCATCAGAGAAGTGATGTAGCTGACTGGATTTAACGGGACCAAAATCCTCTGGCTTTAAACAGCGACTCACAGCAAACTCCGAGAGCTTTGGAACATCTGCTAGCCAATTTTCCCAACGTGCAGCGTACTCAGTCGGGATCTCGTCATCCCATCCTAGCTTAATGCGATTAATGAAGGATTTCCTTCGCGGTCAGAACGAACGGTGCCAGGAATCCCAACGGATCGAAAATAGCACTCGCTAGAGACAAGATACCCCTACGCGTTGGTGGACGGGAGCTAATGTTGACTCTGAAGCGGAACGAGTCGGATTCTACACACTTGGAAAAACTACCAAGCCCTCAACAAAACTTTGTGGCATTGCTCATGGTGATGCTTGCATGACTAAACATCAAACTTAGGAGTTCCCCCTAAAGCTCTGAACTTATACCAAATTAGTTAGAAACCATAATGGCAAATTTACTTATAGTGAGTCATCCTGGTGGCAAGGGGACTGTAAACCTGTAACTTTTGTCTTCTCATTTTCTTTCACATGCAAGGTTTTAACTCAGTCACAATCCTTTTTGTCACCTATATCACTTCACTTCCTTCTGCTTTGTCATACTCTGTTTGATTTGTTTGCTTTCTATGATGAAAATAAATCAAGTGCACAAGGAACTTTGTGACTGCACCATTCTTTTTGTTAATTTTTTGTGCGCTAAAAAGAGGTCTGCTGGCACTCTTCTTGTTATGTCTTTGTTTGCGATAGTAAGTGCTTGATGCAACATACATTTTTTCAAAACCTTGGAACCTCTCGTACCAGAAAGCTGTCTCTTAACTCTTCTGAAATATCCTTGGTTAAAAGTTATCTTCCAGGACTTTAACAGAATTTGAACCTATAACCTCTTGAACCCTGTGGAGGTCAATTTTACTGTAGCATATTCTCAGGCTACTTTGATACAATTAAATTTCGCTTTGATATAAGTTTAATATTTCCTCATTTGATCAAGATATATTGATTTATTAATCTAGTGAAGACATACTGTTTATGATAAAGATATGAACAAATGATGTACTCTTTTTGCTTTTGGTCTATTTCTCAGCATCATTAGTATAACATGGCTATTCAACAGCACAGATAACACTGTTAGTTCTTTTTTTGTTTTGCAGTCAAAAGCAGCCTATGTTCTTTTTTACCAGCGAAAAGAAATTGAACATCAAGAAAGTTTGGTAGAAAAGGAAACAGAACATGATGGAGACATTGACATGCTCAATGATGGCCTCTAGGATGGGGAAAGGAACAATGGAGTGAAACAAAAGAATTTAGAATGCAGCTTGGACATGAACCTGGTGGAGCACAACTTATACATAGTGTAGCTAATTATCATTATTTTCCCAACCTTTTACACTTAGCTGAGGCTTAAGCCTGACTAAAAGGAATCACACTTCACTTCCCAGTTGGCCTGTTACCTCAAGACTTCTTTAAGTTAAAATCCCATCAGAGTTCTCAAAGATACACCTCAGTCAAAACCTAGTACTCATTAGTGCAACATACAAGTCTCACAAGAAAATCTAATGGTCTGATTAAATCCACCAAAGCTGCTGAAAATGCAGTAGAGCTAGGTCATATACAGACTATCATTTCTTGTGCACTGTAGTATGTAATGACCATTTATTTGTGTGGCAAAACGAATTTCTTCAGTGTATAGTTGGGAGACTTTTCTTGGTTGTTTCTTTTTTTCAGGTGGACCTATCTTCTGTAGTATTTTATTGAAAGATTATTTGATCACTTTTAAGTGAGAAAATGAATGTGTCAAAAAGCACTAAAAATTGTTGGAAATCATGTTCTATGATCACCCCTCAGAATACAGCAGGAGTGTTTTCAAGTCACAAAATGTGAACACAGTTCTTTTAATGGAAAAATTAACTTGACAGTAATAAAAATGGTCCTTAAAAGAATTTGCCTCTATCTTATAAATATTCAATTTCAATGAAATAACATTTTGTGGAATGCATCTGAACTTATGCACAGTGTCTCAGACTCAGAAATATAATTTCGCTGCCCATGTTGTGGGTAGCAAAGTGGAATCCACCACCTTATAGATGTCTCTTGTTTCTCTCTATCTCTCTCTATCTTTCCCCTACCCCCACAAATACACACACAGGCATGCACACCCACCCACATACACTGGACCATGAGGGAATCATAGCAAGTGAAGAAATGTACATGTCCATTTGGATTCCATTTTTGGCAGAACAGTGGTTGCTGTGGTCAATTTTGGTGTAAAATAGAAAAGTTAAGAGGTAGACCATTATTTTAAACAGTTAGGATTATTTTAACTGGTCTGAACATTTTTGTCAGTTAGACAATTTTAACCAGTGTCATTAACAAAGGGTCATTGTAACAAGTCTGATCATTTTAAGCAGTTGGACCAATTTAACCAGTTTTGTGTAAAAGCACTCCAACAACAAAACAAGGACTGTTTCCACACAACACAACCATCTCTTTGTACATTTTGCAACCACTGGGGCACATAGATCACATGACCTAAAAGTCACCAATGCATAAGCATAAAATGCATACAAGAAACTAAAATATAGAGGCATTGCAAAGTGTGAATGTGCAGTTGGAACCTGGTTTGATTATTTGAACCACTTGGACCATACTTCTAGTTAAAACATGTTAACCAGTAAGGCAATTTTAATCAGTTGGACAATTTACTTGTACTAGTTGGACTTAGATAGATTATTTTCACTAGGTGGACCATTTCATGTAATTAGACTATTTCAATTTAAACCCACTTTAGCCAGTTGGATCATTTTATCTGATTGGATCTTTTTAACTGGTTGATCCATTTCAGCCACTTAAATCCTCTAAAACCAATTGGACCATTTTAACAATTTTCATCCAATTTATCAATTGGACCACTTGTCAGTTGGACCATTTAAACCATTTGGACCATTTTAACCAGTTAGACCATTTTAACCAGATGGACTGTTTTAACCAGTTAGAAATTTTGCCAAGTTGGATCATTTTAGCAAGATTCAAAGTTACAATAACAATTTTAGTCTACATGGCCTGATCTAGGGTAACAATGATACAAGCCTCTGTTTCAGACTTTAGCTTAGGTTTTTCAGGGAATTTGCTAGTCACTTTGGATTGATATCCTCATCTCCTTATTTGAGTATTGCCTATGCGTTGTGTCTCTGTAACTGGAAAAATAGCCAAGAGCCATTTTGCAGTCATAGTTATGGCTCAAAATTACTTCATGGCTCCATTCTGTAGGGCTTTTGGTAAATCACTTGAGTAGCATATGAAGCATGTGCTCATTCTGTTTCTGTTTCAAAGTGTTGGGTGAAGTTTAATTGACAGCCAAAAATTGGCAAGTTTCCACATGACTTTAAATTGGAATCGGAGATCTGTGTAATTTAGTGATGGATGAGAATTGGCAGCAACTAAAATTATGTGCAACAGATTTGTGCATACATTCCACAAATAAGACACAATGAAATATGCTATTTGAGTTCAAAATCAGTCAAATTATAGTAGAAACAGACCTGAAAGTGAATAACCCCCTACCTTTGAAATACACAAAAGAGATGAACAGCATTGTGGAACGCCTGAAACCTTCACTTCTCTTTCTCTAAATACTGGTAAAGGTAAAAACACTGTACTTTGTCCATTGGCCTCGTGCTTTTTGAAGAAAAATTTCAATAACTTAGTGAAAGAAAAGAAAGAAAAATTACAACCACAGATAGAATGACAGAGAGACATTGACAGTGACAGTGAAAGACAGGGAAAAGGATTGTGAAAGAGACAGTAACAATGACAATGAAAGGGCCAGTGACGGACATCTATGTTGACAGAAAGAGTGTGTGTAATAGTACAATTGAGAAAGGCAGTGACAGTGAGACTGAAAGTGAAAATGACAAAACAGCAACACTAATAAAGACAATCAAAGTGCCAGTAAAAGAGGACATCGACATTCACAAAGACAGTGAGCATGGTGAGGAGGATTACAGTGTCAGAGAAAGTATGTGGCGGTGCAGAAACGAATCCAGGGGAGGGGTTGAGGGGGTTGCAACCCCCCTTTGAGGAGCATTTGTCTCTTGTTATTTGTTTTATTCTTCCTAAATTAATTATAAATAAAATTTTTTACGAAGTTTTACCATTTCCACCATTCGACTGCTTGTGAAGTTATGAAAAGGTAATGTACATTTCGCAACATGTGAAAAGGTCTTATCAGGATCAGATATAACAGGCAACATGAACAGGTGTGACATTCATTAAAAGTAAACGAGTGGGATTGGACCAAGCGAATGTTTGAGTATTGTTGAGGTGTGTTCAAAGCTGAGAATGAAAAAAGTAGCAGAATTTTATACAAAGAAATCAGATAAGTTCGTGGGTCTTTTATATAAAAAGTAATTTAACTTACTTCTATAACACTGATAACTGTTTTCAACAGTCAATAGCCTTGACATACCGTGCAATTCGTAAACAAAGTGCGTTTTCCAACAAGCGACTAAATACAAGAATGGCTCCGACCTGTGATTGGATGATAAAAATAGTAAAAGTTGATAAGCTATATCTTAACTCCTTGCTCGTGAGTATTGTTAACCGCGTGTCTCAAAGCGGAACAATGACATATCAATGCGAGTCAAAATACCGATGTTTCAAACAAGAAATGGTTACTTACGTAGCGAAGGGAAGGCAGCCTTTCTTGTTCAGCGAGGTCGTTCAGCGATATTCCGGCTATGAAAAAGTCATCTGCTGACTAACCTAAGTTAGTCAGTTCAGGCGGACAACCAGAGACTGGAGCCATTCCTGTATTTTACCGCTGACAGGAATAGCTCCGACTCAAACGTTTATTTTTTTTTTTTCAATAATTTTTAATAATTTTTTAAACAATTTAAAAAAAAGAATTTAAAAATTTAAAACTAAACTAGTGAGCAGCGCTGTGCGAACAGTAATTATAAAACTTCGTGATTGTCTGACGCGTTTCGTCTAATTGTCGTAAACTTCCTTAGGGAGTTTTACAACTCAACACTAAACGCCTTTATTTATAAGCCATTGTTAGTGGCTATTGCGGGGGCCGATGACCATAAAGCCTTAGCTGGACCTACGAGCAGGAAAAGGCAAAGTTGTGAAAAATTTGAAAATTTCTTTTGAAAATTTTTAAGGCAAAGTGAGAAATATTTTTGGGAGCCGTGGTTTTTTAGCCAAAAATTTCAAATTTGAAAAATTGAAGCGGTTTTTTACAGATAATACCTGGAAAGTAGGTTAGGATGGCTCGTGTACTTTACAGAAAATGTGGTTTATGTTCTACTCATTCTTTCTTAAATTTAAGTGGTATAAATACCTTGTCTAAAACAGTAGTATGATACAATAGCAAACGAGATATACTTGTTCCAATACAGCGTCATGTGAACAGCCTTCATTAATTTTAGAACAAGTTTTGTAAAATCATTTTACTCCCTCCTGTTAAAGCCGAAAACTGTTCGAAGATTGGTTGTACCATCACTGCAAACAATCAAGGTACTTCGACATGATTCAGCGCGAGAGCAACTGCCACTGGTTTGACTGGTAAGACGTTTTTTTGTTTGGCTTGTTTTTTTCTTTTTTTAGGTCTGCTGGAGTTGTTAGAAATTACCAAGCAAAATAAATGCGCGATTTTCTTCCTTTAGGTGTTGTGCAAAAACAGATGAAAAGCCCGATGAATGGATTTGTCCTTCGTGTAAACAATAACCTAGAAAATCAGTTTTCCACGAAAAACTGACTAAGTGAACTGTCATGATAAACAGATAAAGAAACTGTTCTTCTCCTCCTAACAAGCGACCAAAATTCAGCAACTCAGACGATCACGCTGGAGTGTCCAGGATCGAAGGTAGAACATTCTTATTTTTATTTATGCACCAGTCATTTGAAACCCTGGGACCCCTCTCCTCGGGCATGACCGGGGTATTGCGGGGACCTTCACTTTATTATCTGAATGCATTATCTGCATTATCTGAATAGTAAACTTATTTTTCTGACCCAATGGACCAGTATTAGGAAAGAGTATTTATTCAAATGATGCAAGAAGTATGCAGAATTCCTAGTAAGATTGACTAGTAATAATTTCGTTTTGCACACAGCTTTTCTTGATGAAGTAATGGTCGAGGTGTTTAAAATCTTCTGCCTTAACGAAATGCTTAAAATATTGTGCCTGGTCTCAAGAAGGTGGAGGCACATTGTAAACAATAATAACATTCTGTGGAGTTGCCTCCTTCTTGATGAGTGGCACATAAGATATTTAAATGAAGAACAATTTATCAACATCAAGTCACACTCCAGTGGGTTCAGATATTTATCCATAAAATATATCGAAATGAGAACTTCAGAAAAGAAGCTAGAAACATTATTAGGAAATAGTCTGGGATTTTCTAAACATCTGAGATATTTGGATTTAAGTGGGCAACCGATATCATCCCTTAATTTTCTATAGATTGAGTCCTCTCCTCTTGAAACCTTGATCCTTAATGACTGTCAAAAATTAGATACCTGTTGTTGTACTACTATCTTAAAGCAATTAAAATCTTAGAACATTATCGCTGAACAGAGCAGGATTCACTGCCAATCAAGTGGCAACCATTGCAGCCTCTTCATCTTCATGCTCATTGAATGTTCTGTGCCTGGTTGGTGTAAGCCTTGCAAGAAAAGACGTAAGTCTGATTTTGCAAAAATTGAATCACATTCAATTTTTAGAAATATCTTGTAGTTCTGAAGATGTAGAACATCCATGCTCTAGGGGAAGAATATGATGTTAGTTTTGTTTGCTGCTAAGAGTAAAAATATTTTTTATAATATGCCAGCATAACAGTGTCGTGTTATAGAAAAAAGTGTGTAATCACATATAGTGAAAGTCTAACCAAGACATTTTTCATGTGACCTGTATAGTAAAATATCAGCACACTATGGTATTTGTTTTTTTGTGTGTATGACAATTTCAAATTTTTACAAAAGGTCCTGTGACTGGCACTTTTGGTTCAACCATATG